GCAATCCTTCTGTCTGAATATCTGTGAAGACATACGAAAAGAACACATTCGGAACACTGATCCTTAGGCTTTCTTTTTAAGATCATTTTCATGTCATAATGAAATATTACTAAAAAATATGACTAGAGTAGTATTTTTTTTCTATTATTTAACGAAAAAAAAATTACCAAGAAATCTCCTTTGGAAATAGTAAAAAGGTTACCAAACGTGTTATCTATATTTATTTTGCCCTTAAAAACGATTTTTATTCTTTGAAAAAAGTTAAAGTTATTAATTTGGTATTAATTATAATAAAATATATTAATTTGAAATTAAGTCTCATCATTTGGTTTACATTATTTTAGTAAAAGGACCTACTTCTTGTAATAATCTATTTTGAAGTAAAATTTTGGACGGGCTCGACATTTCTCTTTGAGAAAGTTCGACCACGAACACCTCGCTTATGGTATAAAAATATCTTAAAAACGAAAATAGGAGTTACGAGATCTTGTAAAAAAAGTGGTGTGGATTTCATGTAATGCCACGGCATTATAGTTTTAATTTATAAATATACGTTCAATACTCGTCTGCATTATTTGGAACTCAGAAAATTAGAACGGAAAGATTACGTTTAAAAAAATAAACCCATAACACTCCCTCTTTCCAAAAATTTAAAACCGTAAATTCACTCAAAGATTAACTCTTGATGAACCTTTTGATTTCCCATTCAATTCGTCTAATTCGTATACACAACAACCTATTTTCTTTACCACTCTATAATAAATAATTCCCAGCGTCAGACTGACTAAATTTACGTTTCCAAACCAAATTCGCAACCGAAAAATGAACGTCTTACGTAATTTCGTTTTGAGCTCATATGAGATTTTTCAATTTTCTGAGCCACTGAGTCCCTTAATTTTTAAGCAATACGAGCAACTCTTTTATACTCACAACCACAACCACCACAACATTGTTCCAAATTTGTAGGACTCTAAACTAAATCACGTGCTTTAAATCGTGTTCTTAAATGAACCAATGTACCGGGGTCATAAATAAAAAGGGCACTCAGAAAAGTAATTGAAAGATTTGGACTGAAGCAAAGTTGGGATAAATTCGATTCTACCTTACAGAATAGGTTTTGCTCGCTTAAAGAAAAGTGATGAGGGTGTCCCAACATTACGTTTCAAAATTACTTTTTGCGAAACCTGCTACTGCTGTACTGCCACTATCCGACCATTGGAAATTGTTTCGTTCTGCAGTTATGTTTTGCGAAAAAGCCATTTTCCAGTGGACTATCTTGATCAACCATTCGGTATCTCTAACTAATTTAATAAATACAACCAATCCTGTATAAATTTTTACTTGGTAATGATGCCACATGAATTTGACTTAAGACGAATGGGGGTTTCTTATGTTTACGATACTGTGTTATTGTTTTTGGTAAGTGTTCTTGTAAATATGTTGCAATGAAAATAAAAAGTGGATGAAATATATTGAAAACATCTTGCTATACTTTTAGATTATGCCTTAACATAGGTAAAACCAAATATATATGATTCTGTGACAGAAAAAATTTATTCTAATTTTTCGGAAATGTGGAATAATCGTGTTCTATACTTGACAAAAAAAAATAGATTACATAAATATTATATATTAACAAAAAATTCATTCGTTCATAAAGCTAAAATTTTGCTCTACCAAAATGCAGTAGACATTTGCCGTGTTAGTACATTGATTATAAAAATATACAGGAATAGGATATTCGTACATATTTTTACAAATAAGAGCTAATTCACGATGGTTATCAAATTAGAGCTAATATTCACAGAAATGAAATTATTTTTATTTCGTTCTTTTCAGAGCGCCATAGGTTTTCCTGTGAGGAGATTGCTTCATAAGTTGTTTACTGTCGACAAACAGATAATGCAGACCATTTGAAAATGTCCATCATAATAACTGCACTACCAAGAGGTTGCCGAAACTCAAATCTCTCACAGCATTTCATGAAAAGCGGTCCCCGGTTATCCTTCTCGTTGGAAAAATGTTGTTTATGAAGTCCTATAGATTTAAGCAACTAATTTAATGGGTCCTTTGCATGACAGTTTAATTCACTAATTTACTGGTAGTAAAAAAATGTCCGCATTGTTAATCGTTAGACCTTCCAACTCGACTTGGCGGAGGTTTGCGTGTTCGATTCTCACCGGGGGCCTTGAACAGATAAGAAAAAGACCAGATTGGATATAAATTTTGAATTGATGAGGTATAAATATTAGATACTATCCTGAAAAATAACCAATTGGCATATTAACAAAATTTTTGTGGTTTTCGCCATGTTCTATATTTATTTTGTTTTGTAATCGAATAGCAACTTCTTGCCTGGAATTCAGAGCAGTTTTTTTAAACAAAAATACAAGGTCAGCTCAAAAAGCTATGGGACTTTATTTCATTTTTAATGGAACATCCTCAACTAAATTTTGTTTTTTAGATGGAACAATCTTTCACCAATATGTTGCTTCAAAAAACAGTCCCAAAATTTATCTCCAAAAAATATACTGTTATGTTTCAGTGGAGTTTTTATTTAGCAATTCGGTGAAACATGGGTTTGCAATGATAGATATTTGGATCGTTCTTCATTTTAAACAAATTTGGCCATATCCAACCTATCGCATAACAAAAAATATACATTTGGCCATAATTTGTGAGGAAAAATATAGTATGCAACACGTTTGGTGCACTTGTTGCATAATATACTGTTATACTTATTATATTACTACTAAATGGCTCGGATCCGTGGGAAACGAAATTTACGTGGTAAAGTGAGGTTTCCCGCATGCTAGAGCGGTATGTAATTAGATATTTTACACACGGGAGTAGAAAATAGTATATTATGCAACAAGTGCGGTAAACGGCATTTGACTCACGAGTTTATTTGACACGAGCAGAGCGAGTGTTTAATAAACGAGTGAGTTAAAAATTTTACCGAACGTGTTGCATACTATACTTTTTCTACGACCGTTAGTTTTTGGGTACATTTTTGCAAAACAACACGCATACATTCACTGACATGACTGTCAGAATTGACAAACGTCAAAATTAAAAGCGTGGGAAATATCTCCGAAAATATCCGATTGCTTCCAAATGCGTGAGGTAAAATCCAGAAAATGTCCGAAGTGGCTCGGATTCCTGGGAAACGAAACTGACGTGGTAAAGTGACGCTTCCCGCACGCTAGAACGGTGGGTAATTAGGTATTTTACAGACGGGAGTAGAAAATAGTATATTATGCAACAAGTGTGGTAAACGGCATTTGACTCACGAGTTTATTTGACACGAGCGGAGCGAGTGTTTAATAAACGAGTTAGTTAAAAAGTTTATCGAACGTGTTGCATTTCTACGACCCTTAGTTTCTGGGTACATTTTCGCAAAACACAAATACATTCACTGACATGACTGTGAAACGAAACTGACGTGGTAAAGTGACGCTTCCCGCACGCTAGATCGGTGGGTAATTAGGTACCTATTTTACAGACGGGAGTGGAAAAACAATATTTACACTTAATGGATCTAAAGTATATTTCACCTTGTGGTGTTATTTGCTAAAAACTTGTAAATTTCAATTAATATTAATAATTTAGGTTAACCTACATGAAGATACTGTTTTACAGGTTGAGTTGAGTATTACGGAAAATCTAAATTTTCTAACTTACAGCTTAAAAAGAATTAAGACATTTTTTATTAGTGGAAAGAAAAGTAATAATGGGGTTGAGATTATTCGTTGTCAGTATCGATTACAAATTAAATTTGAGTTAGCATTTTAGGCTGGCCGCTCGTAACGAGCTATATAAAGATGGATTTCAAAATCTTTGGTATGTATTAATCTATATTATTTGAATATTACAATTAGTTAACCAAATTAAATAGCTTCTATGAACATTTTTTTGTGTCAGCTAAGCATCCGAATACAAGATCAGATTGCACAACTCGCTAACAGCTTATCATCAGGCGGTTTTCTCGAGTACAAAAGTAAAAGACCCTAACATTAATTTTCAAATATTGGCATAAGTAACATTTGTCTTAGAGCACTAAAGATGTTTAAAAAAATAGATGAATATTCTATAAATCATGCAATTGATAGATATAGTTGAAAAGCACCAGTAAAAAGTGCCCAAATGTTTTTGATACTCTAGACGTTCAACTTCTAAAATTTTTATATGAGATGCAGTTAAAAAATGCCTCTACATAACATTGTAGAACAGAGTTTTCCCAGTCCGCTAGAATTTTTGATCAAGCACGCATCCGAAATTAAGTACGATCGACTATCGCTTGCTCCATTACACGTCATTTTCTTTATACATAAATTATATCTGTTCTTGCAGTTCTGGTAGTTGGAAACTTTTTTTTACATGAGGGTCGCTCATTTTTTATCGTCTTGCAGAGTGAAGAATTGTGTGTGTGTGTATGTGTAAGTAACATTTGTCTTAGAGCACTAAAAATGTTTAAAAAAATAGATGAATATTCTATAAATCATGCAGTTGATAGATATAGTTGAAAAGCACCAGCAAAAAGTGCCCAAATGTTTTTGATATTTTCGACGTTAAACTTCTAAAATTTTTATATGAGATTCAGTAAAAAAATGCCTCTACATAACATTGTAGAACAGAGTTTTCCGAGGCAGTTAGAGTTTTTGATCAAGCACGCATCCGAAATTAAGTACGATCGACTATCGCTTGCTCCATTACACGTTATTTCCTTTATCCATAAATTATATCTGTTCTTGCAGACGTTTCTGGTAGTTGGAAACTCTTTTTTACATGCGGGTCGATCATTTTTTATCCTTTTGCAGAGTGAAGAGTTGTGTGTGTGTGTGTGTGTGTGTGCGTGCGCGTGCGCGTGCGCTATTTAAAATTAAATATTTGTCTTAATTATTTAAACATTAATATTATTATTCTTTTAAATATTAACTAATTATTAAATAAATATTAATTATTAATTTAATTAATTTAATCCAACTTTGTCATTTCAGTATTGGCCTCCCTAGTCTGCTATACTCAAGTAAGTACAGCAAAATCTTCCTCTCCCTCCTCTTTCTTAAACACAAACGTTGCAGGGACAGCAAGGATATAACTACCCTCCTCCGCAAAAAACCTTCGACGGAGGTTCAACGGTCACCCCCAACCAGGGAGGGGAAGGGTTCACTCCAGGTAGTTATTCGTCATCTACAACCGTAGCGTACGAATCTCCAGCAGGTGGTTATCCGGGAAACCTTCAACGACCCTCAAACCGGAAACCCGGGGGGCACCCCGGCCAAAATGGAGGGTATACAACGGCGGGCTACCCTCAAGGTCCTAACGGGTTTAACGGATTTCCAAGTAGCCTACCAACTGGATATCCAGCACCCGGCAGACCGAATGGTCCCTCGATTCCGCCCACCGACCAATCGGATTTCCAGAGGCCTACACCCACATCAGGTTTCCCCGGATCTACTTTTACGACACCCGGATACCAAAGGCCTGGAGGACCACAAGGTGCTCCTTTTAGTAAAAATATACTATGGTTAGGTTAGCAGATAGGAAGAAAATTTGCAAAATGGTGCAGCCAACCAAAAGTAACATACTTCTAAATAATTTAATAAGAATAAATACCATTTAGGTCCCACGGGAGGATACGGTGCTCCCGGGCAAACCCTTAGCACGGCTGGTTATCCTGGATCAGGGAAAACTTCGCAAACCCCATTCCAACCTGGAGGTCCTTCGGGAGGTTATCCGGGCAACGGACAAGGGTACTTGGGAGCAAATGATGCCACACGCGCAAGTAACGGGTTTCAACGATCCGGTGGATCTAATGGTTACGGTGGCTCAACGGAAGGAGAGGGAAGAGCAGCACCAAGAGGCTTTGACGGAGAGCAACCATCAGAACGCTTTCCTAGTAAGGTTATAATTTTATTTGTTGGATTCATTTGATACATAGTAGCACGCCATGATTTTTTTTTAGTGTCGACTGTAAAATGACGGGTTAGTTCAGTTATTGGTAGACTTTTAGATTGTTTAAAACAAAACTTAAAATTTTCTCCTTTTGGTGCTGACGACCTTGTCAGTTCCATAAACTGGCTTGATTAAATAATATTGCAAATCAATCAAACCGTTTTATTTGCCAATAGTTATTCTACATTACACTTGCTCGGCAAATGCCGTTAGTAGTGTTTTTGTTGCTTCACTATCACCGGTCTTCAAAGAATTACTAGACCTTGCGGATTTAGTTTTGTCATTCCTCTAGAGATGTCAGCACGGTCATTTCACAAGCACCAGTCGGTCTATTCATCTGCTGGAGTCTAGCTTGTTGAAGCTGTCATATTTTTCAATGACTAATAAGCATGTCATTATAAAATAAATATCCCATATTAATGATTTATGTTTTTGATGCTAGTGGGTTGCCCAGATTTCATATAGTTAAAGTAGCTAAAATTATTATTTTTGATATGCAATCCGGACATTTTCACACTACTAGACCTCGAAATGTCCGTCTGTTGTATTTGTTTCAATTCGGTGATTTTAAGTTAGCTCTTTTCTTGATCATATTTTTTCCTTGTTGCTCATATCTTCCCATTTCTATGAAATTTTCGTCGATTTTATTTTGCATTTTATCGTTGCAAATACAAATTTGTGCAAATTTGTCCTCTAAGTTATTCTTTCTAATTCGTTGGAATTTTTTGCCACTGCCTCTTGCAAACCATTGCAAATTTCCTGTCGTTTTTGTTCTATTACAGAATTTTATAATAATTTTCGTTCCGTCTTTGTAAAATTTTCATTTAAATATTATTAAGTGATCATTGTATTGTCATATTCCTTAAAGTCTATGGTAAATATATCTCGCAGTAAAGTGATTGGCAAACACCAAGAGACGCACTGCAAGTTAGACACAAACATTTGTTAGGAGTTTTCTGTTTCTAAAAAATAAAAAATATATTTCCAGGTCAACAGCCGACGGGCGAGAATGATGAAGGCGATTATTCGGCGATTCCCGGCCAACCAGACATCGACTACCCCATCCTAGCGTACGTTCCGGAAACATCGTTTAGATGCGATCAGCAACAGTACCCGGGATACTATGCAGACGTTGAAACTAGGTGCCAGGTCTTCCATATATGCGCGAACAACAAAACCTACGACTTCCTCTGTCCGAACGGCACGATCTTCCACCAGGAGTATTTGGTTTGCGTCTGGTGGGATCAGTTCGATTGCAACAGCGCCCCTTCCCTATTCGGAGTGAATGAAAATATTTACGACTACAGTATAACGGGTGCGCAACAGACGGGCTTTGGAGGGAGTAGCCGCTCGGGAGCTGAAGGCCCTGGATATCCCTTGGAGGACACTGATTATCAACAGGGTAGTGGACCGGGATACCAGCCTGGAGCTCCCTCGCCAGCTGAAGGTTCGTTGGGATATCCACCAAGCAGACCAGGTTAGATATTTTTCCAATTGTCTATTTGGAAGAAAATTCTCAAAATGGTGCACTTAAAACCAATAAAAGCTGCTAACGAATTCTCAAAATTCCTTCAATCAACCATATAGAAAACTCAAAATATAAAGAAAACTTCAACCTAAACAAGCCGATAAATATCTTGCAGTGTGAACTCAATTCAAACTTTTGACAAACCACATTTGAAATGTTCCACTTTTCTGATGGCATTATTTCTAACTATTTTAAGCTTAGAAAAGTATACCAAATGGGGCAAATAAAAGACCCTCATTATGTAACCAATTTCAGGTGTAGCTGGCCAAACAATACCTTCGTCGGGATACCCATCGGGACGCCCTTCTAATGGTCAGAGACCTTCAGGCGGATACCCCGGTGCCCCCCAAGAACAGCTAGGCTCCACGCAAACCCCGGGAGGTTACTCCGGCAACGGTAGACCACAAAGACCGGAATACATACCGCCCAGCAATGGCCAACGGTCCGGAAATGGTTATCCTAGCGACCGACCGCCTACAACAGGTTACCCAGGCAGCCAAACATCTAACGGAGGAGGGTATCGTAACGGCAACGGTGGAACCAACGGACAGAACGGTGGAGGGTCTAAGCAGCCAAATAGGGAATACCTACCCCCTTATCAACAATAGGTTAGTCATATAATTAGTCAAGTGTCGACATTGTTTTATATTATTTTTTCAATTTTTCTAGGTCTTTGGGATATTGAAATTATTCAAATCGTTATATCCTTCTTTGAACTAAGTGGTTGTGATGTATTTTGACTATTTTTGACGCTGCCATCAGACGAAGAGTAGCGAAACCATATAATTAGTAATTTTGATATCTTAAAATTCCCCTGAGGCAGGGGAAGCAGAAGTAACCATTCGATTCTACTCATCCGTATTTAGAATAGCTACTAATAATTTCATCGATCGCATTTTTTAAACTCTCGCAGTAATGTTTGCAGTCGACAAAAGAAAATTGACTTTTACAGATATTGCATGATTTTTTTGATAAATAAGTAATAACTCTAGTTATTTTAGACACAAAATATACAAATATGATTGAATAACTAACAACTGGAGTTTATCGAACGTGTAGCATAATTATTGAGTCTCAAATCGCAGAGAAAAACGTATCCTAGCTAATTAAAACAAATCAATCCTCCGAGAAATTCATATTTCGTTGTTGCAATAGGGTATTTTTTTCATAAATATATGCTTAAAGTGGTCGTTCCAACGCTTTTGACTATTTATTTAAATTAATAATTTGAGACAGCTTATACAAATAAATAAATGAAATAAATCTACAAGAACGAAATGTGCTGTAATACTTAATTAATATAGCGTGCCTCCAAAAATTCGAAATACTTAAAAGTTTTGTATACGTAAATTTTGCAAAACATTTTTATGTGGATTTTGTTTCATCATAAGTTTTGCTTATTTTAGGAAGTCTTAATTTGTAAAAATGCTACAAATTAAACTGGGAGTGGGAATAACTTATGCTATTAATACTATTACTGTAATAAACAAAGTATCTGCAGTTAAGAAAATACATAAAATTTATGCTTAGTAGTAGCAGTAACGATATTCCAGTTTTTCATTAACAACACTTAACTTCGATTGGTGTATTACAGAAATGGATGAAGCAACGTGAGAAGTGTTCCGTTCCAGAACTTGGGTCGCTCTTTCCTCCTTATAATTTAAAGTAATTTATATTTTTTATAATGTTGTAAATAAGGATATTATAAGCAAATATTTACATACGCAGATGAGGACGACATAATGTATGTATGTATAATAAGAGTACCAGATAATAAACAACATTTTGCAGAATCGGCAGTTTTTATTTTGGAAACGCTTTCTGATCATAGATATTTTTAAACATCGCTTTTACCGACAAAGCATAAGCGGCAGTCCTGACGTCCAAACCCAATTTGTATGTCTCCAGATTTGTTAAAATGCCCTTAAACAAAGGATAAGTAATGTCCGCTGCAAATACCAAATTTTTAGGAAGCAGAAGGAATTAAATTAAATTTAATATTTGCAGATAATAAAATATTAATAGACGGATAGAGTGTCCATATTTTGACGAACACTTAGGGGATTTATTATTATGAGTTATGTCCAGAATAAGGTTTAGATGTTAGAGATAGAAAAAAATAAACATGATAAAAATTTTATGGCAGTGTCAAAATATTGCCACACACCCTGGGCAATTGACAATCATAGAAAAAAATATTCTAGATTAATAAATCCATCTCCCTATATTGATTACGTACTCGCAAAATGGCAAAATTTATATGGTTTTATGAATTAATTTTCTACCTATGAATATGGACGACAGTTGCATTTTATTAATTTAAAAAAATTGTGAAGACAATGATTTTAAATTAAATCCCTACTTTTGAAAAGGTTAAATTTTAGTGCAAAAAATTTAAAGTTTAAATTATATTTCTGTTAAAAAATAACAGTCTATATACTCGTGATGATGATATTAAATCCAATCTATAGCGGTATGGAAAGGGTCTTACCTGGCAAATTTCTGTAAATATACATTCCAGCACCTTTTTCAGAAATGCATAGTCTCCTACGCCAACCCCAGAATCAAGAATTGCCTTTCCACACTCTGCCTCTCGTCGAAAATGACCTCTGAATATACCTTTGTTGCACCTGAAACGCAGTTATTGAACGTTTTCGCATACCACTAAATTTTTCATGTTGCTTACGAGGATTACGTTTTATTACTAATTAACTTTTATTTTAAATTAGCAAATCGGGAAATGTAAAGTATTTTCCTTACGAACAAGACAAACCAGTCTGAACTGATTTTTACTCGTATGAAACCGCCTCCTTTCAACAAGCAACATTTTACGAAAACGATTTATAGGATCAGTTGCAATTTTTCTTTTGAATAACTGAAAGACTATTTCTTGTCAGTATTTGGGGCTCATACTTACTTTTGTACTTACTACGTAAAATATATCTCGGCATCCTTAGCTTTAAGTGGTCGATTTTTTCCCATACTTCTTTTTGGGTGTTTGGAATATTTATTTTTAACTCGCATTATTTACAAAAGGTAGGAGAAGAACCCCGTCGGTAAATATAAAAATAGATAATAAGGAAATTGCTTTTAAGAACCATGTAAAATATTTAGGAGTGGTGCTGCACAAACATTTGAAGTGGAATATGCACGTGGAATATAGCTGTGATAAAGCAAAGAAAGCAATTAATATAATGAAATGCGTAAGTAGAGTCTCATGGGGTGCAGACCCGCAAATCTTAATGACCTTACTTCATACCCTGATTAGGACCCACCTAGATTATGGTTCCATTTTCTTGAACCCCAATAACAAGACTGCACTTAACAAGCATTTTGAAGGTTTGAGAATAGCGCTGGGATGTATGAGATCAATCCCAACGAATGTTTTGCTGGCGGAAGCATCGGAACTGGACCTGGATACAAGGAGGAGAAACCTGGCAGTGTTAATTAATTAATTAATTATAAATTTTCAGCAAAACTCCACAAAGAAATGTGTATTGCCACAGCAGAGACGATAGCAATAAAGGAGGGACTAAGAGTTGCTCTACAAAGAGCCTTTACAAAAGTTATTATTTTATCAGATTCTCTAAGCGGGATTTCTAAAATTTCAAATGGAAATTCCGACACTAAAATGGACTACTTAACGCTGCAGGTCCGAGAGATGATGATGAGGGCTAAAAGTATGGGAATAGATGTTAGGATGGCCTGGATACCGGGGCACTCGGGTATTGAAGGTAATGAAAAAGTGGATACTCTGGCTAAAATAGGAAAAGACCTAAACATCCCCTTGAATCTCAAACTGGACATACATGACGTGAAGAGTACAATTCTTAGAGATATTACTAATGGTTTTTGAGAACGGTGGAAAAACCCAATACAAGACAAAGGTAAAAGATATAGAAAGTTAATAAAACGTAATTTTCCTAATAGAAGATGGTTTTCTGAGCTTGCCTACATAGACAGACGCCATATAACTACTATAATTAGAATGAGAACTGAACACTGCGCGGTAGGGGAACACCTGGCCGGATAGGGGTTCGGGACTCTCCTTTCTGCGAGTGCGGCGGGGTTGAGAACCTAAATCATATATTTTTCGAGTGCCCTATAACAGAGATCCCGGGTGTGGATTTATACGTAAACTTTAGCAATTTCGGAGTTAATTTACCACTTTATGGTCATATGCTTTTTAGATTATAATAGGATAAAACTTTAAGTTAGGAGTCGAGGTCGGACAGCCTCGCCCTAGTAACAATACTAGGGAATTTTAAATTGTATGTATTTGATTCTGTTGTTTTGTCTCAGATCTGACGAGCCTGGTCCCATGGTCCATCCTAGGCCAGGAACGCCTGTCCCAAGTTCCATAGTGCTGGAATTTGTTTGTCCTTTTTTGTTTTTAGATGCGACAGTCTTGCCTGTTTGTCTGTGGTTTTTGTGAGCTCTGAACCTGCCTACTAACTGACTCTATCTCCTTAGCAGCTTTAGATACCTCTTAAATAGAAACAGAAGTCTAAAAGTAAACTTCCCCAGGAGAACATTCTCGATTATCTGGGGCAGTTCTAAATAGTGCTGGCAAATTGCCTAGTAGCAGCATCAACCCCAAAAGAAGAAGAAGAAGAACTCCCATTATTTATTGGTCCAACCTAAACAGTTATAATCCTGTCATTCGTAATATTGTGGACCCATGGGAACTCACTTTGTAACTCCAATAGTTTATTTTGATTGGCTATTGGCTATTGGATCGCGGATAGTTGAATTGATAGTTGAAACAATCAATTAAGTGATTAGATTATTCATTTGTTTTAAGCACTGTGTTGTGCAGTCTTGTAATATGTCCGAGAAGTCTAACCCTATGTCGCCTTGCTCACAGTCAGAACCCGCCACTCCGGGTTTCTATTTATATTTTATTATTTTTATTATTTCTTACTATCTTCGACATCAGAAGTGGGATCAGTAATATTCAGACTGTGAAAGTGACTATAATGACTGTAATTAGTGCAGTGCTAAATAAATGCGCTACTATTCGACGAATGAACTGCAATTGTGGATTTATGGGTTCTAGAAAAAAGAAGAGAAAAAAATGGGATGCAGTTCTTGGCAGTCAGATTTATGGGAGTCATGAAGAACGTTTTGTGTTAATATTTACAAGTGATGTTGTTATAAATTCCGAGTAACGAGTAAGAATTCAAACGAACCGTAACAGATTATCATCCAGCGCTCCGATACGATGAAGGTGTTTCAGGTATTCGAAGTAGGAGGCGATGTTGGTGCCGCTGCAAGCATATATATCGGGCACGACAAGTTTCGATTTCCCCACCAAAATCTTGTGAGCTGCGGGTGTGGTGGGTCCGTCAGCAGCTTCGAGAATTATGTTGGCCTTGACGTCCCTCGCGACATAGCAAACTAGGCTTTTGTGGCAAGCGGCGAGCACGAGGATGTCGCAGTCCTCTGTGAAGATCGAGTCCGGATGATCTGTCTTCGCAAGCCCATAATTTTCGATCGAATCGTGTTCCTCTCGATAGCGCAACAATGCCTGAATGTATGAAGCCAGAAGATATATTACATAGCAATTGAAGAGAAGACAATATGGACATAGAAATTGCAACACTGGCTAAATTGATTAACATGAAATCTTAAAAATTCAATAACTCTAAGACAATAATTCCACTACTGAATCTAGTGAGCTTGTTCTTGACACAACACCAGATCTCTGGCCTGTGGTGTCTATGGCTATTTTTCAATGACTATGCTAACCTATGAATACTCAAATTTTCGAGCCTTAAATTTTTCGATTAATCGACCTCTTCGCTGGTCGTGTTGAAACGGTCTTCAAGCACACTAAGTGTTCTTAAAACCCGTTTATGGTGACGACTTACATACCACTCTCTCCAACATCCCATGACTCTTGTATGATTGTTTCCAATTTGCAGAAGGCATTTCTAAAAGAAATGTTGAATACCCCAAAGACAATGAAACTAACGGATGTAAACTAATTCTTTAAAAAATAATCTCTGTTTGTCTGGTTATTTGTAACCTACTTGATATTGCAATATAGATGATACATATTTTTGTCAATGTCTGGCTTTTCAAATATTTTGCTAAAATTTGTCTTATCTAAATTATCTCCTAAATAAATTATACCAGTAGGAATCAAATTACTCGTGCAACTCAAAAACGAAAACTTCCAGATTAAACGCACTTATTAACGCCAATATCGTATTTCGCTGTGACCTCAGAAAAATTTGGATTTTACTAAAATATCTAGCAAATCATCACTTATGAGGGAATTTTATGCAAAAGTTGGATCGCGCCATGCTTAAAGCTCTAGTTGAACAAAACTTGGTCAATATTACCCCGAGCAAGCTTCTTTTTCTAGACATTTTATTATTAGTAGTCCATAGTCCATTTGTACTTTACCTTCAAATCTATCCCCTCGCGGTCGTAGATGTAGGCTTCCCGTTCTTTTACGCCCACGCAAACCGCCCCTTTATCTACTAGCAGCAAAGCTAAAGGTCTGCCAACCTTTCCCAGTCCCTGTAATATACGGCGTATTTAATTTGCACTTTCGCCTTTGGGATCTCGAAAACTGCAAGACAAAAATGGAAATTTTATTTGTGAATATGAATGTAAAATATTTGTAAAGTTACTACTGAAATCATTTTGGTTTATTAGTTTTACGACAGAAGATTCAAAAATTCACAACTTTTTCAAAATATATTTGGGCAATGGGAAAACATCGCCAAATAAGTGATATTGATACCCCAAAAAATTGGATACCTTGGAGAAATAAAAATCGTTGGAGGCCTCAACCATCATTAATTTTTGGCAATAAGGTACACATTTTTGCTTATGCAGTGGCAAACATCACTCCCCAAAAAATTATCTCGTTATAAAAATGTATGAAATTGAGGCTGGTATGAGGTTGTGGGTTCCAATTCCACAGGAGCAGTGGATGTTGGTCCGAACCAATCCTACTGAGGAATTGCGTTAATACTAGCATTCAAAAATTGATTTTTTTTTCCATTTTTATCCAAGAGCGAGTCGAATGGGCTAAGCCCGGCCCTTCCTGCCTGGCAAGAAACTCGCATATGCGAGAGGCGCTGGTTCTGTAACAGCGAGCACCGCTCCTAAAGAGAGTCAGTCGAAAAGTAAAGCCATAAAGTGCAGAAATATAAATAATGTGTATAGTGAAGTGTGGGTGTAAATTGTTTATGACTTTTTATTTTGGAAAAAATTACGCCGAGTGCAGTATTTAATTTTATAACAGGTTCAAAAAATTTAAACAGGAACGTGTTTATGTTTTTCTTTTCCCAATTTAACATTTCCAGAAGCATTTACGAATTTTCGTACTTGAATCACAAACTTCTTTCCCTCGATACCCCTGTCGACAAAAATCTTCCTCAAAATCGTGTCTTCGTTCAATAATAGTTCTAGCGCTGTGAAAGCGCCCAGTGCGGCGAACGTTTCGAATTTTTCGACGCCTCCGGAGCCTACCGGCCTACCCACTGACGCGACATCCAACGTTTCCCCTAAATTTCAGGAAGCATCAATGCAATCCGAACGTCTCCTCCTACGCGTCGAAATACCAGAGTATATTTTATGCGCATCGGATACCCAGTCCATATGCCGCGACGATGTGTTGATATCTGGGTGAATGACGTCGTTTTTACCACCTATTGAAAACGTCGGGATACATTGAAAGCAATGTGATCATGAGGTTCGGATTGTGCAATTATTATCTCCGACTGCGAATACTGCAAAAACCCAAGACCAGAAAACGAAACATTCTTATTTTCAAGGACATGAGTCATTTTCTTAAAAAGGCATATCATTCAGTGAACTTTGATTCAACCTGTAGCCCTTCTGGTGCTAATAAACGAGATATATTTTATCGAATGTTTTTAGTTACTCAAAACTAAAAACTGAAATCTTGAAATCATTTTCTGACATTGTTTTGAAGTTGTTTGTTTAGTTAGGTGGGTCAGGCATGAATTTGGGACCTTGTAGCTAGTGTAAGTCAAGTAAGTAAACCCGGATTTACAATAAAAAGACGACGGGAACATAAATCTTATGATGAAATACATAAGTTATCGGACGAATGACAAAAAGCTTATAATTTCAAGATTTCAAACAATGAAATTACTTTAACGCTTAAATATGCTATTTTTGCTTTGAGAACTTCAAAATTCCCTTAAAAACCGAGATCTGAGAATAAACAGTATATTAAAATATGGAAAGAGCACCCGATTCGCAATGTTACCGTAATATTTGTATACCCAGCAAAGAAAAATCTAAACTACGGATGCAATAGAGTAGGTTGGTGTGAATGGGCGTAAATGGTATGGCCGTATCATTTAGCGATTTAGTCAACTAATACTGTAGTTAAAACTGATCATTAACTGCTAAGTCGGAGTTAAGAATAACAGTATCCAAACCCACGCATTTTTTACATACAGTATCCTTTTTGACTCATGTGGAAAATATATTGTCGAACTACGGACTGCAGTTCCCTTTCCGAATATTGACCGGGGCAAAGTTTAATGCCCCCATGAGCTCCGGACATACCGATGCCGACGCAGTGATTTTTCATCGACGATAACAAACATAAAGCCTTCATATGATCTCTCGTTATTCCTTCGTGTATCCTTAGACCTAAGTATGGCACGGGAGTCAGTAGGGCAGAAGCCGAAGTTCTACGGCCCTCGGTCCCCGGGGAACATCCAAAGTTTTACCACTTGTTTAGACATGCAGAGCACAAATTCACGAATGCATTACGAATATTAAATAGAAATAAAAGCCTAAATATTCAGTGAAAATACGCATCTTCGTATCTTTGTTCAAACTGAAATATGGAAAAATTAACTTTTAACCACCTTATTGTAAGACCCCATATCAGTAGCTCTCTTGAATATGGTCACTACAAGAGAAAATAGGAGAAAAGAAAAGAATACCAGGTTACCATTGCATATTGCTTATTAAGTAATTACGATGCCAGAACATGTAAAGTTATAAAAGTGTCCTTTGTATACCTTGGAGTAGTGACTGAAAGATTTTATACAATGTGGTACAATCAAGAGTGTTACCAGAACAGTAAACGGTTTAATCATTCAGCTCTGCGTGATGCATAAATTCTATATAGTCACAGCCTCCAAAATGTACTGCAATGATATCAACTGCATCTTCAAAAAGACGATCAAATTTTTGATGTAATAGCACCACGCTGACTATAGTACTAATTCAAATGTCACTTTTTTCCACTTATCTCAATATCTCCAGTTTGGAAAAAGAAGTTAAGGTGCTGTTGTTGCTGGGTTATCAAGCTTTCGTGTCTCTTTAATGTTTGTTAAGTTGTAAAACAGCGCCCTCTAGAGCGAACTATTGTTATTATATATAAAGCAGAATATAAATTAAAAAGTACTAAGAAATTCCCTTTTAAAAGAGAGCATTTCTCATTTCATTCCAATAAACCAATCCGGTGTTAATAACATTTAAATAAAAACAGATCTAACCACTTTACTTTTGGCAGATGATGATGATGATCCTATACCGTTGGGTCATCTCTGTCCATATCATACTGGTATATGAATTCTCTGGCCGTCAGGTTTTTACATATTAATAGTTTGGAAGTCACTCCAACGCCAAGGATCTAGTGTGACTTCCTCAGAAATTGAATCCGAATTCTTTGGTTAACGAGTTAGGAATCTTTGGTTAGTTTAGTTAGATCTCCGCCGGGGACGGTAGGTATTAAACTTCGGTTTTTACCCTATTTAAGTTCCATACAAAACGCTCTTGGTGCGGTCAGGTTCAAACTTACCACCGAGCGACAGAGAGCTAGCTAATCGTCCGTGATGCGCCCGAAATGCTCGAACCGTTTCATACCTACCGGTGTCTCTCCTAATCGGAAATCTTACGTCTATGATCGAATTGCACTGATCTAGTATTTCCACGACATTTTCCAACCTCTCGTGAATTTGCGTGTCGTTAAACTTTTCACCCCTCGGAGCAAAAAAGTTTTGTAAGTTTTTCGGTAAACCTTGTGGCAGAATTGCCATTACTTATACGTACACTGGAGGTCTTCTTTTAACGTGGGAAAAAGAATTTCGTAGGCTCGGTGCAGAAACCAGTTAGTGCTGTCGAAGAATGCCGCGTTTGCCAAATAGAAGGCGTTTCGATACCGATCTGGGATTTCATAGTCAAGCTTACGCACGTAAGCCCGTGACACCATTATTTTTAATTTTGTTCAAACGTCACGCTGATTGACTGACGAGTTGATGCGCTAAGCCGAGTTTATCCACAGTATATTAAAAAAATTAATACACTTAATATACCCCGTTTTTCTAAATTTAATTTTAAAACCAAGTTCATTACACTCGTTCCTTTGATAAAGAAGGAATCCATTTAATTATTTAACCGGCATATTAAAATGATAAATGGGACAAACCATATAACTGTTAGGTAATAGACAGGCTCCATACTTTGCGCCATTTTCTTTCTAAACAGAGATTTCTACACATTTTACTCGTTATCCCAAAACATTTAACGAGATCTAGGCATATTTTGAGAAAATACTGTCGCCAAAAGGTCGCATCCAAACTTATTGAGTCGACATTCTCTTTTTTTTTCATAGTTGCTTCACAAATTGTTGTATTGCAGGTATAGGTAGGGCCTCTATAGGCCTCTAGTAGCTATATGGGACAAACACATGTTACTTTTTTTAAGGGTATACGGTCGTAAGTAACCGTTTCCAGTCTATTTTCGTGTTCACGAGTCTCTAGTTTTGTCAAAACATGGGCAGATAACTTTCAAAGCGCAAACAGGATTTTTAAGTATCACTTAGTGGTTCAAAATGTATTCGAAAGCGGCATTTTTTGAAATTTTTGATGTATTTTTGAGACCATCAACATAATACTGTGCTCTAATACAAGTGTTCTGTGGTGCCAAACTCAAAGCAAAAAACAAATCCGTTCGTAACGTATCCTCTCACCTCTTAAGAAGGTGAATTGTAGAGGACGTTTCATTTAAAATTTTAAAGATAGCAGCACTTCTTCCAACTACAAAGTTGTCGATAAAAGAATTACTTTCGGAATACGTGGGGGTATATAGTTTTTACATTTACTTTCATACTCAAAAGTGCTACATATCAAAGCTGTATTATCAAAGTAAATTTTTGTTGAGGTTTCAATAAGATTTATGGTCCGTAAATCTTACGGTTTTTTAAGTGATATAAATTTTATCAAAATGTAACTGTTTTAATTTGTCCACTACTTAAGAAGTATTTAAGTTATGTACGCGAACCTGGCAGCAAAGTATAACATGAAACCATATTTTATATCCTTCCCTCTTAGTAGTTGTTTGTTGTATAGGATGTTAAAAAATGCAATCAAATCTAAAATAACTTTAAGTGTTGTAGAAAAATATATTATGAAACACGTTGATAAACTTCTTAAGTCGTTAGTTTATTAAAGACCCGCTCCGCCAGTACAAAAATAAACTCGTGGCTAAAGTAGTAAAGTGGGTTTGTCAAGCTTGTGACATAATATACTATCTTCATGTTTATTCACCTTATTGCGGAATAATTATCTCGAGGAAAGTAAATAATATATAGAAATAAAGTTTTTTGAATTCACAATTCGTCTTGTTTTTAAAGAACCCAGCTTGAACCACTTGAGGAACCCACCCATTGTGCGAGATATAAGGTGCTTCTTAGATACATGATATTTTTATTGAGTGGTGCATAATGACATAATGGGTAATTATTAATTTATAGTACATATCATCAATATTGTGATTAACAGATTAAGTACAGACGAATAATCGTCACATCAAACTAGCACTAGAATGTCAGACCGGCTGTGGTCGTAGTGATGAAGATCTTTTCGACGGAGTTGATGTATGCCGCCGACCTAAGGTCCAAGCCCATGTTGTATTGCGAAGCGGTCTTCATTATAGCCTACAATGCGCGAAAACATACGATTACGTTTTTATATTGCTAAATATCTAGAAAAAAAAATAACATGAGACAAAAAATACAATGTTTTTTTCATTTCTTTTATTGGGAAACTCTGTATAAAGTTAATCGACAGTTAAAGTGATATGCCAAAACTCACATTAAAAAAGTAAATAGCTCAGACCATTTGTCCATTTGAATAAAAACCTGCGAAGCCAAAATGCTGGAAATTTTCGAGTTTCTTTTGTTATAATATTAAAACATTATTTTTTGCAGCAAAGTAGGATAAGAAAATATATTTCATAAGTACTTTAAATTTTAAAAAAATACCTTTTTGCTTCCTATTGGTTTCGCTTTCCTTGTATTTTTTGTACTTTTGTTTTAATTTTTTAAAATAACTCCAATTTGCTTATTTTTTACTCTCTCCGTGGGTGCGAGTATGAGTCGTATTTCTGCTAGACTTCGAACTTTACGTGTCTTGAATTATATATATATTGAACCCTAAATGAATTCAATGAATGTAAGTGAATAGAAGCTTCATACCCAACCCAGATATCGAAAATAACTACGTCTACAACACTTAAAACTTCAGCAGCAGAGCGTTAGAAAAACTATTATTTTCTACAGCGTTAACAAAAAAAAAATGGACAAATAATAAGTACCCAGGCCGCTCTCGACAGAGACCAAGCAGACATATATCAAACACAATTTCACTTTTATCGTGCCACAGGACGAAACACAATCAAAGCTGGACGAGGATATACCCACGATAAGCCGGATCTGAACTTCGCAATTAGAAAGTTAATCCAGCGGTTGTCGTGGTTGTGAAAATTTTAATAACCGAATTAATATACGCGGCAGATCTCAAATCTAAACCCATTCCGTACACCTGAGCTGTGTCCATGATGGCCTGCAAAAAGCAAAGAAGCACATTAAAAGCAATAACAATTAAAGCGGAAATAGAAATAGGTACTTACCAAAACATTGTTCATTAAATAAACATTAAAAAAACGATGAATAGTTGCAAGTTCAACCATAAATATTATATCCAGAAGGGGAACCGACAAATCCTTAATATTTACTGACCAGCGAAAAGCACGTGAAATTTTGACCAATTAGATGTGAAATTTTATTAGTGTGTTCTTGCTTATGGTTTTTGACTGATTCTGTGATCTGCTCCCAAAAAAATTAGCTGGAACCAGTTAAATAGAATTGTTATCGGTCTGCTTTAGGTTGTAAGGGTTAGTTGTAAACCTATAGCTTGTTCGAGCGTGTTTGTGTCGCATGGTGACTGACTTGTAATTTTATCTAAAATTGATTTATTTTTATGAAAACGCAATATCACTCTCTGAAATCCAGACGTTGTTGGCAACGCCGAGCCAAGCAAAGTTATTGCTATTGTCACAGAATATTGGAAGATTGTACCATTGTTTTTATATTTGACGTTTGGTGGTTATTTCTTTACTTTTTGTGACAAAAATACAAACTAACTGAAAAACTTATGTTTGCGGTCAGAACTGTGCGTTAAAGAATGTGCCTATACACGGATAATAAGTGTCTCAAGAAATTACGGCAAATGTGCAAGTATGAGGATCCAATATTTTTTCATTTAACAAACTGCATAGGGATCTGGGTATATTCTGTCATTTTAGTTGGATGCCGCGTTGTCTAAAAACGAAATTTTTCAAGTCTCGCGCATGCGCATATTTTCAAAATTTTTATCACCAAAAGCAAGACTTCACCAGTCATAAAAGTTTGTTTATATTAGCTGTAGAGTTCTTCGCATTTTATGAATTATTTTAAATTATGGCCGACGTAGCTTATTATTTCCTGGTGATTTTCTTTTTACAAAGGTTAGGTTTGACATATCGCGAAGTCTAATGAAACAATTCAAAAAATATTCCAAAAATCAAAATTAACGTTTATTTAAAAAGAAAATCGAATATAATAAAAATGTAGTAAGTCAAATTGAGTAGTCAGTGAGGTAAAAGAAGGAAATATGTACGTGAGTAAAGGTTAGACAAAGAGCCAAATAAAATTCCGTAGGTAAAAACGCGTTACAATTTAGTAACTTTGAGGAATGAATATTGGCTGCAAAATATATCGGCCGAAACGTCAATCGGTTAAAGTTCTCAGGCTCAGGCTCATCTTACACATGCATCTGGACTTGTATTACCAGAACTATGTAATGCACTATGTTAATATAACGAGTGGAAAAAATATACGCCTATACTTTTATAATTAATTATTTCAGCGATTCGACTACTAAATAATGTTAGCAGCAATTTTGCTCTTAGCAGTTTAGTAGGAATACGTATGTTCCAGAACCTCTGTCCAACGGAGCCACTGGCAGTAGTAGTCCACATTTCTGCGGTCTTTGTTTGGTCAAAGTGATGAATCTCTGATAACTCACCTATAAGTCACATAAGACTGTATGGTCAACTCTTTTTGTTGTAAAAACTACTCGTATCCTCTCCTCAATGTAAAATTCATTCTATCGCCAAAAATGTGAGGGAAAGAGCTTGTGCTTATGTCGGATGCCGTGTTTTAGGCATTTTTCTATTATTGCCTTTTCTTTGGATATAATGTCAATGACTTTAGACATGCATTATATTTTCCACGTGGAAATGGTTGCTGTTCTGACAATAAAGGGCAACAGTTTCGATTCTCAAAATGGCACTATTAAAAAATATAGTCCAACTTTCATTTCGTTATTGACTACAGATAAAGAAAATAAGAAAATATCACTGTATTATTTTTCTAATGACTTATGTTCACAGTCAAAATTACCTTGGAAAACTTTACAATGTTATATAGAGAAATTTAAACAGCTAAATATTTAGTTAGTTCATGGCTAAACATAACGCAAGTAACTAACAAAGCAAATGGATATTGTGATATTTGAAAACGACACAAAAACACCATGCCACTTTTAACCTATTTTCCAATCAGCGTAACGCGGAACAACTCGTTGACTTGATTGTTATACTTTTAACACTAAAAAAATGCACTTACCTATGCTTCAAGAGGGTTGCGGTCGAATTTTAAAATAATAAAATGCCAATTTAATACTCTTTAAATTTATTTCCGTCTGAACTATGTACAGTTTTCCACATAGACATATTTTTAGGAAAATACAAAAATGATTACCAATATTCTTGGAATGCTTTTGATGGACTGCTTATGTACAATGTTTCATATTTTTTTCAGCCTACATGTTTTTCTGGTATACAGTATTTAGGGAACGGCTACACATTTCTTTAAATATATTTCTTAGTTAATAGACAAGTATTAAGAATGTACCTACAACTCCTTTCAGCCCTATCCCGATTAAGATAACAATTCAAGTTTAATGAAAAAGGTTTGGCCTGAATATTTTAATTATGTTACGATTGATCAGTATATGATGTCAACAGCCAAGTAACTCCGAGATATGTAAGTAACGAAAATAGTCTTCCACAATTTCTATTTCATTTTGCTTAGGGGGCATATTATCATAGAAATCAAGATTTGCACAGCTGACATTTAAAATTAACCAATATAAAAAGTATTAAAATCGATAAAAAAATAAGGAGCTCAATTGTTACTTTCGATATGATTTTTCTTTAGATCGAATTGTTTATCACCTAAACTAAAAGGACCAAAAAAACTGCAACAGTTGTAAACTGGCAAGGATTCGGATATAATTTTATGTCATTTAAATTCAATTGGAGTCAAAGAGTCATTTAAATTTAAAAAAATCGCCATTTCTGGTTAGAACTAGTTCTGTTTGTCCGTGAGATTGAAATCGGTGCGAATCCCTGCCCTGAATGCAAAAACAGAGCACATAACCTCAAACTGAAAATAATACCTGATTAGTACTTATTACGTTGTTTACTGCTCGATTCAAATTCGTATGCAATTCAATGTAAAATAAAAATGGTACAAAGTGTAAAATTAGAAGTTTGTTTGGGGAAATTTTGTGGTAAAAGAAAGTGACTAAAAAGCAAATCCTGCCGTACTGGTGGTGTGGAAAATTTTGTGTACGGAATTAATGTAAGCTGCAATTCTAAGATCCAATCCTAGGCCATACACGTCGGCCGTATCCTGAATGGCCTGAAACGAAAATTTGGTCGGTGGTGCTTGAAAATTAAGGCCGTCCGCCACTTCGTAAATCCGATTGCAATAAACCATGCCGCGATTGAGTTTATATCAGGTGCAAAATGATCAAGGTCATTTGATCGTTTCGAAAATAGGTTAAAACGATTAAATCAAGCCGCTGTTAGTGAAACCGCAGATTTATATGGGCCGCAAATTTGCAAAATCTTCGGAATATTTAACTCTGGCCTCAGAAAATTATTTTAATCTCTTGGCACTGCATTAGGGTAAAAATTTAAAACTTTACTGACGACTAAATTTCAAGAAGAATAAGTAATAATTCTCTCTTAGTGAATGAAAAGTCATTGTCATAATATGAATGAATTTTTTTCTATTACTACGCCTCAGTGTGCCTGTGCTTTCTCCACTCAGTTTTCCCTTATCAGCTCTTTAATGTTAAAAAAGAAAGGAAACGGGATGATGACCAGTTCAATATAATTTTTTAAGGAAATACCCGCCCTTGATAGAATTTCGATGGCTATTGCTCAAGAGGAGAACTCGATTTTAATAACTACAAAACTGCTATGGACCATATGAATTTTGAAAATACTTGAATTAAAATAGATTTTTTTTTTTACTTGTATAGTTACAATTAGAAGAAGACGCATTACGATACATCATGAAATTCGGTTGGTTATAGCGTTGCCGCCATTCAATCATAACTGTGTATACCGGTGCTTATAGAATTTTTTTTAAGCGTCCATATAAGTTTGCGGCCAGACACTCACGAAACTCAAACAAAATCGACAACAACAAAAACGACCATGCGGCAAACTACTCGAGCGTAGTGAATATCGCATCGAAACAATTAATTTTTCCGAACTATCGCAATTGACTCACCTTGGCCGACCTTTCCATCGTGAAATTGAGGCCCGAGTGTACTATGTCTTTTTCGGAGGCGCCGGCGATCCTCTTTTGGAAAATTTGAGAAGGCGTGATCGGGATCGAGCCGTAATCCTTTCCGAACTTGCGCTCCAACGACTCCTGCACAGATTCTGGAACCACCAAGTCCAATGTTAAAGGTTCTGCGCGACTTCAGAGATCAACTCCCGGGGTACTTACGGAATAGATGATAATTCGAGTCCTTCTCGTATTTGAACGTCAGTCTGCCGTATGACACGTGGTTGATGTTTTTCAACCATTCGAAATAGGACACGGTCACACCGCCTGCGTTCACATACAAATCCGGAATGACTAGGATGTTTTTCTTGATCAATATTTGGTCGGCGGCGGGAGTGATTGGGCCGTTGGCCGCCTCAGCGATCAACTGCAACAACGATCGGAACAATATCATTAACGAGCAGATCTATCTTCAATATCCCATTCTACTGTCATTTCTAGTAATTCCATAATTTTCTATTTGAGGTTAATTATTAAAAGATAAATAATCTAGCAAAAAGAATGTTCACAATATTGTTCCGCTTAAACGCTTAAACGTCCTGTGCTAACCAGTGTGTGTATACGTTATTTGAGGACATCATTTGTGGCTGTAATTTATGGAGAACAATTTTCTTTCTAGATCATCAATGGAGGACTATAAAATAACGCAAGAAATGAAGAGACATGCAGTAATCGTTGCTATATGTGTGAAAAGCACCGATTTAGAACTCTCCAATTTTCTCAACTGCGCCTGATCATTTGAGCCTAAGGTTCGTCGTAAATTGGAAGCATCACCTGGCGATTTAGAAACTGTTGCAAAACGTAAAACACATGAGGAATGTTCGGACACTACTAGAAACACACAATTTGTCCAACAAGGGCAAGATATCGTTCACGAAATCCCTTCAAAGTCCTTGAGGGCCATTGCGTGGGACCTTAATGTCTCTGATGGTCTAATCCGTCGAGTTGTCCATGAAGACCACCATTATGCGCAGAGGACACTTGATGTCGGCACAAAATCGGAATCGGAAACAAGATACAAGATTGGATGACCGAAAATTTGTATGATCACATCACCCCAAACTTATGGTCATCTAGCTCCCCAGTTCTTAATCACCTTGATTATTACGTATGGGGCGCAGTTGAGCGAAAGACCAATAAACATTTCCACAACACTATTTCATCGGTGAAGGATGCTATAACAACCACAACGATCAACATGAACAAAGAGCATTGGTTTTGGGTATGTCATCGTTTCCAGTCTCGGATTGAGTTCCTTATTGGAGATTTTATTCAATGATTATATAGTCTAAGAGTCAATTAATGTTATGTAAAATTATCATGGAGTTATAATAAATTTTGCAATAAATATGAATAAATAAATTTTAATATTAATTTGTCCGCAAATATCGTACGCACCCTGTAGACTATTTCAGAAGAGTGTAGAGAAATAAAATTAGAAATTCCGGTGTCTTGCAATAAAATTATTTTTGATTAATATTTTAAATCCAGTTTAGCTTTATTGTCATTTTTGACCACTTCGTCATTATTCCTTTATGACTGATGAACTACCAAAAAAATTGAGTTTGAAGATAATGTGATAAAGAAAATGGTATGGTTGTGGAACATATGGGAGAAAAAGCAAAGTGTATGCCCAAATCGCCATATGATTGCGGACTAAATCGGCTCAGCATTGACGAAGTGACACCAGAGAAGTAGTATAGCAAGAAATTACTGCCATGTCTTTACTATTTTAGCCTTTGACATGATAAATAATGAAACTTTCATTAAGAAAACAATGTGTAAATTTGATGTTACATACTTATTTATATATAAGATGTGAAAAAAAGTGTTTCTTTTTATTGGAAGCCCTGTATATTATTGCATAGAAAGAAAGGTCCTTTTAAGTTGATTTCAACAATATATCACATGTTATAGTTATTCTTTGATTTAAGGCCAGAATTAGTCAAAAATAAATCGTCACATGCATCATCATGGGATCACGTGACACACCTTGAATATTATTATTGTTAAAAACGGCCAAGTTTAAAAAAATAATAATTAAAAATAATAATAATAAAAATAAACCGTGTGTGTATATACAAAAACTTGCCTTGGCTTTAATTTGGTGAGCGTTGCCCTTGTGGATAACTTTTTCAGTGGCGGCTGGGACGAGGATGTCCACTTCGTGAAACAGCAAGTCCCCTTCGTATTTTTCGGCGCCGGGGAACCCGTTGATAGTCCCGTTGTTTACCCTCCATTCTTCGAGTTCCTGCAAGAACGTACAAAAAAAAATACTATTACAAAAAACCTGTGTTGAATAAAAAGATCCACCAAATCATGCACGCACTATTCGGAAAGCTCAATTCATACCGCACTTTCTCAAGAGTGCAGGAATTTTCTAGAGGATGGTACCTAGAGTGGTTGAAAAAAAATGCCTGCAAAAACGCAGAAATTGTGGATTAAGGATCTTTGATGTAGGGATTCAATTTTGAGAACTTGGTTCAACTTCATTGGTATCAAGAAATTAGTATAATATTTTTTTAAAGTGCTAAGTGATAAATACTGATTCATTCATGTGACAACTGATAATATTAATATAACTAGATCTGAGAGCTTTTGTATTGGGTATCCAAAAAGTATCCAGGAACAGTTCCGAAAGTAGCAAATATCAAAATGTCGGTTGGCTTGTGTATTAAATGTTGGCCACATGAAAGCAAACGTCTAGATCACCAGGCGCCAAAGGCTTCTACAGTTTCGACTTACCTTGGGGTCGATACCGTTGGGGTTGTAAATGGAACCGTCATACTCGATAATGCCGATGCATTTCGCGCCTGCCCTGTCGAGGTATCGCATGGTGTGCAAGCCCACGTTACCAAAACCCTGAACGATGAACGTCTTGTTTTTCCAACCGGGCTGCAACCCGCACATTTTCATGTAGGACTCTTCGTTGATGAAGTTCTCGATGCCGTGGAAGACTCCGCGACCCGTGGCCGAAACCCTACCGTGGATGCCGCCCTGGTTGATGGGTTTGCCGGTGACGCATGCGTGACTGTTGATGTCTTGGTACCCGATGGTTTTCGAATATGTGTCGGCTAACCAGGACATTTCCCGTTCGCCGGTGCCCATGTCGGGCGCTGGCACGTCAATACTCGGCCCTGTCGGAGCGTAAATCTTTTTATGTAACAAATATGGTATGTTTTTTCTAAAATTTGAAACAAGTATAGTCGTATGGTCCAACTATACCGTTTCGTTTTTCAACTTTTAGGAGAACTTGTAAAAGTTCTAGTCACAAATGTTATTGAAATGACATAGTACGATTTAATATGCGCATCTCAGGGTCGAGGGGTGATGACGTTGAAGCTCAGCGGAGTTCTATCTACACAATCAAGTACTCCAAATTTCTTTTACAGTCCAATTATTCCTAGTTTCCCCCATTGCCCTCGGGTTATCGTTGTATCCATATATACCGGATGTTACAAATTCGACTCTCACCACTGGAATCTCGGGAACGGTAAGAAATACAGGGTGGCTTCAATTAGGACAAAGTTGCGCATCGGTGAATTCAATAGTAATTTTGAAATTGAAGTTATTTTTATTTTAAAACTTAGCCAAAACCTGTAGTTACATTCTCATTGGAACTTTTTAGGCTTCATCTTATGGCCAGGTCAAAAATCCCTTACGACGTTTCATTTTTTTCAAACCATAATAAACTTTATTTTTTCTTATGATCGCCATATTGGATTTTGGTAGTATTGAGAGCAGTATTGAGTATTATTACCTTTTTATTTGATCTTGGACAAGTTGTATTTACATTCGAAAAATTATGCTAATAATTTTCAAATCAAGTCAAGACATAGGAAATGTATTTGAACATCTATCCTGAAAGACGACAACCTCATCGAACTTTGTTTAAATTATTGGATAGACATCTCGCTGAGTTTGCTTCCTTTGAAAAACTAAGACCAAAATATGGAGACAGAATGGGGAATGAGTAAACTAAAGAAAATTTAGTTAATGAGGTTAGATTAACGTGAAAATATTTTATTCCTTTCATTAAAAGTAGCCCAAAAATATGAACCCCAAGTTTTCTCTGAGAAGTACCTACTCTCATACGAGTGCTTGTGAGACACTTAAAAAACGTGGTTTCAAATGCTAAAAAAATTCGTATCTTCCAAAAATTAAATCAAGGTGATCCCAGGCGATTACAAATTTGTAAATGGCTACAAAGGAGACCCGATTTTCCAGCTTTTCTAGAAAATGTGATTTGGAAAGATGAAAGCGCTTTTACAAATTGGAGCATTAACAACCCTAGGCAATTTCGAGAAATTCTAGTGCAAGTTCGATTTAGTCTTAATGTCTGGGCAGGTATTTGTTAAAACAACATTTTAAGCCCTAATTTGTTAACGGCACTCTGAATTAGTTTTGGTCAATTGAAGATCAATTGACCACTTCTTAATTGACCGGTCAATTTATCGACAATTGGCCATTGTTTTAAATAACAATTGTGGAGTGTTATCTATCATTACTTAATTATGCGTTTATGATGTCTATTTTCCCTATAACACATTTCAGCAAGATAGCGCCCGCCCCACAATCCAATTCAATTATCCGATTATTTTTCGTCAAGGTTTGGTGAAAGATGGATCTGGAAAAATGTTATTCTTACCTCATTAAGTAAATTTTCTTTAGTTTCCTCATTCCCCATTCTATCTCCATATTTTGGTCTTAGTTTTTCAAAGGAAGCAAACCTAGCCAGATATCTATCCAATAATTTAAACAAAGCTCGTTGAGGTTGTCGTCTTTCAGGATACATGTTCAAATATATTTCAGATGTCTTGACACCGTTTTTATAATTTTTGTAATAAAGTTTTACCATATTTCATTTTTCTTCATTGGTAAAAGTCCATTTTAACGACACCGACAGATTTTGAAAAAGCATAGCTTACTAAGATATAAAAGTTGTTTAATACTTTGAATTTGAATATGGCAACCGTAAGAAAAAATAAAGTTGATGGTTTTAGCAAAACGAAACCTTGTAAGGGACCTGCCCATAAGATGAAGGATAAAAAGGTCCAATGAAAATGTATTTACAAATTTTTGCTAAGTTTTAAAATAAAGACGAAAACGGGAAGTTTCACATTTCAAAACATATTTCCGGGGGTTACAAAAATAACTTCAATTTCAAAACCGAAAATTAGTTTTTAATTTATTAATTTATCTATTGTATCTATTTTCATTTTACGAAGTGAAGGATTTTTTTTTTCTATTAGTGACCTATTAGTGCTGCAGAGTATATTTTGAACAGTTTTCTTCCGCCGAAGGAAAATAATTGCGCAACAAGGAACTGATCTATTTATTAAACGTAAACTAAACAATCTACATTGCCGACAAAGCAATAGCATCGAACAACTCTATGCATTGAGTACAACTGGTTAGATGTATTGAGACACAAATCACACTTGAAGTAGTTTCTCTGGTCTCTTCCCAATTTCTTTCAAAAACCTCATCGAGTAAATTTCTCCACTAAATTGTTTCGTTAGTTTTCCAATGTTCAGAATCAAATGTTTTCCTCGTTCGCTGAATCAGCTGAAGATTCAGCATTTTCATCTTTGTTTTTAATTTTATGCCTTTCTTTACGCTTGCGTTGCCAAACTATTTCGTTTTTTATTTTCGTCTTGAAATTTACAGTTTTCTTTATCTGTTCTTTATTCACGTTAGATAAAGTTAATGTACGATTATATCAAATATACTAAATCAAAAAAGTTACAATTTGGTGCGTCCGTTATCACCGGTTATCTTCAATTACCTCCGGTCAAATCCCTCACAAATGCTCGTTGCTCTCCTGTATTTTTGGTGGGATAGAGTGAAGGCGAGAGGATTCAATAATTAAATGTCAAATCTTACTACAATTTTTTTAATAAGCTTAATTTATAAAGACGAAAAAACAAACGAATTCACCGTTCTTATTACTTCGTCTATACTAAAAAGGGCTCCTGATTTTATTTGTGCCACCCGAATATTGGTACTTTCATAAATTCGTTGAATAATTATATATCAGCATCAGTATCGAACTGCGTAAGGACTTACTGCAATACGCATTATACAACATTTTGGAGATTCTTGTTTTTTTTCAAGGTTATATGGTTATTATTTGTCCGCATCACTTAGATAGATTTAAACTGATCATAAATAATCACTGTTGCGATTGAAATCAATTAAGACAAAAATCGAACTCGTGACTAAAATATGATATACTATTTTTTTTAGAAATCTCGAATAAGTTATTTACGTCGCCAGATAACGCCTCGAGAATATTACTGAAAATAAACGCTTACTGCAAATAGTGTTAAATGCAGATGCAGTCGCGAGACATTGTTTTGCGATTAAACTGTATTAACTGGGGCCACGGCTGAACACAATTTAGTTGTGCTAGCCACGTGAATCGTGTCGTTGGATATACATGTAATATGTAATGTTTTCTTTATAAACTGACACGCTAGAAGGCATTAATTTTCTGGAAATCAGGTTAACGTAAACCATTAATTCTGAAAGGCTTTTAGATTTTTTTAAAGGATTTTTTTGCGTGTATTGGTGATAATCCGTTCGTTGTTTGACCCTGGAGTAGGATCATTCGCCTGACGTTTCGCCAAAATATCACTTGACATCTTCAGAGGCCGCGGGGTCTGTGTTCGAAGGGTTTTCGGAGCGCGAGCATTGAAGATGCCAATAACATTTTGTCATTGTTGAAACTTTCAAACAGTAAACCCAAGCGATTTTGTAATTGCTTGCAGAAAATTCTAGCGATTTAATCACCTGAGCGGGACTACCTGTCAACGAAGCCCTTAAATAATGAAAACGCTGTACATCGTTGATTCCGTCCTTTTTGTGAACGAGTGACTCGAAAATATCACGAAATTCTAACCAATTTTGCAGCAAACCATCGAAAGTTGGAAAATTTTACGACAGGACAGACATTTTGTAAAGGATTAACAACATTTTGTCTTGCGGAAGATTCCTCTGATTCGGTACTTAAAAGAAATTGATTCATTAAGAATTTTTTTTGCGATTGACACCTGCGAATCCTAAAAAAAAGTTGTTGCGCTCTGTATATTAAATGATTGGAGCTTATTGTTCAGCAATATCCGCTAACACAATTTTTCGGTAAAATAAATCGTATAATAATTTATATATATATATATATATATATATATATATATATATATATATATATATATACATATACATACATATATATATATATATATATATATATATATATATATATATATATATATATATATATATATATATATATATATATACATATATATATATAGATATATATACATATATATATATATATATATATATATATATATATATATATATATATATATATATATATATATATATATATGATGACACTATATTCCGGGATATCATCCGTTCGCTCGTTGAACTCCGACTGGAATCCTGCAAATCTTGCATCCGACTGGAATCCTGCAGACGTTTCGCCAAAATCTCACTTGGCATCTTCAATGCTCGCGCTCCGAAAACACTTCGAACACTCGTTCACACAGTGTTCGAAGTGTTTTCGGAGCGCGAGCATTGAAGATGCCAAGTGAGATTTTGGCGAAACATCTGCAGGATTCCAGTCGGATGCAAGATTTGCAGGATTCCAGTCGGATGCAGGATTCCAGTCGGAGTTCAACGAGCGAACGGATGATATCCCGGAATATAGTGTCATCACATTTTTCCATCCGTGAATCAATACGTGAGAATATATATATATATATATATATATATATATATATATATATATATATATATATATATATATATATATATATATATATATATATATATATATATATATACTTTTGCAAAAACATCCATCCAAAAACTGAAATGTTGGTTGCGGCTTACCAACATGAGAAAATTATGCACAACTTGCAAAACGTAAAAAAACTTACTTTAAACGGAATTTCGTTCATTCTTGTTCTAAAAATGCAATTAGGTAAAAAAATTACGACCTGTCCAAAGTAGAAAGTTGGTAAAAACGAATATTTTGGCTCTTAATTCCAACCAAACAATCTTTATTAATTAATAGAAGCTATTGGCAAACTTATATGTAAATCAAGAAAACCAAAATTGTTTCATTTAGCAAGCCGCGATCAACGGAGAAAGGTTAGAATCTTTTAAAAAAGCAAAATATCGGCGCTCTGTTTCTTAATCCGAGAGAGTTATTTGTCTTAGGCGTATGTATGATCGTCGAATTAGAATTATAGTTCCTCTCGGCAGTTGTCGCCAAAGTTCGTTCTTTAAGATGAGTAGTGTATCTGAATTTATTACTGATGAATACAATAATACACTCGTTTTACTAAAAAAAAAAACAAGTGTCGAAAACTTTGAAGGAAATGAATGTTCTTTACAAAAAAATGCAACACAATCTCTTTTAATTATCTCTTTACATTATCTACTGGCGGCTACAATATTTGAGAGCATTACACAACTTATTAAAATTAATTAATTATGTCAAAATTTATATATTATTATTACTAAAAATTTTTTAAAATATTGTAAATAAATAATTTCAAATAGCAATTTATTACTGATGAATACAATAATACACTCGTTTTACTAAAAAAAAAAAAACAAGTGTCGAAAACTTTGAAGGAAATGAATGTTCTTTACAAAAAAATGCAACACAATCTCTTTTAATTATCTCTTTACATTATCTACTGGCGGCTACAATATTTGAGAGCATCACACAACTTATTAAAATTAATTAATTATGTCAAAATTTATATATTATTATTACTAAAAAATTTTTAAAATATTGTAAATAAATAATTTCAAATAGCAAAACAATTTTTGAATCGAAAATCGAAAAAAACAACAAGATTTCATTCTTCAAATTCAATTGTCAATAACTCTTTAAAAAATAACTTTATAAAAAATATTAAGAGACTCTTTGTATATTGAGTTATTTGTTAGCTACGAAAAAGAAACGAAACGAAACGAAAAAGTTAAATCAGGAAAACTTTATACTGTTTAAGGCTTGATTTCTTGGAAACGGCTGGTCTGATCAAAATTTTGAATTAGAGATAAATATTTTTGACTGCTTCTACGTAACAATGAGATCGAGACGAAAAAATCTTCCTTCTTCCTGTCTCTGACTTTATTGATATATTTTTCGTAAAACAGAATCGTCGATTTTTGACACTCTATAAACGCAGCACTGGGACCGAACATTTTTTGACAAACTAGTTCGCATGGTCTTTTTCGACATAACTGAATTTATCGATAATCTGATAAATTTGCCCAAATCGTAATAAATAAATACAACAAAAGAATTATTCAGCGGCGTTAACAGACATATTGTCCATTTGCTTGCAGTATATTTATGGAAGTGCAAATTTGTGGTTTCCCACGGTGGGATTAAATTTGACTTCCTTATTAAAACGGCGAAAAAACATTTTAAATTTCGCTTTATCACTGTTGAGTTACTTATATAAATATTTTTTGTGCTAAACGAGGATAAACTAGTCGAATTGGTTGTCCGATTAGTAGAGGATTGATTGATTAAACCTATTTCTAGTAATTTATAAAAAGAGCTAGACCTAGTAAAATGATTTGAGGATTAAGGAATCGGCCCGACTAGCTCTTGGCAACACCGCATTTGATTTATAATACACCATCTGTTGCTACACGATTGATAAATGGTATATTAATTTTAGTTTTAATTTGTTTTATCCTACGCCCAAGAGACTACTTTTGGTGGGATATCAAACAGTCATTTTAGACGTTTTTTATCATAGCTTTCTTTCGAAAAAAAAACACAGCTTCAGCTACAGGCACAAAAAAAGTTTTTTAACCCCTTAATTGTTAATAAACAAAACCTACTTTTAAATCTGACACCAGGTGGCAATTACAAAGTGGCCCTCATTTAGGTATCTTCTGTTACTAAAGAAATAAAAAGAACTAATGACCCACATCTGAAGACATTGTGCTGTGAATAAATCATGTGCTCCTATCTCTTCAACTTTAACTAATACACGTTTTAACTTTGAACTGGGAGTGGGTTGCATTGCAAATAAATTTCATTATCACTAATCTCCATGGTAGGAATCAGACACCCGTTAGTCCACTTTTGGGACAACCTATACAGAAATGATTCTCAATATCCTTCTATATCTTTGGAGTAATAGTTAAAGCTGAATATTAGAAGACATGATTTAATCACATCACAATAGGCGACACCATAATGAACCCACACTATACTACTACCAGCATAGAAATTGCAAGAAATAAAATCATCCAAACGAATTTGTATTTGAGACAACTTAGCAGCATTCACTTTTTGAAAACATAGGTTTTAAAACCACTTGTTTCTGTGTTTGTAAGGTAAGGTAATTTTTTCGAAAATGTTTTATAATGAAAACTACAGTATCAAACATATTGAAAATAAAACCATTTATTTATTTATCTTCAGTTTTTCTTTTTGGTTTGTTTCTGGTGGTTACCACTTTTTAGTAACTTTGATAAGTGGCTTGTCTGATTTGCTTTGAATGTAATGCATGTGGTTTAATTAGGGAAAATCTTTGAGTTTTCATTGTCTCACCAATAAATCCCTTCTTAACCAATTCCAGTGTGAACCGTCTGGTGATCTTCTCGAGCTCGTGTTCGGAATACTTCTTGGGGTCGATTTTTACGCCGGCTTTGCCGCCGCCGAAGGGCACATCGACACATGCGCACTTGAACGTCATCAAGGCCGCCAAGGCCTTGACCTCGTCCTTGTTAACCTCCGGCGAGAAACGCATTCCTGAAACAAAAATGGCCATAGTGAAATAATGAAAAAAATATTCCCGACCATTTACCAATAAACATTTTTGTCCTCAAAATCTACTGAGATATCGTCCAGAGACATCCTTATTATTATATTATTATATAATTTACGGCGTATTAAGGTTTACTATAATAACAATCTGTACAGCATAGAACAATGCCGTCCATCATCAATCAACCTGAAAAAGTTGGTAGAATTTCTTTTAAAAGTCCTTTTATTATTATTAGTTTTATAAACGCCACATTTTCATCATTGTGCGATACGCTTCAGGGGACTGGGAGCCTGAGGCGGTGTTATAACGAAAATCTTAAGGGTCCCATGGGCCCTTTTGGTGCCTGGAAATTTTAATGTCCTAAACGGATTTTTACGTGGCTCATTGCCTTTCCCATTACAATGGGTTTTTCTTTGTATTAAAAATGTTACTGTCCTACGTAGCTAATAATTTGGAGCACACCTCAATTTATTGAGCAAAATTTTTCTTCTATGAGTTTCTTTTACAGATACTCTCCTGCGAATCTAAGCTGGCTATCCATTATCAAACTCAATTTTCGCTTGCTATCGGTAAGGAATTATTTAAATGGATTTTAATAAAGCTGATAAATTTGTTATCGGCATGTGCAATACCTTCAGGATGAAACTAAAGGTGAAGTTAAGGAGCATAAGCATAATACAATACAATTTGAAAAGCAAGTAATGATTTTTGGTTCAGAGGTTTTATCGTTTATCCAATTTTGCTGTCATTGGATACGTAAAAATTAAATTAAAACAACAACGGTTAACAAAAAAATGTTCCAAATACTTTCCTCAGTTTGCATATATACCTTATCTATCAGTTATCTTTATTGCTTAGGAGACCACCCAGCAAGACTCGTTGAAACAAGTGTCTGGCCTTGTAATCTAAAGTATTGCGATATTGTTTCAACCACATGATGACATGTAGCAATTGATCAGTGTGATATAACGGAAAAAATATGATTTAAGTCATTTAGATTATGATTAATGAAGCAGAATCGAATTTAATCCACTCGGTTCCACAACTACGTCTTGACTAAACTTATCATAAACCCAAAAAAAAAATCGCATAATAGGACCCTAATTATATCTCCTCACCCTAACTTGCCCTCTCTGTCTTTTATTGCATGAGACGCCGATACATTTTACAATAGGCAAAAGAACAAAGGGGTCTTGTCGGATATGACGTAATACTATAAATATTCTAACACTTGGCTATCCTGACTATTTGTCTGTCCTCAGACCTGATGGTAAAATTTACACGTAACTTCTTACAATCTTACAAAACTACAATAATTTGACCATTCTAGCTTGGTTTATAGTCTTAATCATTACGTAATAAAAAAAACATAATCAATAGTAAGTATTAGAGTATCTTAAACATAAGCGCTATTCTCTTGTAAACAAAAAAATAGTTTAGTTATAGGCAACGTTTGCCAAAACACAAATCACTAGCGACGTTCGCTTATAGGCAACGTTTGCCAAAATACAAAATACAAGCGACTTTCGCTTCTGGGCAACGTTTGCCAAAACACAAAACAAAAGCGACGTTCACTTATAGCCAACGGTTGCCAAAAAAAAAATACAAGCGACCTTCGCTTATTGGCAACGTTTGCCAAAATACAAAATAGAAGGGACTTTCGCTTATAGGCAACGTTTGCCAAAACACAAAACACAAGCGACGTTCGCTTATAGACAATGTTTGCCATAACATAAGCGACGTACGCTTATAGGCAACGCTTGCCAAAACACAAAACACAAGCGACGTTCGCTTATAGGCAACGTTTGCCAAAGCACAAAACACAAGCGACGTTCGCTTATAGGCAACGTTAGCCAAAATACAAAACACAAGCGACGTTCGCTTATAGGCAACGTTTGCCAAAATACAAAACACAAGCGAGGTTCGCATAAAATTCTGCTAGGTACTCCAAATATATACATTAGGTCGGGTAAAACCCTAATAACGTATTTACTTTTTTGATTATGTACTAGTTCGATTACAGTGATTCTTTTTTTTTTCTTCCTTTTGCTTGTCATAACCGGCCCAACATAATCTACATGTAATGTATGAAAAAGAATCGGATGTTTTTCAATAGGGTTCAATTTACATTCTCGTTTGGAAAACGACTGTTTGTAATACAAACAACTTAGACATGCGTTAACATATTTCTTTACGAATTTCCTCATTTTTGCGAATCAATAGTTTTCACGAATTCTTTGTAACACTTTTTCTACACCAAAATGTCCAGAATCATCGTGACACAAACGACAAATTTGCATACGTGATGCTCGTGGAACAACCCATGCTTTGGCTCCATTTCCTAATTTTCTCTATAATTTGTTATTCTTTAACTCATACTGCTCAAAGTATAACTTTGTATCGCTATTTTTATTTTATCGGCTAAAATATTTCGGATTTTACAAATCTGTTCATCTTGCATCTGTGCGGCGGTAATCCAGTCAGCTTCTGTCAAGTCTATTTGAAAAACTTCAACTTTAAAATTATTGTTCGATTTGGGGTTCCTGCTAAGAGCGTCAACATACGTCATCTTTTTGCAGGTCCTGTTCTTCTTAACTGACCTCACTCCTTCTGCACTGATTTCTCTCCCAAGAAATACGCACTTACTGATTTTTAAAGTAAGGTTATGTGCAAGTTGGATTAACACCTTTTTTAAACGTTCTAGTCCCTCCGCGACCGTCAATGAAGGAATTATAATGTCATCTATATACGGAAAGGCAGATTCATCTTTTAACGGTCCCAGAACCTTGTTTATTAATGATTCAAAAACTGAAGGAGCATTTGCTAACCCAAAAGGCATCCTTAAAAATTCGTAATGGGCATCGGGGGTTACAAATGCATTCTTTTCAATGGAATTTGCAGCCATACGAACGTGACAAAAACCCGATGCTAAATTTAAACTGGTAAAATACTTAAATCCTCCTAACACTTCTCTCACGAAAATACGAATTTCGGTAGGCATGTTACCCACGTAATTTAGATACGGTATTTAGATACGCGAAAGTGCATTGGCATTCTCATGTTGCGCGGCTCTAACAGTTCGCGATATATTATCATCTTTAATACCACCGATTACTGCGTAATCAAATAAACATCAGGTATGTTTATATTAAGTGCCCTTAATTTAGACATTTTTTTAAAACAATAATCCCCTAGGTTTTGTCCCGGGCTAGTCTCATAATTAGCGGCGTCCTTTAATAACTTCGAAAATGGAACAGACTTACGGAAATACAGGCTCATTGATGTTTTAATTTCAATCCAGCTTGAGTCATACTCCACGTTCTCGTCATACCACTGACGAGCGTTACCTCGTAATCGTCCGTAAATTATCCGAAGAATAGCATCATCGTCCAACTGAGCGTTCTGCCAAACTATCTACTTTACTCAACCAATTTTCTAATAACACGTCATCCTAACTCGGGGTTAAATTTCGGCACTAAAAGTTCGTCTACCGCGCGAAAGACCGGTTTGGGCCTTTTTAAATCGTTTAATTCTTTTCTCAAACGCTATAACTCGAATTCGAACTGTCACTACCACTTCCCGAAAACGAGGATGAACATTCTCTCCGTTTTTTACGCTTTTCGCTTGTATCTGTTCTCGATTTAAATTTTCCCATGACGTACAATAATTTTAACTTGTCCGAAAAAAAAACGATTGATTTTGATAATGTCCCACCGCCGCTTTGTAAGGATAATCAAGTAAAACAACATAATGAAGCATAATTGAATTTAATCCTCTCGGTTCGACAACTACGTCTTGACTAAACTTATCGTAAACCCAAAAAAACATCGCATAATAGGACTTTAATTATATCTCCTCACCCCAACTTCCCCTCTCTGTCTTTTATTGCCTGAGACGCCGATATATTTTACAATCGGCAGAAGAACAAAGCGGTGCCTCTTTGACACAAAAGCATCAAATTTTAATAGTCAGCAAAATAAAAATCTTTTTTATTGAACATCCTGTAATTTATTTAATTATCAAAAAGTGCTTGAAATACGCTTTCCAAAAATTAAACAGGCTTTGCACGAGTAACCGTAATACAGAAACCAAATGTGTAATGATTTTCAATAGCAAAAAAAAAATCCTTGTACAACAATAAACTTGACCTTTGATTTTCAGGCGTGTGGTAGTTGTAAAATGGCGATTTCTCGACAATGCTATGATCCGCGTGACATAAAATCGAAAATAAAGATAAAGTTTTATTTGCGGATGTGTGTGGAATATTACTAGGTACTGGCATTAAAAGTTAGAAACTACTGACGGCTTCTAGATCATATAAATAATCCTATAAATTTTATGTTAATTATTTAACGAGCAAATATATGTTTTAAACCATACCGAAAGTTGCATTTTCCCATCTCATATTAGGCCAGGGAATCGTAGCTTATATGAAAATGACTTCAGAGTGTAGCAAAACATTATTACCGGCACTTTTTATTATTTTCGAGACTGTAACGTAAACTGCTACTACTTGCAAAGAGGTAATAAAAAAACAAATTCCTTTCACTTATTTATAGAAATGATGAACAAAGCTTTGATAGGAATAGGGACACTGAACTATGATATTGGAAAGCTCTACATAAAGGTGCCACCTGTTTATCTTCTGTGCTCATAGCATCTCGAAAATTTGTGTAAATTTTCTATATATACGCTTTCTAACTAACCAAAATATTTTATTGATGTCCTGAAAAACTGTTTTTTATAAGTCTTTAGCTAAGGACTGAAACTACCCTTTCTTTCGCTGTTAGCAAAAAATTATTAACAACAGGGATACGGACAAAGGCAGCACTTTTTTTTCTAATCCTTGTAGAATTTTCATTTTTCGGCTAGAAAAGACTGCGAATTAAACATTTCAACTAAGTAAGGGCTATTATGAATGAACACTGTTAAAAACTGAAATAAAATAATCGAACATAACCTCCAAATACTATATGTTGGTTGACCTGCTAGATGACAATTTGAGACGTCAAATAAATTAACAAAACTCGTTCCTACTGTAAATCCGGCTAGAGCTTTATGAAGAAATTAATGAATTAATTGTCGATGTAAAACTAGTTGTGGTGTTAATACAAAACATGACCGTTCACAGTTCCTCAACTACTCAGCTGGATGTAGCAACATTTCTTCAAAATATGGCAAGGTCCCATAAAAGTTTCACAGAAAAAGACGTGTAAATTATGTGGAGAACTTTGTTTAGAAGAAAAAATTCGCACAATTCAGGTTAGTGGGTGGAATTTATAGGCATTTATGGTGGTATGTCAATTTTACTGTGTTTAGAGAGATTAAGAAACAGAACTAGTTACTAAAATTATTTGCAACTTAATCTTCTTTATTGTTTTTTGCTATGACTGATCGCGTCATTTCTTCTACCGTAGGTAATCACTTTTATTTCTTCACACCTAAATTACTAACGTACCTCCCTTGCAAGGTAGTCTGTGGGTACTGTGCTGAGCCCGGTACCCCTTAATGACTTCGTATTCGCCGTTGTCCCTTTTTATCGGGAACGCCACTTCGATGATGTGATCGCAGTGTTCCATGTGGGTTAAAATACCCCTGACTTTAGCTTTTCTTTGCTCTAAAGTCAGTTTGGAGCCTTTGACCTTCGCCAAGTCGTCGACGAGTTTGTCCTCGACCAGGACGCACGCTTTGTGGAAAAAGTACTCAACCATGTCGAAGAATTTTGGGTTTGGGTTGTCGGGCATGTCCTGAAATTCGAAAAGCGTTTTGCTTTGAAATATGCGAGGTGTAACAAGGAAGTGTGTCAAAAAAAAACAAAAGCGGGAAGAAAGGGATAATCTCTTCAATAGACATCCAAAATCGCCGCTTGAAAAGTCTTTTAACTTTGGTGCCTTGTATATTGAAAACAAAGCGCTCAATTGGAACGTGACAAAGAAAATCCTATTTTTTCTTTGAAACATTGCGAAGGTGGTTTTTATTTTTATTTTTTAATAGTTCCCGACCTCCAGCCCTCTCAGTTTCAATAACTTCTGTTAGGGGACCAAGGTATGTGCGCCAAATTTTAAGCTTTAATTTTTGGACACTTATTGTGTTTCATAGCGATGTTCGAAAAACAGACGAAGATCGCGAAAAAAAGATGGACGCCGGGATTTAATCAGGCTAATATGTCTCGTAGGCTATTTAAAAGGAGCTAAATTTTAATACTTGAGCTCAATCTGTTTGGAAGTTATTCGCATTTTTATGGAGCATCAACAGAGAACGGAGAAACAAACAAAAAAGGTATTTTTTTTCGACGATGATTTGATCTGTGTCAATGACGGTCCCATATTACTTCGAAAGTTCTGATATTATCAGCACAGGCAGAGTGCAATATATACGTATCAACACGTACCGTAATGTTTTTGTGCAGCCTATTAAACGAGAGCCTAATAATAATTATTATAGCAACAGTTATTAACATTTTTATTATAGTTAATCTGTGTAGCTAATTCTGTTTCATTCAGCTGTCCTCAAAATTTCTCCAGTGTATTTATTACAGTACGACTTATATTGACGCCGGAAAAATATTTTACGGCATAACATTTGCTGTTATTACACTTTTAATGCAAGTCTCAGAAAATGTCGATTCGAGGACATTTAATATGCACATGCGCGAGTTATGTCAAGACTCGCTCTCAACCAGTAAAATTTGTCATTTCAAATCTTGTTTTGACTATTACTTTGCGGCATTCATTCACCAATCAACGTGGCAGCCGACAGTTTGACAGATTTAAAACTAACCAAATATGGTAAGGTAACCTGGGAAAATGGGACAAATCAGAGGTGGCGCTGACGACACCACTTTGCAATTGAATCAGTGATGGCAGCACCGTGAATCCCCTTGACTTAACCTCGTTTTTGAGCTCTTGGGTGCGCTCATTTTGTGTTTGTGATTTTAAGTACTTAACATTTTCTCCCTTATCAGTGAAAATGGTTTTATTTTTTATATCTGATTAAGGCACGGGAAAAAATATTAATGAAATTTTGGTTAAAAGCAAAGTTAAACAAAACGTGCAGTGTAAGCCTAATGCCAAAATTGGATCAGCAGGGAGTATCGTTTTTCAACTTACGGGTAGAAAAAATTATACCCAAATGTTACGAAGTCTTTTTTTAAAGGAAATACGTCGTTTGTGTTTCTCATTTCATTGCATTCATTTTATATCGAGAAAGCAGCTCTCTGTCTGCTTATCCCTGGTGAGTTTTAACATGAGTTTAATGAGAAGGTTAGTGTTATATTGCTAAAGAGATTGAATTATATAAGTTTATATTTGGCATCATAATATCATTAGGTTCTACAACTAATGTACTAATACTAGTGTCCAAATTTTTATTTTTCATTTCAGTATTCTTTATATATTTATATAATAGCTATACGTCCACAAAATACTCAAAAATGTAAAACGGATTGATGTGGTTATAAGAAGATTTAATTTGAAATATTATCATAACATTAAAATATCTCTATCGTACCGGAAGAGACAGCTAACGTTTATTTTTTAGATATCATCAAAAGCTTTTAACTAATACTAATACCTATTTAAATTACGAGCCTTAAGCAATATTTTTAGTTCATATGTGTGCTAATGAAGTTGAATAATTATAATATGCGGTTTATATGATGAGGCAATTTTGTCTGGTTCTTGCCGAAGTGATGTAATTATATATCCAGTCGTGTATATAGGTATAATTATGTTACATCTAGATCAGCAAAATCGAAAGACGCAAGGTATTATTCCTATGAATTTTATCGACCGCCTTAACCAATTTTCGATTCAAAAAATGCCGTTAAAATAATTTTACACTATCCTATGAGGTTACTTATTTAATTGCAATGATTGCTTTTTCCCAGGATTTCGTATTTAAATTACCTTAAGACGATCAGGTATGACATGGTCGGCATAATTTCTAGTCTGGGTAGAATTGACCGTGGCCGGTAGAACCTTGATGATGGTCGCGATTTCGCCCTTGAACGGTGCCGCTTTTAACAATTTTAAATTAAACATTTCGGTCGAAATACTACTACGAACCACACACGTGTAAGACCGCGATTACGTAATCGCCTGTCCACCGCGCTGTTTGCCACGACCGACCCAGAAAAATAAAAAGGAAAAACAACGAAACTAAAAATATAACACCTCAGCCCAGCTGACACCGACCTGGCGAATATTTGGGTCGTCAGACTGAACGACGATGTATTCGCGATTGCGACGAAGGTTTCCCGATTACAACGGCCAATTTTCGCGCGCATCCGCGCCTGGCATTGCCGCATCCTGCCAGAAATCGTAAAAAACAGGAATAGAAACCTTTTCTGTTTTTTAATATTAGACCTTAAAAGCCGTCAAAGAAATCCGCAAATTACATTACGTAACGTGGTTGTCGATCTTATTGTTGTCCAGAAAACACTAGGTAATATTCTCGAGTTTGTTTTCAAAGTCTTGAGTAAATAACATTTTTTCGATTAGATGCATTCTCATGGGTTCGAATTAACAGCTTTGCAATAATAAATTATGTAGGTACAGTGCCGAATAAACTTTGGCTTGTGCGTCTGATGATTCGATTGAATTGATTAATTTTTATAATAACGCAATATCAGTCTCTGAAATCCGGATAGTCTTAACAACTGACAACGCCGAACTGAGATTGCTATTGTCACAGAGCACTAGCCGTGTGTGCCCTTGTCGTTTTTATGTTCGGTGTTTGGTAGTTATCTCTATTTCTTTACGTGTTTTTTATGACAAAAACCCACCCACTGAAAAGCTTGTTGCGTTTGTAGTCAAAACGGTAATGAAAGACATGGCCACACTTACAACTTGTATAATTTTCCATACTTTGCTCTTTCTGGACTTTACAGTATCTTTTCAACAAAGCTGTATATCCTAAACTCATTTTTGCCTGATGATTTAGTACGATCTGAACTTACTTTAAGAAAATACTGCCCTAAAAATGCCGCAACCAAACTTATTGATGAACTATCAGTCACCATGTTGGTTGCTAAATGCCGCACAGTTTTATTAGTGGAAAGCCAGAATTTACAATTACAGTGCCATTGGTTAAATAAGAGATTTTATATCTAGCCCACGAGCTTATTGAAGACTCTCTCAATTTTTTTTATAGTTGTTTCATAAGTTAAAGTTAAGGTGGTTGTCGAAAGTTGGCTGAACGATCCCAGATATTTTGGTCTATGGAAAAAAAAAGGAAAGAACAGCTGTTTATCATTCTGTGGTGTGCGCCATGTTGAAGAACACTCTTGATAAACAAATTTGAAAAAAAAAATGGATGTAACTTTGTTGTTTAAAGCTTGTGTTAAAACAGTGAAAACTACCAACAAAAACCTCGCGCTCAAAGATTCAAAACCCAACTTATTGAAAGTCAGGCGAGATGTACACCTTGCAAAGGCGAAGGAAATCGCCAAGCAGATTACCAGTCTACAGGATTTTCTAAGTGAAAACAAAGCTGCTTACTTAAATATAATAAATTGTCTATCGACAAATAAGACCATGTCCCAAATAGATAGAGATCAAGTTGACTCTGTAGCTGAAGACATTGTGAGTAAATGTTCTAGTTTAATTAGTGAATATAAACAGGAAATTTTAGTGTTACATAAAAGTAAACAACAAGAAGAGCATTACAAATATGTGATAGAGTCTTTAGAGAAGTATTTGAAAGATGTCTCCAAGATATATGCTGAAGCGAAAGCTCTAAGAGTAAAGAAAGTTATCGATACACACAAACTTTCAAAATTGGAATTGAAACCATTAAAATCAAAAGTCCGAAATCCGTTAGATATATCAGGCGACGCGGGTTCCATAAAACGAGAAATAATGCCAATTTCAACCCCACCACCCGAAGATTATGATACTCAATTGTCTCCTGAAGATATGCAAATGTTGGAAGCGGAAAATGAGCAGCTTTTTAACGAATTAAACAGTATTTCGGAAGAAGTCAGGCAAATGGAAACTAAAGTCGTTCACATTGCGGAACTGCAGGAGCTCTTTACAGAGAAAGTCTTAGAACAAGAGAAGGATATTGAGAGAATAGCGGAGACTGTGGTGGGTGCTACGGAAAACGTGAAGGACGCTAACGAACAAATCAGACAGGCGATTCAGCGAAATGCCGGTTTGAGGGCATGGGTATTATTTTTTTTGCTAGTAATGTCATTTAGTTTACTATTTTTGGATTGGTATAATGATTAATTCAAATGATTTGTTATTTTTGGTATTAAACTAACTTCTTAACAGCGATTTGTGTTTTTAAGAACCAGTACAACCATATCTCCACTTGGTAGGAAAAGTAAATAAACAAAATAAAAGGGTGATATAAAAAAATGTATTTGACTAGATAGGCACAATCTTGCAGTTTACAAATTAACTCCTAATTTACACAATTGTGTAGTGAAATTTAATTAAATTTACTTTAATATCAATGTTCTCAAACTAAAAATATTTTTTTTCTACAATTAAAACTATATCATATTTAAAGCCATAGGCAGCTCTAAAATCTTGCACAATTTTAATAAATTTTGTAATCAGTCAAATTCGGGTATGTCATCAAAAGAAAACCCTGGAACTTCCTTATAAGCATAATACGCTATTCTAACGTGGTAGGCGCCCGGAATGAACATGAGGATCCCCAAAATAATCATGGGCCACATCCTGTCTGGATACTGTAGTGTTACTTTTCCACTCAGTACTAATGAACCAAATATCAACAAACTAGTACCTACAATTAGTAAGAGGCTGGCCAGCATGATCGATTTCCATGGTATCTGTTGCGCCGGAATTTGAAATTGGGCATCCACAAAACCATTGTCATGAGTAGGTAATTTGACATATTCTTGATTTTTCGGCCTTCTTCGAGAACTCGTTATGTCATCCAGATAATCTACAATTTTTTAATTGAATTCATTATGGTTAAAAATGGAATAATCACCTGAAATTGAATTTAAGCTCATTTTCCCTGTTAAATGTTTTTTAGGTTAGTCCATAAAGTCCAATCTAATCAGTCATGAAGTCTTACAGCAGAAAAAGACCTATTGCGTTCTGTGTCGCAGATGACTGAGTTTCATCAGTTGGTCTTCTGTGAACCGGACGACAAATGCAGTGTTGCCAATTGGTCACTACAGAGTTCCTTGCCTTAGCAGTGTAAATAGGATATCTCTGTCATTTATTTTTCGAAGTGCCTACCTAATATTTACAAATATGTTTATCCTTCGTGAATTTTTTCATTCGGTGATTCCTGGGTTCTGGGGATTCCAACAATTTTCGGCAATTATAAAGCAACGCTGTATATCATCCATTGATAATTGATAATTCGTAGGTTAGATTAAAAAACGGAAAGTGAAAAAACACCTATTAATAAACAAGTTGACTTGATAATTTTGTTAATATGATTTCGCAAAATACAGTCTTCAGGAGCCACTCCCAAATAAACTTAATGAATGAACTGAAAATCTTCATTAAGAGTGCAACGATAAAAGACAAATCCACATTATTGGACCTGACTAAAACCGCTTTGACCCTTTTAAAGAATTTACCCTCTTGTAGATCGGCAGTATTCGATTTCTTTTGTACCGTTTTTCATACAACCTCATTAAATTATATAGAAGGAATAGAAACGGAAATAAATACGGGAAAGTTGCCGTCTCTGCCGGAAACAGATGAGATTGTTATATCAGAAATATATGTGGCATTAACTTCATTAATAGCAGAAAATTCGACAGCTTGGGCGCCAATAATCAGTACATGGTCGTTAGAGCTATTGGGAGATATTTCAACCAAGTATGCTGGCCGGGCACATATTTCATCTAGCTTGAATGAAACTCTGCAATTGTGGATGGGCTGTCGAGCAACCAAAACCCTGGTTGATATAAATACCAAGTGTTTGTCAAGTCTTATCTACTCAGACACAGAAGCGTGCATTAGTGCTTTATTAGACACATCTGTGAAACATTCACCCAATTTTGATTGGGTTGTTGCCCATGTTGGAAGCTGTTTTCCCAATACAGTTATTACCAGGGTGTTATCAGTGGGCTTGAAAGATTTTTCACTGAACAGGTCATATGACCAAGTCTGCAATTCACCAAAATTAAAATCGGTCGTTGGCATTCTGGGTCATCTTGCAGGAAGCCATGTGCAAGACATAAGAAATGCCATAGTGGAAATGTTTACTTGGAGTTTGCGTGAAGCTTTTACAGACACAGATGCTAGCAGGGTGCAGAAGAAGGCTACTGTGCCTTATATTTTGCATTTAGCTTATTTGTCTTCAACCCTTCTCTCATCAATTTGTAACGAAACAAGACTATTGCTGACTACAGATGTTATTGGAAAGTTGTACCACATGGCGGATGATTGGATAAAGTATTTTGGAACTCCTGAAAATTTGGAAGATCACATTATCACATTAATACTTAGATGTGAGACTGGTGGGATTCAAATCATTAATTTATTACTAAATTGTGCCCAAATTACAAAACTTAAAGGCTGCAATGACATTATAAAAAGCTGCATTAAAGAGAAAGCATTGGAAATTCTCGAAAATATTATTTACAAAATAGACGATTCGATTCGAAGCGGCGAGGCTGTGGAAATAATGACTTCTTGCTGCAAGGATATTCAAGAGATTAACAAAATGCTTTTGAGTCCAAACAAAATCGAGTCAGAAGTGGCGGGTCGATTTGTTATTTACTTGGGCAATATTAATCCGTCAAATTTAATAAAATCCTCAACTTATCTCCTAGAATATGCTACAAAGTCGGAACAATTGGTGCTGCTCTTAAAATTGTTGCTCAACGAGTTAGGGGATAAGACAGTGCCTCCTTATAATGAGAAGGGCGGTTATTTCTCTGTCGTTTTGGAGCAAATTCTGAGCAGGAACATACAAAAGTTCTCGAACACAAATAAGGAGAATTTAGATTTATCGCAAATGTGGGACAATCTGCTGACGTTGTTAAAGTGGGAAAAAAAGAAACAAATCGCTTTAATGGATTGCCATATTGTAACCAAAGCGTTGGAAGAGAACTTTATAAAGTTGACGTCGATATTCTCGAGCGAAGTAAGCCACATACATATAATAGCGGACATATTGGACGAAAGTGAAATGCCCAATGTTGGATCTTGTTATAGCCCTTCGGTAAGAATAATACTCAATCTAACGCAGGCTACCGTGAATTATTTTTTCGCCTGTTGCCGCGAGGAGGGAACGTCTCGAAAACTGAAGGGCTTCAAAAAAGTTTGCAACATTATGAAACGTCTCTGCACCTACTCGAAAGTAGCGAAAGTGTTGGCTTTGAGGGAGCTGCTGGAGAGGGCTCTGTTTAGAAGCGACAACGTTTTGTTCGGCGCTAAAAATCAAGTAATTCACGACGGCAGCGAAAAACTGCTCCTAAAGCAGAATAAAAAGTTCAACAAGACCATACCGCTAACGAAGCACTCGTCATTATTTAACGGCGGTATAATAGGCAAGGGCAAACGTAAAGCGGTTGCTGCGGAAGAAATCCACCCTGATGTCGTGGCGTCCAACACCTACGAACTTATAAACACGATCAAAGCGTGCTGCGCTTTGCCGGAAGAAAAGAAGTATACGGAAATATCTTTGGACAGTATGACTCTCTTGTCTCTCCTGCTGGTGCAGTTTGTTAGTCCCGACGTGATGTACAACGGACTTCCTTGGCCTGAAGAGGAGTTTTCAAAGGTCACTATTGAACGAGATTTGTTCATAAGGAGAATGTTCATCAATATTCCTCTCCTTTGGGACCTATTGAGTTTCGTCGCCATAAATCGTCCTGCCCTGTGTTATTGTTCGGTGCTACTGCGGGCGCTGACTGCGACTTTAATACACCAATGGAAGAGCGTCGGCAGTCACACTAAATCCAGCGAGACCGAGAATTATCGCACCCTGATGAGTACTACCGTTAAAGTAATAGATATCATGTCCTTGGGGCAGCTTCTTCCCCCTCCTTTGCCAAGTATAGGAAAGATTCTGCCCCACTTGGAGTATTACGAGATTGTGGACATTTTACGAGACTGCGTGTGGTGTTACATGAGGGATCATATTCCGTCGCCGGCATTGTTTAGTTGCGACGTCAATGAGATCCACTGGCGGGATCCGATAACGGCGAGACCTCCCGAGATTTACACGAACACGTTGCGCATTATCATGCAACGCAATATAGGAACTTTGGGATCCATGTACTCCCAGATGTTTATAAACCTTCCCACTCATTAATAAAATATATATTTTTTAAAATTCTACATTGATGTATATTAATAAATTTTGTAGAAAAAATTCACACCTTAGCAGACAATTTAGAGTTAACAGAGCCAGAGTTAGAATTTTTTTTATATGTTATGTTAAATATGCCAGGAAATATGGAGGATTAACCTGCGGTCGCAAAAGAGGCAAATTTTGGGGAAATCCCGGCCAAAAATTATAAATGTCAACCTGTGAATTTGGGGCAAACCCCAGCACTTAATTCCCGTTTTACCTCTGTTACTAATTTATTCTTAATCTTAGTGGCATGTAAATTCTAAAAGTGTATACACAATAACCCCCAGTAGTCTAGAAACATGGAAATTTATTTTTAAATGCAGAAAAATTGATGTTTGTATATTATTTCTTTACTTACCGTTTCCAGATTATGTAACATTGTAAGGGTTTTAAAACTCAAAAAGCTCAGAATGGGGGGAATAAATACGTTTATTTTCCAAAGGCGCGATCGAAGCCACTTTATTTCGGTCTTGCCCTTCTCTTACTATATAAGTCCTCTTTAATACAAACTGTACAAAAACAAACGACGCCCGAGGAACCGCCTCATAAATCCACAATTGGGGTACGGGGTGGCCCATAAAGGACACCCCACCACATCTTCAAAAAGAGAAAATGCCGGAACTTATTTTTAAGTTTCTAGAATGGCGGGCAGGGGACAATCGTATTCTTGAATTTTAAATCCCCCTTTTTGAGAAATAATAATAAGAATATGTACATGTAAAGGGTTTTTACTCTACTTCTAGAGGGCTGGGAGGTGATTGGTGTAAATATCAATAACTTTAGAATGGTTGAACACATTTTCTTAAACTTATCAAGCACTTCTATAAGTGGAAAAAGCATCTTTTTTTTTACAAAATATACGCCATAAATAGTTGCAATCTTAATTTGACACTTACATAGATGGAACAATAATCGATCATGTTAATTATTAGTGACATTTTCAACATAATTTTTGTATTTTGACAGTAAATTGACATACATTTTGCTAAAAGAACGAAAATTGCGATTTAATTATGGCAAGAATACTTAAAACATTCCTTAGTTGGGATAGGAATAAGATATGTAAATGTGGTTTTCAGCAGCTTTTGTTGGCATAAAAGTGATATTGCATTTAATTTGTTTGAGAAAATCTGTTCAGGTCTGCATTGATGCCCTAAGAAAAACCCTTTCAACAAAACTAAAACTGCTGCTTGAACTGACAAAATGCATTCATTAGCATTTATTTCCGAAAATGTTCACCTCCCCCACCACTTGCCTTTAACAGGTAGGGCAAGAACTGCTTTACGAAAAAGAATAGAATTTATCTCAATTTTTCAATTTTTACCATCTGTAATATAAGATTATTTCTCAAAAAACGGAATTCAAATTCAAGGATGCGATAACGCATCTTATCCGCCAATCGAGAAACGTAAAAGATAGGGGCCGCGTGCCCTTTCCAATTCGCCATCGGGTATGTCATAAAACAAAAATTTTCAACCTTAAAGGAATTCCTCGAGGTTATGTGAACATATAACCCATAAAGTTCAAACTCAAAAGTTTCCGATTTATTCCGCGGGCGGCGCGACCCCTTCCGCTAAAGGCGGACGATCTTCCTCTATGACCGGCTCGTTTTGGATCTCGTCCCTGAGTGGCGTGCCTCCGCCCTCGTTCAACGCAATTACTTCTTCTTGGGGTCCAACCGCGTCCATCTCTGACGGTGCCTCGACCCTTTCGTCCGTCAGTCCTCGACCGTTGCCATCGCTTTGCTCGTCCGGTTCGCCACCCCACCTGCTGCTTCGTCTGCCCGCTTTTCGACCTCTGCCGAATGGTGTGTCATCATTGAAGACAGGCGCGTTGCCGTCGTTAAATGGCCGACCCTCGTCGTAGGGCGACGGGCCTTCGTCGTTTTCGAAAGGCGGCGGACCGCCGTCGAAGTCCGGACCGTGTCTACCGCCGCCCCGACCGCCGAATCGGGGCCCGCGTCCTCGGGGAAACCGTTCGTCGAACATGCGAGGCATTCCACCTCGGGGACCTCTGAAAAAATCAGGCGGACCGTCGAACCGCGGGTTGAAGCCTGAAACGGAACATGGACGTGTCGGATAAACGGTTTCAAAGTCACGTCAAACTTTGGTAAATATAAAAATTTGTATCAGTAATAGCGATTTACAACTATCATTTTCAAATATCTCGCGAACCCCGTATGAAAAGACAAAAACTGTAAATAAAAAAAATGTCTCTCTCTCAACATGGCCGACATCACTGCCTAAACGAAATTGCTTCGTTTTTTACGCTTCTTCATCTGGGGCTAATAATTTACCCCACAAAAAGATCTGCCGCGTTTGCTATTTTAAGAAATTTTCTAATCGAATAAATCGTTTTCGAGAATGCTCTACTTCACTAACAATTTGTGTTTTCGTTTGACAAACTATAATTGCGTACATTCATCATTTTCATAAATTTGAAACTGCTAAAGGTACTAAAACTATGTGTGACAAAACACACCATTCAAACAAGAATAAAGGTGATGTTGATGGCAAAGATTGCCATATAAAACAATACAGTTGTATTAATTCAAAAATAGTTTTTTTTACCAAACCAGAAGTTTTCCCAGTTTTTAGAGTGGCAAAAAGACCTGCCCACTATTATTTAGATCTCCAGAATAATTTATTTGGTTTGGTTGGCTGTGCTGCATTCCACGAAAATAGTTGCCATTAGAATCCGGCAGCACTCAACTTTTTTATTTTAAAGGAAGGTTTGAGATAAATAAATCGAAAACATGTCAAACTTTTTTTAAGTCAATTCCGACTAGCAATTTTGGGTTTTTATTGACACAGTATAGGGAATCAATTTTTGAATTAAAATTTTTCCATAAAATAAACTATTATGGACGTATAAAAGAAGAAGAGATTTTTATATTAACACAGTTGATTTTGTGCTTGTAAATCTGTATACAAAAAACATTTGTTTACTGTTGGTTGTGATATATAGTTTATGTTCCTCTTTGTAATATAACATACTTTGTATTGCATTCTATAAAGTATACTTTGAAAAAATAAATTTGGTCGCTGTTATCGTAAACAAAGCACTCACCGCCTCTGCCCCTGAGTCCTCGCACGCCGAAAAAGCCTCTCGGACCCCTGATCCCACGCGGTCCGAAACTGGGCCCGGGAGGACCTCTGAGTCCGAAATCTTCAAGGGGCGGATAAAAATCGGGCCCGCCTCTCCTGTCGTCCCTAAAATCCCGCCGTCCCCGCCTGAACCTGTTCGGCGGTCCGCCCATGGCCGGCCCGTCGAACATGTCGGGAGGCGGTCCTCCGTCGTATTCAAGGTGGAGGCCGTCGAATCTGTCGGGGGGGCCGCCGTCGAACTCATCGAAACCCCTCGGTGGACCGCCGAATCTGCCGGGGGGGGCGCGGAACCTGCGAGGTGGCCCGTCGAAAGGTCGCGGAGGCCCCTCAAAGTTGTCCATGTCACCGTCGAAACCGCGGTGAGGGTGAGGGCCTTCGAAATCGGGCGGGTAATCCATCGGAGCACCCTCGAAGCTCGGGGGTCCCTCAAAGTCGATAGGGGGTTCCCCGAAGAGCATCGGAGGTTCGTCAAAGTTCGGCACGGGTTCGTCGCGGAATACGGGAGGAATTTCCATATTTGGACGGACGAATTCGGGCTCGACCGCCAACGCAACGTAATCGGCATTATAGTTGTGCTGTGGGTCGAACGCAGGAGCAGAGTCCGAAGACGCATCGGCGGGGGCTTCGCCGTGAACCGGCGGCAGCGCACAGTGCTCCACGCTGTGGACGAAATAAAAAAAAAATAAATAAAAATTACATACATCGCTTTTCGTCTCGTTGGCAGCGCGACATTAATCTAGCAATACTAAGCTTTTGTACGCTTTTTATTGTCAGTTTGTATCATAGATAAAGAAAAGAATCAGATGTGCATCTTAAATTCACGAACAAACTTATTGTCGCTAGCATCGTAACAAATCCTCTCCATTGATGGATTGATGGTGGTAACGGTTTCAGATTGTTTGTTCTTTTTCCCTTGTGGTCTTTTTTAAAGTGTTGTTTGATTTCGTGTAAAGTAAATTTAAAAATACCAAGAAAATATAGGTGAAAGCAGATATATTTAAACCTGCAAACGTCACTTTTGACAAAATTCAAAATAAGTCAAAATCGGGAGGACTTGCTTAATGCAAAAGATTCTATTTAAAATATAATATATAATAACATAACATAATTTTCTTATCTCATAATAAAATAAGACAAAATAGTTTAATACAAAAAAGCATAGTATATAAGTTATATTTTTTAATTGAACGCCCTGTATATTATTGCTTAAAAACGCTGATTTCATCATTCCCTTATCGAATTTTAAACAATAATCTTTAATATATGCCACAACTGCTATAATTAAGCAAAAGACAATTTTATTTTTAGCTAATTCTTGTCTTAATGTAAAAAATAAGATGTATATTCTTGAAAAGCACCGTAAAAAGGCTAAAAAGGACTTTCAAATTTAAAAAAAAAACCTGTATATAAATAAGTATGAAATGTCCACAGGCTACTGTAATACTATTTGGAAATCTTCTGCATTTCTCCTGCGTCGGTTGTTGATGAATCGAACTTGCTGACGTTTCGCCAATGATTCTGTTGGCTTCCTTTCAGAGCTTAACTAAAACTGGCACTCATTCCACTCTGTACCTGGGTATATATTGTTTAAGGAGGCATGAATAAGCCCCTCAGCCTCTCCCATATTTTCCATTTATATTAATATGGTATATCAAGTAAATTACTACTATTTACAGATGACATGAAAATATTGTAGCTGTCCGTAATCAAGATGAATGTCATTTTCTTCAGAGGGATCTTCAAATGCTTGACTCTTGATGTAAACTCAACAGATTGCCATTGAATATTGAGAAATGTTTTTCTGTTAGTTTTTCGAAGAGGGTTGGTTGCATTGTTTTTGATTATTTTCTAAGAAATATAAAATTAAAACGAAACAAAGATTTGAGGGTTTTATTTGACATTAAGCTTCCATTTGCTAACCATATCAATCAAACTTGTAAGGGTGCGTTGTAAATGTTAGGATTTATAGTGCTGAACAGTCACTTTACTTCAGTTATGTTAGATCTAGAGTATGTTTTTTTTTTACATGGCAGCTTATTTTCAATAAATGTATTATTCAGTTTGAGTTCAAGGGAAATTTTTAAAGTTTCTTCCAGGTTCTAAGAAATGCTTTGATAATAATGTTGCGACTGAACTACCGACTTTAATTAATCGTAGAATTTTTACTTAAATTATGCAGATCTCTTATATACTGCTTCTTCTTGTTATTGCAGATCGGTTTTAACCTCCCAGGAGAAACATTTGAAATATTACCTCTTTCAACTCTCTAGAAAATTTTTGGTTAGAAGTCCACTCTTTCAAGCAACGGGCGTTTTTAATTGTGCTTGTAATGATATAGATATCAATGATCTAACACTGGCTCCGTTTGCTTTTTACGTTTCAGTTGATTAATGTAGACACTTATTTTTTATTGGTTTTGAATTTTATTTTGTTTTTTTTTTATATAAAGTTCTTTATATGGTTACTTTTGTTTGGGTTGATTTTTATTATGTTGTTTATTGGTACATTCTAGGTATTCGAAATTTACATTTGACTTAGCAAATAAATAGACTTGTGACAATCAAGCTTATTATTATTATACGACTTATTCCGTGGGTAAGATTATTTGGTTGCTTATAGATTTTAATGGATTCCCGGATTTTTCTTTGGTATAAGAATTTTAGTTTTCTCAAATAAGATCAGATGTCCGGTTTCGTGATTGTGTTTGGCAACTGCTGATAGGTTTATTTGTGGTAGTCTTAACGCTCTCTGAGCCCAGTTGCTGAATACAGTCACGAAACCAGACATCAAATCTTATTCGAGAAAACTGAAATTCTCCCACGTACCTGTGTAAATCTGTGTATATAGCAATCTATAAGCAACGAAACAATCTTTCACCAATAAGGGATTCAGTTATCAGAGACAATGTTCATTTCCATCCTTTAGCTCCGCGCCCTTCAAAAAATATATAAGCAGGTATAGAATAGAACGCGTACCGGTTTCGGTTAAGCCTTGAAGAAGCCGACAGCAATCCAGAAGATTTGTAAAAGGTACGTACAATATACTCATCAAACCCTTTTGCATTAAAGTTTTTGTCTAAAATGTAAAATAAAAAACGATAGAAGGGACTAAGCATTTGTAACATACAATATATTGTCAATATTCATTTAGGAAAGTATTTTTGACCGTCTTTACCGTATAACAGGCTGCAAGCCGTCTACTCCCACGTCAGTGTCGTGCTGTTTGACATCGGTCGCTTCTACCAGCGACGGAGGCGGAGACTGGTTGTGTCTCTCTTGAGGCGGCTCGAATTTCAACCGCTCGCCGTGGGGGCGCAAATCTTCGTCCAACCCGGCCTCGTACTTGGGACGACGCTCCCGCGACCCGTCCCGCCCTTCCCTCGTCTTGTCCGCTCTTTCCTTTTCCTCGTCGTCGAAGTTCATGCCCGCCATTTCCTTCAATCTATCATTCAGCGTTTTCTCGCGATCACGGCGCTCGCGTGCGTCCCCGTCCCTGCGCTCGGGTGGTGCCCACCGATTGTTTCGGTCGCGTCTGTCCCGGTCCCGGTTTCTGAGGTCGCGGTCCCGTTCGCGACGATCCCGGTCCCTGTCCCGATCTCTGCTGTCATAGCGTCCCCTTTCGCGTTCCCTGATTCCAATGCGACAGCGAGTTAGTAAATTATGGCTAACCGGTAATTTTGAAACAAAACAATATGAGGGATGCAAAGAGACATTTGAAAACTGAATAACAAGTTTTTTAATATTTTTTTAAAATATTGAAACTCTAGTTTTGGGTTTCTTTGATATTGTTAAAAACTTCTCCCCTCCCCTCCTGGATACTAAGAAAAGAAATCTGTATATCGGGTAAGTAAATAATCAATAAAGAACAATGTGGTATGCTCTTAAAAATGCAAAAAAAAAATCGGGCAAGACAAAATGCTAGAAATTACTTTCGAGATTCCGAACTGGCCACCAGCGGGCGTAAATACTACTTGATTGTTACAACTCCCTTTCTAAAAAAATTCCTCACATTAACCTTGGTAAAACTGAGTAATGTTTTACAGCTGACATTTCTTTGTTGTGACATACTTAAATATTTAGTAGTATCCCTTATTCACCTATTAATAATTAACTACTAAACTAATCAATTGTAGAACAATAACGAATTTTATTTTTTATAAAATTTCTGGATTCCTCCTGCGTCGGTTTTTGTTGAGTAGAATTAACTAAAGATTCGCCAATCATCCTGTTGGCTTCATCAGAGCTTGACTGAAATAGTTTCAAAAGAAAACTAGTTCGACTCAACAAAAACCGACGCAGAAGGAATCCAGAAGTTTTATAAAAAGTATTACAGTAGCCTGTGCAAGTTTACTTATAAAACTAACGAATTTTATTAATCAGTGAATTACTTGAATAGTAAAATGTGTGGTGAAATAATCGGTATATTTTTTAATGCAATAGATATTTCATAAATTAAAACTAAATAAAAAGGCAAGTAATTAAACTTTGAAGGGCATCAGAAAACATGAAAATGCGTGGTGTTGGGTTAGATTAAAATAAAATTTGTGTAAGGCAAAATGGATAATTAGGCTTTTCACAATGTACTCCTTCAATAGTTAATAAAATTAGTTTGTTTCCAACAATTGTGTACTGACTGACTTAGCGGTCAAACATAATTTCTAAGAAAAACGAATGTCAAAAGCTCTACCTGGTGGCAAAGTCAGTAATCCCATTAACAATCTAGGAAAAATAATTTTTAAACATTTCGTGTTTATTCCAATGCATTAAGCCTTTTTGGAGCTATGGACATGAAAATGTTCGAACGCGCCCCTATCATTTTCCTTGTAAAGATAGGGCTAACAGCATTAAGCGGAAACGATTTGAATTTGTATCAGTTAGAAATTTTTGTAGAAACCTAGTTTTAAAATTAAAGACAACAATTGCGCCCCCTGCATTTTCTCGTGTACAATTTACTGAGTTTTTGTTCAAATTTCTAATACAGTTACAATTCCCAGCATCCCAATTATACCTTCTTCGTGAGGAATTTCTCTCGCTACTAGCCTTCTAGGAGTATTAACTATTCTATTGGTTGCGAGTGATTTAAAGCTAAGAGAAATAATAGATCGAAATTATAACAGCAACCTCAAAAGCAAATAATAACTCCACAAACGAACCTTTGGTCTCGATCTCGGCTTCGGCTCCGCCTCTTGCCCCGGTCGTCGCGCCTGTCTCTCCGTTCGTCCTCATCCCTCTCGCGGCCTCGATAACCGACCGCCTGCTGCATCGCAGACTGCAACTGCTCACTGAGAGGGACGTAGCGTTCCCGTCTATCGTAGATGGCGTCCTCCATTTCCACATCCATCTGCGCGTCGTCCAGTTGCGCGTGGTGTATCGGCGGCGGCAGACCAGGCGGCGGAATATTCAGCGGCGGGTGTTGCTGCATCGCCTGCATCGAACTGATGCTCATCAATGATTCGCCAAGAGTGCGCAGGCTCGAATCCGATATGCTCGTCGCAGGGTTTTGCGGCGGCATAAAACCGGTCGTGCCTTGGTAAGCGAGCAATTGATTGGTCATCATAGGGGGCGGCATCGTTGGAGGCGGCACGCCGACCGGCATGTTCGGCGGCATCATGCCCAAGATCCTGTTGTTGAAAAGGAACGGAGAGACTGGCGGTAATAAGGGTGGCGGCGGCTGCAGCATGCCGGCTCCTGCCATGGGCGGCGGTTGGCTCGTGTCGATCGCCGACGCGTTCGACGAATCGCCTGTCAAAAATGGCGGCTGGTCCGCGTGGATGTTCTTCTTGTTCATCTGCTCGAGTTTCGCTTTCATCCAGGCGGGCAGCGTGTCCTCGTCGAACATGCCGCCGTCCTCCAGCAGATCCAGGTCGACGTCCTCCTTGATTTTCACCCACGGTATGTACGACACGCCCAGGTCACCCTCCCAGTAGTCCTTGAAATCTTTACCTTTCACGCCTTTGCCGGGTGCCCACGCGAGCTAACGAGGATTCATTCAAATTCAATAATAACCTTCCCCCGCTAAACATATATTTTTTAGGTGTTTCATGATTCAGACAGAATAATGTCATCATGTCCAAAGCAAGAAATGTCAAAACTGACAGTTTGAAATCAGGGTACAATAAAAAGCAATGCTGATACTGTGATTCTTTTGAGGTAATCATAAGGGTTTAGAAAAATCTTTGCAAAAATGCACCGCTGAACTTAATAAGCACAACTTTAAAGATCAGGCTCTTTTCAATCTGTGATAAACTTAATTGAACAAGTTGAAAATTAAAGATATTTTGTAGTGAAGCCAAAGGCTATATTTTGAATAACTCTTACGTGTTTGCCTGATCGTTTTTTTAGTTTAATTTAATTGTTGCAATTTTCAAATTAAGATTAAATTGTTACAAATTAGCAATGTAATAAATTAATTGTGGGTTTGACATATAGAACTTTTTTAAACCTATGGGTCTTGTAACTTATGCTTACACTTGGAAATTGTAGTATACACTGTGAGATTATAATAATAATAATAAAAATAATTATATTCTTAAGCTCCTAAAATCAGTTTGTGCAAATGCAGAATGGCATATACATATCAGGTAACTTTACAAGTTGTCTTCGCACACCAAACCTCTCAACTACTGGCTGCAGATAGTAATATTATCGAAAGACATTAACATTTCTGTTTTTCTTTGTATGTAAAAAAAGATTGACCAACTTCTTTTCGCATTATACATTATACATTCTTATAATATTTGGACAGCAATAACTACAAAACTTTTTGTTAAATTTGAAAATAGCGCTTTCCGCCTTTATCACAATCAAATCTAAACGATACTGAAGTTAATTGCAATATGGCAGAGATTTTTGCTTAACGCCATGTAGTGTCCCTATTTTTAATGGTGAATAAATTATATCGATCTGATATGCATCTTACGACTCTCTTCAAAAAAAGAAATATTATGATAATTCAAAGAACACCAACAAAACTGTTGTGCAGGACAGGAACACTAAATATACCCTGGACCTGAATTTAGCTACTCACTGTAATAACTTTGCCGCTCAAATTGTAGTTCTTTAATTTGGTGAGGCACCTGGCCGCGTCTTGTCGTCGATTCATCACGATAAACGCGCAGCCGCGAGGTGGAATTAAATCGATGCTCACGATTTCCCCAAACTCGCCGAACGTGTTGGACAAGTCGTCCTGGTGCACCAACTTTGAGAGGTGGCCCACCCAGAGGGTCGTGCTGCAAACTGCATAAAAAAAATCATATGAACAGCCCCTCAAACTACCAACCCAGGATTTAACTTTTATATACAGGGTGGAGTTGCTAGTCATCCATCGGACTCCACCCCAGCTGGCGGTTAGGGGAAGCCTCCCAGATATGAATGGTGCCAGATTGTGGCGTGGAAGAAATAATCTTCAAACAGTATAATATTGGACATTGGAGAGTCCAATTGAAACAACTTTAATGGTCTCTGCACTGCGGTACAGAAAGCAAACTGAAAACTACTGTACTATAACTATTTTTATTACAATCCCTATCGCTGATGAAAATCATGACACTGCTCTCAGTCCGGGACACTAAGAATCCTCCCGTCGTCCGCTATCGAAGACAAATTTTGTAACAAAACAAAGATCTACAATAGGATTACTCGCATTTCTACTTGGAACGTTAGAATTCTCTATAAAGCGTGATAACTGGTGTCGCGGGTAAACAGTGTAGTCCGTGAGACGGTTTCCACAAAAAAAAAGTTTCGAACCACTTAACACACACAATAATAACTTGATTTTTACTAATTTTAAACTAAACACTACGGAACAGGTAGATAAACAACCTGCCACTCTCGGGGCCCTTGACAAAGGTACCATGCAACAACAATCAACACTGGAAAGAACCAAACTTACCACTCAAGCAGTCCTTCTTGATCGACGGCAATCCCCTCCTTTTCCTTTCCTTCTCCTTTTCGGTCTCCTTTTCCTTATCCTTCTTGTCCCTGTCCTTGCGGTCCTTGGATCGAGACCTGTATCGTCTGGATTTCGATCTAGACCGCGACCGTCTCGACCTTTTGTCGCGGTCGCGACGATCGTGCGACCTGGATCGGCTCCGCCTTCGGCTTCTGCTGTGGCGATTGTCGGGCGAGGCCGAGGGTGAATCGTCGTGGTCCAGCGTTATGACCTTTAATTTGGTTATAGGTTATAATTATTCCACCAATTTTTTTTTTAATTAATTTTAGTGGCAGACTAATTTTACAGTGTTAAAACCATATAGTTATTATGTAGCATCTGGAAATAAGCAGAAAAAATACTATAATAATACTATAAAATGCTGCAAATAATTCGTTTAATCTATATGTGCAAAGACTATAAAATAAATGTAATTTAATTGGCAAGCATATGCAAATGTAGCATTTTTTTTAGGAATTGAGTAATAAATAATTTATCAGATATTAGAAAGCTATTTTTAAATTAACCATTTCGAGCAACCTGCATACTAACTATATAAATACTAAAATAAAATTTTTCCCATCAAAAACTAAGAGTTGTATCATTCGCTTGGGTAGTGTCAAACCAAACACGTAACTAAAATAACATTTACCAAATTTGTTGCCTAATATACTATTGTAGCTAACAACATCTTTCCTTCACTAAACTAGTTTGTAGGTCTACTAAAAACAATAACAACATATAACATATGAAACAAATAACTCTTTTTCAAAGTATAGACTTTTCAAGCCTAATTATTTGTCACACCGGTTCGTCACTGTGGGTATAGCTTAGTCCTATTGTATATTTATGTACATAGAATGCTACCTTTAATTTTAGTTACATTTCAGAAAATTTTCTTTGTATTGAATCGTCTTACGAAACTATTTCTCAGTTCAACAATGTGGATAACTTTCAACCCAAGGTAAATTTTATCGCTTCTCTAGTTATAATATTTATTTATTATTTATAAAAGTAATGACAACCTCTTAGTTACAAATAAATCGGGAGTTTAGTTTTACCTCGACATCGTTGCCCTGGTTTGATTCGCGAACTTCGCTCATAGAATAATTCGCGTTGGTGTCGTGTTGACCCAAGTCGTACTCCAGTGTTTTGTATGAGTGCATCTGTTCGTTTTCGGCGGGCAGCGGCGGTTGGTAGTATTGTCCGGCCGACGACACTGACACAGTATTGACGTTCAGTCGAAAATCGCATTCCGACGCGAACGGCAAGTTCTACAAACACCAAGAGTTTATCGAAACTTTAGTACAAAGAAAAAAACAAGAAATGGCATCTAACAAGTACTCGCTAATATTTTATGAAAAAATGGACTCATCTTTAATATACAAAAACACCGCAATTCATAAAAAAGACCTATACAAACCACAATAGACCTAATTTGGAGTATGTGCACAGTGTGTGGAATGCATACTATACATACATACCAAGGACATCGAACTAGTAGAAAGATATCAAAAATTCTGATAATTCCATGTGTGTGAGTACTCAAAAATGCTTCCTATTTGTTTTGCGTGTCAACAACTGGGTCAACCAACTTCCACTGGGCCTGGTGTGTCAGTTTGCGGACGACGGACTTGTTTATGCTGTCTGACATTTCCATGGGTTGTTTGAGTATGATAGGATAAATGAAAAATTGGAGTTTGTAGGTTTTTTTTGTACAACTTTCTTTGCTGGTTTGACATGATAGAAAAATGATTCCAATGAGGAATCATAAATTTGCTGTTAATACATATAGACCCTATGCTGGGATTATCACATTTCATGTCTTCATTCAAGACTGAGCAGTTTCCATGGACTTGTCAAAAGATTAAAGGTGATTGTTTCACTCACATTTAAACTTGTCAGCTATAAGCTATGGAACTGGCTTTTGGGGTTAGAAAGGCACCAGATATTTTCAAATTGCAAAAACGAATACTGAATATTTGCTCTATAGCTACATTTTATCTCTTTAGTTATGTTACTAAGAAAAAATTAGCATTTATTCTCCGAGAACGAAAATTTGCTGGTGACTTGGAAATGTTTACAAGACACAGGTGAATAAAGCATAATTGTACCCTTTTTTGAACATTTGGCCGAAACAGCATGAATACATTCACTGAGTGACCTGCGAGGCGACAATTGACAAACGCCAAAATATCATAGCCTAGTGACCCTTTTCGCAGACCTGACCAGTCCACAATGGGGAATTTTAGACTAAGGAATAGAAAAAATTTTTTTCTAAACAGTGACGGTAATTTGACGTTTGTTGGTTCTAACGCCACGTCGCACATGTTGGAAAAGTATAGAAGGCAACAAATTATAAACTTCTACACACTCGTTTATTAAACACAAACTGATCGCAATGGCATTTAATATGATGCGACAAACCACAAACGCGGCAACCGAGGTTTTTCGTCGTCAGTTGCCGATTTGCTTTTGGTTGATACGCCAATGTCACCGAAAATGGTAAAAATTATTAAACAACTACCATCTTTTGAGTTTAGCACCCTGTACATGGAGAAAAAGCGTGACCGATGTTTATAAGAACTTTTTATTGGTTGGTTAAATTTCATGTTTTTTATTGCTCGTTTCACAGGTTTAGACTGGTCTTCGGCGTCGCAAGGATCAACACTTACCGGGACGGTCTGCGCTAGGTGCCGGTCAAACTCTTCTTCTTGAATCCTCATCTCGTGCAACTTTTTTATTTTGTCCGGATCCATTTCAGCGGAAGGATTCATACCGGTCAACGACGTTTGCAGCGTTTGCAGTTGTCTAAGTACTTCAGGGTTCGTCAGCAGACTGCAAAAAAAAAATCGTATGGCTAGAGAATTAAATTATAGGCGATCTTACAATTCCATGAGACCGCTTTTATGTGAGTTTCATAGTTTACTTTGATATATTGTGTGCAAGGTAGGTTTAAAGAATAGATGAATTCATAAAGGCACCGAATCGCGAATGATAAAGAATGAAGTTTTTTTTTACACTAAAAGGCAAACAAAATTCATATGAAAACAATGCAGCCATATCAAATTTTACCTTCCGAATTAGTTTAAAATTTTGTTTTTGTTTTTAATTCTCTTTTTACGACTTCAAACAAAACATTTTATTGAAGCTGTTAAAAAAAATTAAAAAAAAACTCTGTCTTAAAAACCGTTGAAGATAGGTGTAGAAAAGCGTTCCATTTCCAAACACATGCTCATTTTGTGGTAAGATATGTCGGACAATTATTATCTTGCGTAAAGGGATGAATTGGTTTGAATTGAAAAATGATAGAATTCATGCTATTTTAAAAACCCGCTAATGAATAGTTATAGAATTTTTCTATAAATCGTTGGAATCATAGAAAGTTTTAGTATTTTGCTAAATTAAAAGGCAATGGTCCAAAATAGCTGTAAGTAATTCTGTAAAATACATTAAGCAAACCATTTGGTTTGGTTTATTGGAAGGAAGACGTCAAAATATGGATCAATCCGAAATTGGCAAGCTAAACTTAGAAGATACGAAACAACCTAGAAAAAACCCTATGATAAACAGTTGCCTTAGTTGGGTTAGTTAGTTAGTTAGATTTGAGGCTGCTATGTGGCAAATAGCGGGAACGAATCGTTCGAACAAATACTTTTTTTTTTATTTTGAACAAGCTAAAAGGAACAAAAGATAATGAATATATTCTACGTGGTGGTCGAAAAGATATTGGTCGCAGATTTTCAGGACAAGTAAAATGACAAAATGCTAAAAGAAATAAAACGTCGCCAGATGGCCACTAGGGGGCGAAAATAGAAAGTTAAAACAAAACAAAAATAGAAAATAGAAAAAAAAATATAATTGGATAATACTGAAAAACGAAAACGAGTATAAGCGAAGACCCTTTTTATGTTAAAAAAAAATAGATGTCGACGAATAAAATCTCGACGTACCTCGTTACTGTCGTAACGGGATCCGCATTTTGGGGCTGCGGCCTCGGCGAAGGGTTGACCTCCTCCTCGTCGTCGCCATAATCGAAGTCGAGCAATTTCTTGTCAAAATGCACCTGCTGCTCGGACCTTCCGCCGGCATCAGCTGTTTTCGCGAGCAGCCGTTGCAGCTGTTGAAGCTGCTGGATAACGGGCTCCGTCAAATTCTGAAAACGAAATTACCACCTTAACACTATTCAATTTCCCGCAATTTTGACTAATATTTCTAAAATACTTGATCAAATATTCAATCGTAAAGGTGCTGAGACAGCGCTTTGGCTAAATAAGTTGTTCGGTCGTTTGAGTTTTTTTTTACTTGCTTGGAAGATGTCACACATAGATTAACAAAATACGCCATTCGATCAACAAATTTCATAAACAATTACCAAGGGAACAAATTATAACAACAATATTGCACAACATACTCCATCAAGAAAAATACACTGGTCGAAGAACTTAAGATTAATTACCGACTAACTAATTAACACTAAAGACTAACTACTCATTTGGAGGGTTAATTGGAGTAAATTTTGTAATTATGGTATTCTATATGTAAGGCGTCGCAGAATTATAAAGCTTCAACTTGATATTTCAATAATATTTGAATAAACCCAGTGGTTTATCATCCGTTTCCTTAAGAGTTGTTTAATTGGGTCATAACTTTTATTTTCGTTTCGTGGTTCGTGCCTAATGTCCAACTTCAACAGTAATCAATCTAATATAATATGCTACTTGTTCCGTTCCACCAACTGTAACTTTACACTGCAGTTTAAATAAGTTCTCTTTAAACTCAGTTTATTAAAATAACAAATATGTTTATAAATAGGTAAGAATTAACCTTCAGAATATTTTTTGTTTGAGGCAATTAAACTGTGTCCAGGGCCATTGCAATAAAGTAAATTTGAGAATGGAGGAGTATCACTTGAAAGCGATTGAAAAATCACTAGTAGTACTTTTCAGGACATTGCCTGGTACTTAAATAATCTCAAAGAAAAAATGCACTTCAAAATTCTACACTGACAAAAAAATGGTAAAGAACTACTAATGAACCATATATCCACATAAAACTGAAAATTTCAATTCTTCTTGGAAAGCTTTTGAAACGCTAGCAGGGTTATTTATTCATAAAATCGTGTAAATAAATTCCCTTTATACTCAGGCGTAACTGCATCAAAATTTAATGTCAGTGCAGAAATGTAAAATGACGTATGCAGGGCTAAGAGATTTAACTCTCAACAATTTCTTTTTCACATATTTAATTAGGAAAGGCATATTTAATTTGTTATTACAAATACTTTATTCAATAGACACTTTGCCTAAATAAATATGTACTTATTGGGTTTGATTCTTATTTTTATGTTTTGTGATAAGTCTAATGTAAAATAATTTTTGAAAATACGTGACTATATGCATCTAAAATTATTGGTAACGCGAGAAGCTTGAACACCGCAGTTGCGCCTAAGTGTTTATGCATTAAACTTCGTGGAGAGTCCGCTTTTTCCTGCGATAAAAAATTAATAACATTCATACAATCTTTTCAAATTTAAGAAATCACACCATTATGAATTGCAATGATAAGTTTTTAAATATCAAAAAAGCAAAAGAAATCTATAAAATTCATACCAGAAAGACATCAATTTTTTTAATTTCAAAATTGAAAAGAAAAAGACATTACATAAAAACCAGTCACTGCCGCTGAAATGTGATAAAATAAAATTGCCTTATAATTAATAATTGAGTTTCACAAAAAAAAAAAAAAAAAACAAAAAACAGAATTGGTTGAAAAAAACGAAAGAATGCGAGTTTCTGAAACAGTGAAACATTTAAGGTGGCAGGCATCAACTTTCAAGCTTATTAACTCATACAACTTTACAAAACTTAATAGAAATTTAATCTTACATTACAGAATGCCAACCTAACCTCAAAAAAGGTTAATTACTTAAGGGCTTAAATTGTAATCTGGCAGCGACCGCCTCGAGGCTTTTTCAATTCGCAACACAGGAATATAAAAATATATAGACGAAAATTTGCAATACGACAATCGTTTCATAGAGAAATAATAAAAAAGAGAGCTTTTAAAATGGTGGTTGTGAGCTTTTGCAGTTAAAACTGTCAACAAATATTTGTTTGTTTCTTCGTTCTGGAAATGGAACACAATTTCGTTTCGTTTTATTTTGAAAACTTTTTTTATTCTTCACTTGGTAAGTTAAAAATTTCTATTTATTTATAATTCTATAATAAAGCTAAAATGAAGTATTTAAATTCAATAACTATTTATAGCTGCTAATTATTTTTATGGTTGCAAATATGCAATATTTTCCAATTTTATAAGTGAAAAAGTTGAGTTGATATTGGTTGGATATCAAAATTATCGTAATTAATAAATTGTTGAAGCAGTACAGCACTATTCCAAATGTCTATTGGGACAGTCTTCTGAGTGTATTTTTGCTTCTGTTTTCAGATGTTAGCCAACAGCCCCAAAATATTGAATTAAATTGCTTATAATACTTAAAAAAAAATTTTTTTAAGATATGTGTAGAGTTCCCGCAACTTTTGAAAGCATCGATTCTATAAGTAGCCTGCGGCGAGGCTAATGAAAACTATGTGACAAAGAGCGCCACGAAGAAAAGACCTCTCTTTTTGTATATTTCTCTAAGCTTCACTTCGAAGCGGAACACATGCGTCAACGATCGAGTGGCATTGACACTACAACACATCCGGAATATGGTGACATCGTCCAAAGCCGCACAGTGAAAACGTATAAATACCAAACTAACCAAGTTTGGAGTCGATCCGTGTACCGATTCGTTGGCCGACTGGTTTCCCTTGGTGGGCGTTTTTTGCAGGGCAGGCGAACCTATCATGAACAACTTATTTAGACAAATGCAACCGCATCGCAATGTGCCAAATGCGACTGTTCTCTTTAACTCTCTCTATTGGGTTCCTATTCCGCAATACTCGCACATATTATGTACAACACAGCAATAACACCTAACCTCAACGTACGTCACGTATGATCTCGGTTTGAGGTTAGGTAGAGTAGAATTAATTGAATGATGGATTTACAAACGATGTTCGCAAGCCGAAAATTAATTTATCGAAACGGGTAATTCCACTTATAATTTTTTATAAATTGTCATGTTACCGAAGTACAATTGGCCAATCAAAAGCAACATTCAGTCAGCTATTTTCTTCGCAACTAGCAGTTGTAATATATATAGGCCACATAAAACTAAAAAATATTAATATAATTAAAACAAACCTTTACGTACAATAAATCTGGTAGATTAGTCATGTCAAATTTAATTTTATTTAAGTGTATACACATACCTTAAATATTATAAATATATCTAAAAAATTACCTCTAAAGGAAAATCGTGTTTAGTAATAGTCACAATAAAAAATAGTAAATGCATATTTAGTAGTAATATCTATTGTAGACAATTCCATTACCGCTTTGTTATTACTATCTTTGTTCCAGATATTCAAGTTGATAATTGGTGTTATTACAACGGTAGAGTAATATTTAAATTGTGCGTCCATAAAGCATTTTCTGAGATAGTTCATAATATTAACAGCTAACAGCTAATATTATATCAAAGTATGTGTAAACATTTTTTAAAACTAATTAACATTAACATTGCTTGTGACGTAGCCGCCATCATTTATTAACACTGATGGTGCTGAACCTCCATTGGAAGTAGAATGTCTATATTCAGGGCTATGACTCAGTTGAATGTGCTGGCCTTCATCCCGAACTTGGCAAGGTAGCTCTAGTTAAAATTGACATTTTTAGAGGCAACGCATTAGAGGATGGAAGTAGAATCTTCTAGGGAATTCTAACAATAAAAAGGAATACAGATGGTAGTTCTTTTGATTTAGTTCGACATTGCAATGTGAGGGCAAAAATTTTACACATTTTTGACAAATGCAATAAAGCTAGTGAATTTTGGCCTTTCCTGAAAGTGTGTGTTTCCCCAACTGCCTAAAGTAGTTATTTTGCACAACCTCGTTTATAAATCCAGCTTAATGCCTTACCTTTCACGGTGTTCCTCCTTCGAATCCCAGTATAACTTGTCACATATTTATAAGAGTACTTACTTGAAAAACACTATTGCGTATACAGGGTGTTTCTTAAGCATACTCCACTTCAAAATGTGATTTGCTGGGCGATTTAGAAGAAAGTTTATGAACATAGGGACGGAAATCCTTTGTCTACATACAGGGTATGAAACTTAAAAAAATATTTCAACAATATAATTGTGCGCCACTGACGTCATTGAAATATTTTCCGGATGACACCGCTAAATATACTAGTTTTTGGTATTTTTTGTTCTATTACGCTTTATTACGAGATAAAAAGAATTAGAACAAAACAAGCAATTTATTTTAAGTTTGTCACCCAGGGTCTTGCATCTCCCATCAGATGTCTATATGAACTTTTTGTATTAAAATCGTACAAGTAATATTCGTTTTAAGTATGGAGGCGTATCTTTGAAACACCCTGTAAAAAAGAAAAGATTTTTATTATCATTCAATAGGAAACTCACGTCTACGCATTTCGCATGGCATCAAGAGTTCTTGGATGACTTTTACAAAAATTTACTTTCTCAAATAGTTTTAACACATTAAAAATCAATTTGCTGCGTGTATATTTTTTATTAAAAGTTCGGTAAGAAACATTCACTTAGATCCCAATCACAGTTTCTCTATCTAAACTTAATATAAAAAACCGTATCAAAATAAACCAAAACAAATTATATAGGAAGATCATTTTCTTTCAGATATTACAGCTCCTTAAAAGGTTTTTCTGAGAACCATTTTTTTGAGTACCAAAACTTACTCAAAATTTGTGTGACACATCAAACTTTAAGCATTTGCAACCGAAATTGTTTTATTACATTAAGCATCAAAAATCTATGCTGGGACACATAATTTTATTTGCATATAATATTGAATTTTATATTGTATTAACTTTGATCTTAATCAAAGTTTTTTCGTGAAACCTTTCTCTTCATAACAATCGTAAATCTAGTGACATGATCAAATTGGAAAAGAAATGCCTATTAAACTTTTGCCTTTTTGCAAAGTTTTTCAAATTTCAAATTTGTTAAAGAATAAAAGTGTTTTGCAGGATTGTTTCCAATTCAAATAGATTTCTGTACATATGTAAATAATATTGAATTCGCCAAAATATTGTATACCAGACAGTGTCTAGAGATAAATATTTCACGTTTGGTCAACTACAAAAACATAAACAAAACCATTTTCCACATCTCGAAGTTCAACATTACTATCCAATCTCAAAGTTTGTCTCTAATTATTATATGAAATATACAAAAAATGAGCAAAAGAACTAAAGATGAAGACTTGGATAAACACATGATTGAATTAATCTTCTATTGATATCAACAAATTCATTATTATGCTGCTGATAGTATATTTATAATGCAGTGAACATTCGACTGTAGTGAATAGATAATTCTTAGGATAATATTAAAAGAAGATCAGTAATGACAAGACTAATAGTTCCTTTTATCTGTTATTGGCACATTGCACATATTTTTCACAGTACTATTTTCTTACTATGACATACCTTTTGCAATCCCTCCCTGCACTGCAGCCCCTAACGGATTAACTCCATTGGCCTGCTGTATTGGGTTGTCAATTTCTTTGTAAATAGGATGATTCGGATCGGCGAGATCAAACAAAGGCTGTATAACTTCAGGCGGAAACACTTGGTTTTTCTGCCACAAGTTCAGCACACGAATTACTTTACTCTAAAAAGGAAGGCATCAGTTTTTCTTATGTTTTACATATACATACATTCCTCAGAGTCAAAATATGTTAAGTTCTAATGAGTGATTCCTTGGGACAAGCATTTTGAAGATTTATTGATATAGAATTCATAAACCATAACATACGAACTAATTTTTCTAAAACTTGGACTTGGCATAATTTGGCTCTGGGGTACAGATATTAAACAAAGTGCCTAGGGATGATCAAATTATAAAAAATAATCTGAATTAATAATTTCAAATAAAATTATTGCTGTATTTAGTATTTTTATGAACCACTTCAGATATATTAAAAATTGTGGCAAGATATCAGGCAGTGTTAACAAATGTACATTCCATTTATTAAAAAAAATAATTGGGGTAGTTTTCTTTGCAGAGTTGCAAGGGATGTCGCTATAATTGCAAAACTAAACTTTTATGAAAGTTATGGGGGAGTGGAACTTTGAATCTGTTGATTTACACAGCTTGTGTCAGTCAAAAAAATGGGGAACTATATTAACATTTCGAACAGTACAGCAACATATGAGATACAATCTGGTCATAAATTGGTTTCAGATTAAAAAATAGGACGATAAAAACTGCTATTTCAGAATTTATCTGACTTCTTTTATGTTCCTTTTTGACGCCAAAATGTGTAAAACTGTAATTTGATATTTTTTTATGTTGGTTTATTATGTTTTAATAACTAGCATTCCAGACATTTCCAGATAATTACCTTGCAAAAACCATATTGAGGTGTTGGTTATGCCTATAAAAGACAGAAAAGGGAATCCTATTGAAATTAGGTTCAGTTCCATGGCTATAACACAACATAATGGAAGTTTTAAACCAGCAGCAAAATATTAACTTTATGAATAACACCAAGTAATTTAACATAAAAATCTAAAATATTGCCATATACATAGTAAAGATTCAAAATTAGGTTGCTGGATTGGTATTTCTAAATTAAGGTTTATATATATTTTTAAGGCTTATTATGTAATTAAAATCAATTACTATGATAAAAAGATAATAACTAATAAACTAAAATTCCCTTTAAAATAACTTTCTTTACCTTGTCTTCGGCAGGGCACTTGAACAAATTAATGAAAGTCTGTTGTAAATTCTTAGTGAATCTAGGTGCAAAAACATCTTTTTCGGTACCAAATTGATGCCTTGATTGTCTCACTATTGAGTCTATAACGTAAAGTCCGGGCACTTTATATTCCGCTTTGCACTTTAATATAAACTTTTCTACACTTTGCACTACATGTTTATAAAACTTTATTGCCTTAATAGCTCCTCTGGTGAGTGCGGTCATCTTCGCTTTGGAAATCGGAGGCTTCACCTCGTATAACGAGGAAAGCTGTAAGAAAATAGAAATGTTTTTAAAAACTAAAATTGAAAATGTTAATCAAAATGGACCCTGCCGAGTTAAAAAGAGCTCCAAATATGACTTCGCCAAAAACACATATTTACCTCCTGATTAAAAGCTTTTACAGCATCCATTTTCTCTGGTTTGTATTCAGCACTACAATAAAGGTAAATGACGCATTTTTCTCGGGATACAATCAAATTTTATAAAGACCAGTCAAAACCACTGTACGTAAAAATAGAAGCCATTTTGTACCGCTTTGCCGACAGATTCGGAATGCGCATGCCCACGCCACAAGTCAATTTGTTGGTCAACCCATGATACAAATTTCACCATTGCGACCATTTTATCAATAAACACCATTTAAATTTGTCTTTTAAATAAAAAAGATCACATAGAATAAAAAAAAATCTTAAAAAGAATATCTTAAAAACTTCTCACTTAAACGAAAGGCTAATGTCGAATCTTTCGAGAATTGGTCCGTAAGCTTGAGCTGCTCGATTTAAGTTGTTTTTAACAAGTTAAAGTAGAACATTCAAAGCATCTCCTTGGAAAACCATCGATTCTAATATACTTATGTGCTTAATATTAAAATAAAAAAGAGGATGAATTCACCCGGTAAAAGAGACTAATGAAAGTAAAAACGAAGAAAATGCTAACACCAATACGTCCGGGATTCTGTGGTGGAGCATTGCACGCGGCGGTTTAACCTCCGTTCGCTCCCGACAGAATCCCCTGTATTCGTCCTCAAAAGTTTGATATCGGTTTCCACTGTGTGGACTTAGTGTTGTTAGTGTTCAGTGCATGTTTTAAAGTTATAATCGTCGCCGGCCCCGTCGTTTTTCCCCGTTCACGCCGGTATGGAGGCCGGATGGGCCCGGATGTTCCGAGGTGGAAGCGAGGGGTGTCGGTTTTTTTTGGTATCGGTCAAATTTGTTTTTTTGCTAGTTGAGCAAATATTGGTTATGTCTTCTTTGTACGTGTTGGTCAATGACCAAAAGCGAAGATCCTCGACGGAAGTCGGCAATGGGCGAATGATCCTAGCAGTCGAGCCCAACATTTTTTTGTGAAACGCATCATTGAATTGAATTGAACCAATACGTCCGTGCCCCACTGAATTAGTGAAACGTATCGTTGAATTGAATGGAACCAAAACATCAACTATGTGTCTCCTAACGTAGGTAAACAAGTGATTCGTAATAATTTCTGAAATATTTTTCGATATGTCTTTTGGAGAAATTGTAGAGCCAAGTACAAGGGCACTAATAATAGATGATGACGTGGAACTTTCAGAAGCTGAAAGGTATGATATGATGGTTTTAAAATCAAAAAGACTGTTTCTTTAAAAATACTTTTTTAGAACTGAAGTAAGCTGGAAAGGAAAACCTGATCCACCAGATGACGTTGACTTGCTAGTATTTGTAGAAAGTAACCGGCTTATTCAGCTTGCTCAGCTAATTTTGTTATCCAATTTGAAGCTGGCAGCAAAACTTTTAGGGGAAGGAGTTGAAATATATAATGATGGCAAACAATTTCTTGTAACATATTCCGAATCAAAGACTTTGATTTGTGGAGAGGTAAAACTGTTAAACACATTATTTTCATTCAATTAATTTTTCAAAAATTTAGATTGTGGAAATATTTGAAAAATGGATAGCAAAGGCTTCCAAGATCTATTCAGTTACATCTTCATCTATTGTGCTTTATCAAAATGACGAAATTTTTCCCAAACCTGAGACACTAGTAAGGTGCTTAACAAATAATGGAAAGGTGCCATTTGATTTCTGCGAAAAATTGGAAGCACCCAATTTAATTACAGGGTTGGGAGCAGGCGTTTTATCTTATTGTGTGTATAAATCTATTAAGTGTAGCTTATTTGTGATTTATATGGACAATTCTCCTTTGGACTCCATTAATTCCAAATATTTTGTTAATTTAATGAGCAAAATGGGGTTTGTACTTAAAAACAGCCTCCTTACAATAAGTACAGGGTCTAGCAATTTGTATATATAGAAGTAAACATTAAGCTTCTTTTTTTTTTTTTGGAAAATGGATGCCTATTACATTAAACATAAGGAATGTGAGGGAGAGGAAAATTTGTAAATAAATATTTATATACTGTTAGTTTTTACAATTAAGAAGTTGGTATTTACTAATGATAAAAAAAATTGAATGAGAATTTGAATGTTTTATGCGCATCTAGCATTGTATCAAAATAACCTCTCATTTGTTTGGTTTTTTCTTTAAGCCATGACTTATGATATTAATGAATGAATTGATTTCTAAACAGTCACTTTAAAGTCAAGTCAAACTTTAGAAAATGTAGAAATTCTTTCTGAAGCCTGATTAAGTTTTACAGGGTCATATGTGGCAGTTGACTTTTACTATTCCGCCAAATTTCAAGTCGATAGCTGCAAATTTCGGGCATATAATATATAAGGCTAGACTCTACACCAAATATAAGCTGTTATTCATGAGATGAGAACGATACTTCGAAAGTATTGATACTTTTGCTGAATAGTGACGAGTATTTCTGGCATCTATATTTTTGTAGCGGTATCGGCATCGACAATAATTATACAAAATGGTCACAAATGTACAAAAAGACAAGAGTCGGAGAGGTAAAGGAGAACATGGATTTGTCGAAGGAATATATATGATTAATCAAATTAAAAATTCGAGTAGATAAGCTCAGAAATAATTTGGAGTGGCACTTTAACTGGAGCTATCTCAGTTATTATTGATTAGATTGCGGTGTTTATAGTCATCCAATCTAGAAAACATATGCTGTAATACTGCGTAAAATTTCACGTGGCTGGGATTTGGATGTGGATATGCAAATATTGCAGTGACTTATTGTCAGCAAGCTAATTCCCAGAAACCTTGCTGTAACAAAGGAACACATATATCCGTCCATAAATGAATTAACCGTCGACGAGAATGCCTCATTGAAGTGGATACGTACAAGAGAGTGCTGGTCGAAGACGTGAAGCGGCGAGTGTTTATACGCGTGAAATGTGATTTTACGTTTTTTTGATATTTGCAGTCACTTTATTTGAATAGTAACTTGTTTAAGCTCGGTTTCCTGTTTAATTACGCTCCCGGATTTAACAATTGCTACAAATTTGAATGTTACCGCTCAAATTTGATTTGCTAGCAGACATATGCTTTAAATAATAAATTAAATCAGTTAGTTAATTCAAAACAATTTTTTATTTTAAATCCATCGTCATATGATTATTTTTGATTAGTTTTGACCACCCCACTTCTCTTCCACCTACTATAATCATCACCACAAATGAGCTGGGGTTAAACTAAAAATTTTTTGAGTGTTGCACATGTTTTTTTTACCAATACTTTTTAAGTATATGTGATTCTTTTTAGAGTCCTGAAGAGGGTAATAAAATTACCGAAACGTCGAACATAGAAGAGTTTGAGTTTTCATAAACACAGCGCAAAACCAGTCAGCCCTTATTACTGAACTACAGAATTGGAAATATTTTTAAAAAGGGTTCTAAATAATGTTTAACACAAATTCTTTACCAATTGTAAAAAATATTTAATTTTTATAGCGTTGTCTCGTGAGAACTGATCTAAATCACCAAACTCACATATTTGTCTGACACATCCGAAAGAATCTGACGTATCAGATATTCGATAACGCCATTGGAGAGACACTCGTGTTAGAGTTTCGCAATGAGGTGTTACCCAAATATTGCTTGAGTTTATTGGAGAGATACGTAAGACAGCTTTGAAATAAGTTCACTTCAAGACAGTCAAACGTATATAAAATCGCACCATAATGTATAATGACATCATCATCTCATTACATTAATTTCACTATATCGAACAATTCTGACGTTGTTTCAGAATTTGTGAGAGCTTCGGAGACTTCATAATGAATATCGAACAAGATTATAGATTAAGCCTTATGGTTTTTGTCAACTATTTAAAAAACGAAAAAATCACTTTCTATAATTAAAAGACCAAAAATTAGTCAATAAATAAAAACATTTTTTTTTAAGTACAGTAATATCTGAACGGTCCTCTCAGTTCTATGTTTGAACACAAATTTCTGTTGGGTTGGGAATTTTGTTCCCATTGATACAACATTGCTCAGTTTTTATTTCACGCCACATTTTATTCCACGTTCGTAAAGTTATATTCATAATTGACAAAATACAACGGGTTCCACTTACAATCGGCGAAAAAATGTTTCGCGTGTTCTATTCCCGATAACGCCTTCAAGTGGTTCAATAATATTTACGTAAGTATTATATCTTCAGAATCGGTTGATAAATTTCATTTAAATATCAACAACAGCCTACAAAAATACTTTCTCTTGAACACAATGTTCCTCAAAATATTTTGTGTGATTTCCATTTTGTATTTCTCGTCGTCGGTAAGCAACATTGGTCGTAGTCTATTGAAACGTTAAAATTATCGTTTGCTTTGTACTAAAGGTTGCTCAAGATGTCATAGTCCAGACTCCGGTGGGTCAGTATAGGGGTACTACGCAGTCTAGCTACAACGGAAGCGCTTACTACGCCTTTTACGCGATTCGCTATGGAAAGCCCCCCGTAGGACAGCTGCGTTTTCAAGTTAGTTAAAATCAATAACGAAAGTTGTATTACGTAAAACAGAATAACTGAGCCAAAGACATTATTTCTAAAAGATATACGACCATTCGTTCTTGTAATAAGTCTAAACGGCCAGTAAACGTAAACCAATATTTTCGCTTGAGACGCGTGGAAATGTCAGTTCGGCTTACAATGGCCGAAGTTACCATTAGTTGTAGTTTACACTAATAAACAATGCCAAATAATTTTTAATAACGGCTTAAAAAATACAGTTTATTTTCTTGTGAAATAAGACTGATACAAAAACGTTTACTACATTTCCAACTGACACAATTAATTGTTGTGCTTTGATTAAGCTAAAATTAACTTTACTTTTGTTTAATATTCTGCTATGGTTTACAAACAGATTTTTAACTTCATGATCAATTGCTTATACGAAATTTGTCTTTTCCTACTTCTTCGAAATTTTCTAATCTATTACCAAAAAAATAGAATGCGTTTGAGCCGCCCGTGTTTCTACCTATATAATAATAACTTTCAACCAAGATTACTTAAATTCTTAAATTATGGAAAACAACAACTCGTAATATTGACAACTGAAAATTTGGCTGCGCTTCAAGGAAGCATTCTAGGCACTGTATTCTTTTCTATTTATAGATATTTACACAACATTCAAATACTGCTCTAGCCATCAATTTCGTGATGATAAGCGAATCTGTTGATTTTCGTTCCATTTTACAATTGCTGCTAATAAAATAAGCACTGATTCGCGTATTGTTTCTTTTCGTTTCGTTGTGCTAAACATACTCATATCGGTTTTGAATGTATAGTGTCTTTGACGTTTGTCTCATGTCTTTGAAAAAACCTCTACTATTAACTTTATTTTAAACATTCAACAATTCAACAAATTTAATTTGGTGTTACTGTTGTAGGAAACGGTCAATTCGGGATATTCAAACAAGTCCGAAACTCGACAATATATTGACACTACAAAACGCAACATGAAAAAAGATGAATCCAAAAGTACAAAGTAACCACGCGTCTCTTATTCTGACATAACCTCCTTCTGAACTAGACCCTAGTCTACATTCGTTCCTCGGACCATAGATGTAGGATATATTTTATTGGTTCGTTTTACGATTACCAACACGCCCCCTCAATAAAATAATTCCTTACAAGGTTATGATCCATAACAAATAACACTTATTTTAGCTTTTCTATTCTAAACCTAAACCAAACGTAACATGTTAAATTTTACGTATGTTAATGGTTTTGTAAATAAATCTGCTAGTTGATTTTCACTCTTAACATATGTTACAGTTACAATACCATCATCGATCTTTTCTTTGATAAAGTAAAACTTAACAGCAATATGTTTTACTCGTTTATTGTTTTCAGGAATTTGTGCTATACAAATTGCTGATCGATTGTCTTCATATATTGTTGTTGGGCTATCAACATGAAAACCAAAATCATACATTATTTTTTTCAGCCAACATGCTTCAGTTACTGCTAGACTCAACGCTATGTATTCTGACTCTGTTGATGATATGGCTACTGTTTGCTGCTTCTTGCTGGCCCAGGCGATAGTACAATTAAACATCTTAAATATAAAACCTGTGGTGGATTTGTGATCAATCATATCTCCACCCCAATCGGAATCAACATATCCTATTAACAAATTTTTGTCATCTGGCTTAAACATTAGTTTTAAATCTAGTGTGCCCTGCACATAACGCAAAACCCTTTTTAAAGCTTTGTATAAGTTTTCGTTTGCTTTGTCTTGAAATCGACTTAACAAATTAATGCTCTCACATAAATCAGGTCTAGACCCCATTGCGGCGTACATTAAACTTCCCACAATACGTCTGCATAATTTTTGCAATGCCAGGTCAACTTTTTCACATTTAAAGATTTTCAAATCTATATTACTGTCTAAAGGAGTGTTTATGGATTTACAATCCTGCATACCAAAACCAGTTAACACATTTTTTAGATATTCTTTTTGTCCTAATTCAGTAAGTCCCTCATTTAGTCTCTGTTTAACTTCTATACCTAAGTAATTTGAAATAACTCCTAAATCTTTCAAATGAAAATTTTCATTTAAAACTAGCTTTAACCTATCTAATTCGCTGTCATCTGTACATAATATTAAAAGATCATCAACATATAACAATACAAATGATTTGTTGTTTTTATTCAATTTAAAGTATAAACAATAATCATTCTGTGATCGGTCAAAACCTTGATTTCACATGAAAGAGTCAAATTTTTTTTTGGAGATTTTTTTAGACCATACAGTGATATATTTAGCCTACATACTGTATTACTATTACTTTTATTTTTACCTGGTAACACCATGAATACCTGTTCTTCTATATCTCTATACAAAAAGGCACTTCTCACATCCATTTGGTGTATTGGTCTACCCATCTTGCTGCTCACTACCAGTAAGATGCGGAAAGTTGTTAACTTTGCTACAGGAGCATATATGTCATACAACTCAGGATCACTTCTTTGTTGAAAACCGCGCGCAACAAGTCTTGCTTTATATTCTCGGTCATCTTTTTTTTTAAACACCCACTTACTATCTATGACGTTTTCATTCACGGGCCAAGGCACTTCAGTCCACGTATTGTTTTCACGAAGCACTGCCAATTCTTTTTCCATCGCATTCTTCCATTTTTCACTATCTGTACTGGTTATGACTTCTTCGAAGGTCATAGGTTCTTCTGCTTCGGTGTAGAAGGTCACATCATAGTCTCTCATCCAATCTGGTCTTCTAACTTTTCTCTTTTCCAACTGTTCATTCTCTTTTCCTTCTTCTGCATTCTCTTTGTCTATTTCAAATTCTGATTCTTGTATTGGTTTATCTTCACTGTTTATGTCTGTGTCCAAATCTAACACAACTACGTTAACTTCATTTTTCTTCTCTTTTCGGTCAGCCTCCTCACTATCCGGTATAAACACTACATCTCTGTGGATTTCTACTTCCCCTCTTTGTGGAAATAAAATTCGATACCCTTTAGTTGCTGTCCATATCCTACCAAAATTCCAAGTTTGCTCTTTGAATCCAATTTCTTTCTTTTGTTTTTAATTATGTGCACGGCTACTTTGGAACCAAATTCATGAAACATATTCATGTCGCATTTTTTGTCAAACCAAAGCTCATAAGGTGTTTTGTTCAGAATGGAACTACATCCAATTCTATTTAACACAAAAACTGAAGTGTTAATAGCTTCTGCCCACAGATTTTTGTCCAAACGTTTGCTATGCAATAACGTTCTAGCGGCTTCTACAAGGGTTCGCATTTCTCTCTCTGCTCGGCCGTTTTGCTGTGTGTGCTGTGCTGTGTGTCACCAATTTTTGCCACATTTCCGCTGCTGTGGTACATGCCAATACATGGGTAAGGGGCTTTTCTTCCAGTCTACACACAATTACTTCTTGAGCCTTTGCATCTTTCATAATCCATTCTGTAACTTTCTTATCCGTTTCGTCGCCAAGCGGTTTTACAGCAGCCTTGTTAACAACTTCAAACAGTCCCTTGGATTTTAAACACACCAATGTTTGAAATTTCCAAAGTGTCCAATTTTCTCCATTCAACTTCACGACTTGCAATCCTTCTGCCATCACTATTCTTTGTTGCGTTCGTTTTTATGCCAAACTCTTTAACTTTCCCAAATAACGTGGTATTGCTTTTTTTTTTTTCTCTTTCGACTACGCTTTTTAAACGTATATTTTAACTTTCACGACTCCCGAATTCTTATACACACAGCATGTCTGGGCCCATAACCTGTTGTAGGAAATGGTCAATTCGGGATATTCAAACAAGTCCGAAACTCAACAATATATTGGCACTACAAAACGCAACATGAAAAAAGATGAATCCAAAAGTACAAAGTAACCACGCGTCTCTTATTCTGACATAACCTCCTTCTTAACTAGACCCTAGTCTACATTCGTTCCTCGGACCATAGATGTAGGATATATTTTATTGGTTCGTTTTACGATTACCAACAGTTTCCCTTCTATAGTAATATGAGATTTCAATCGCACTGGAAAAGTCTAATCCAAAAGGGTTACTATAAATTTAAACATTTCAATAAAATCGTTTAGACCACTGCAGTTCGGTATATTGACCTGCATTCCTGTACATTTAAAAACGTTTTTCTACTCCCGTCTGTAAAATACCTAATGACGCAACGATCTAGCGTGCGGGAAGCGTCACTTTACCACGTCAGTTTCGTTTCCCACGAATCCGAGCCATTTCGGACATTTCCGGGACTTTACCGCTGGAGTTTGGGAGCAATCGGATGCTTTCGGGGATATTTCCCACGCTTTGAATTTTGACGTTTTTTCAATTCTGACAGTCATGTCAGTGGATGTATTCGTGTTTTGCGAAAATGTACGCAAAAACTAACAGTCGTAGAAAAAGTATAATATGCAACAAGTTAAGGTTTTCAAAAAACGGGTCTCGTTTTTAAAAACACTTTTTATTGTTTTACAAACAGAGCTACGAGCTTTAGATTAAGCCGTTACAAGGAGAATTCTCTACAAAGTATATTGTCCACAGATTTATAACATTTTTATGCGAACGTCGCGTCGCAGATACTGGGAATACTGAAGCTAGCACATAGCACATAATTCCTCCCTCCGTAGTGGAAAACAACAGGGGCGAAGGGTTGTTTTCGTAAGACTGGTCGTTCTTGGTTTTTTTGGAATCTTGTTCCTGTTGAAGTGGCTAGACTCCAAGTGACTAGATGAATTTCATAACCAATGTCGGGGATCGATGATTTCGCAGCTTCTCGTGTTTTTTTAATTGTATTGAGATCAATCGATTGTAGTCGGAGTGGCTGGTACTTAACATCGTGATGTTAAATTTTAATGGATGGCAGTGAGAATGGGTTTCCTTTAAAAAGTTCTTCTTTATCCCAAAGCTCAGTACTTTGGGTACTTATACCGCAATTATATGGAACATTGATTAGGCAGGCTTTTTCAATAAAAGCTATGTTTTTATTTCGACATTTCATTTGTAATTGTAATTTGTAAGTTTCTGTTCCGATGGAATTATCAAAACAAATCTACTGATGATTGGTCGTATTATATGCGTTGAAATGTTTACATTGACTACATGGCAATTTTTGTTTTCGGCATATTTTTGTCACACAATCACCGATGGGCTGGGTAAGTTAATTTTCGCAAATGTAGTAGTAGTCTTCAATTATTGCGCAGATTAATTCTTGATATTGTTGTATGTCAGGGCCCAATATTAGGTGGGGTAAATTAGGTACAATTAAGGAGTGATTGACGGGTACTGGGAATAGTTGGAATATTTCAAAAATTTCTTTAAGAAAAATCGGAATATGGACGGCAAAAGTTATTTTATCTTTTGCAAATTAAACTTGTAAGTTTACTAACTGATAATAATTATTTTGATTTAAAAAATTAGAATTTGATCATCACCATAGAAAATAGTCAATTTAAAAATTGTTTGTTCAAATTCGGCAGCCGATATTACTGCAGGATGTAATGTGTTTAATTTCGCAAATATAATGGCATTTTCTAAATTATCCAAAAAAGTTATAAAACTTTGGCAATTTAGAATTATTTGCATTAGTGTATTTTGAGCTTTAATGAAAATAGTTATGTCAGTAATAGTTTTATTTGAATTATATTCAAAAATATCTATATGTTTTTTAATAGCTTCTTGATTTTTCTGAAGAAGTATTATAGTGTCATTATAGTTGTCGATCAGCTGTTGAATCAACGAGGTTTGCTTTTTTAGCTGGATGTCAGATGAATGTTTACTACGTACAAGTTCTGTGATAATTTTATCATTTTGTCCATCCTCTGAATCGAGAATGCCAAAAAGTCATTTCGATATTTTACCTACAGCATTTATTAAACCTCTTTTTGTACGGTTATTAGGTTTTATATTTACAAGTTTGAATTTTACTTTTGTAATTAAATATCGAACATTATTAAGTAAATTATTTCCATTAATATAGTCTACATTCTGATAATTATGTTTATTTGTATAGTTTAATGATTTTGAGATTACAGCGTAAGCGTTTTCTAAATTACGTAATTGATTAAAAAGTGGAGATGTTTCTACAAAATGCAAAAATGTATGTTGATGTTGAATAATTCGAGCATTTCCTAAGCGGGGGGTGGAGTGGTGTTTTAATTGGGATAACTTCAATATCATTATTCACTATCACTAATAACAGTGTAGCTGCAAGAAGGAACAGCGTTGTTCGGTTCATTAACCTGCGAAGAAGAAAAAGCTTTAGGTTTTTGGATCTGAGATTTGCGAATTATTTTTTTATTTTTTGTGATAATTTCATTCCCAATATCATTGTATTTTGTTTCGTTTCAGGTGAGTTTTCTCGTTCTTCTGAATTTATTTGTTCGCCACGAATTATTTTGGAAATGTCGCATTTACTAAATTGTTGCGTATGTTTTGGTAAGATGTGTTCTAAATTAAAAAGTTCAAAATTTTCTTTATGAAGGTCCGGAAAAGATAAAACATTTAGAGGTTGTGGGAAATTTAACGTTATATTTTTGTCAGTGTAATTAAAAACTTCTGTTTGCGCAAAACCGTTTTTTGCAGTAGTGTTTCTGGAAAATAGAGAACTTCAATGACTTGCTCGGGAATAATAACATCATTGTTTTGTGTTACTGAAATTCTTATGTTAACAATTTCGTGTCCGTTCACTGTAATACAATATATTTCGTTTTGTGGTTATCTAAATAAAATTAAGAATCGAGTGAAAACCACCAGTATCAATTAAAAGTTTAATTGCGGGTTCTTTAATCTGGATGTACGGTAAACTATTATTAATTTCGAGGTACATTTGTAATGTCATCTCGTTGAGTCGCATTGGCTCGTTATTGTAAAATTTTGAGACATTTGATTTTCGATTTCAGGGTGTTCGTCAAAATTTTGAGTGTCATTAAAGTATTCAATTTGATTTGAAAATTCAATTTCAGAGTATTCCTCTTGGTTAACATTTTCATTTTGAAATACCGCAGATGTTTCATCTGTTTGTACCGCGTTACTTTCTTCGGTTTGGTATAATTCTTGCGAAATAAAATTTCTAGTACCAGTAGGTTTGAAATGGTTAATTTGATTATTTTGACGTGGTATGGTATAGTTTGTTCTTGTTGACATAGGTTCGGGTATATTGTTAGGTACCTGACCTGTCGGTTTAAATACGTTTTTAGGTGGGCCAAAAACTTGCCTATTTGTAGGAAAATTTCTTGGAATTTCGCGTGATTGAGGCATATTAATTGTACTTCTGTAAAAATTATTAGTTTAAGGAGTAAACTGATTTTGATCATGCCTATTTCTAAAATTTTGGTTATGGTGATTGTTGTTTTGAAAATAATTTATGCGGCGAATCGGTTGTGCATAATTAAAATTTTGGTTACTAAAATAATTTGGATTTTGTGAAAATTGTTTAACGGGTTCGATAGAAGTATTAGGCAAAACTTTTGATTGAATTGGAGTTCCGAAGATATTTTGTGTATTTTGGGTCATAGCTAATTCTATACGGCTTGGATTTTTAATAATAATATATAATATAATACTTTGTAATTGTTCTGGTAATCCTCTAATAAACGTCCTTAAACAAATTTGATCATATTGCCGCAAATGAATTACTTTGCTTGCATTGTCCATAGTATCGGCAGGAAATGCATTGATTTTTTGAGCAAGGTTACTTCTTAAAACTTGTAATCTTTTCCCAAAATCTAAAGGTTGTTCATTTTTAAAGGGACCATAAACAAATCCTGTTCTAAACATTCTAAGTTTGGCCTATCGCCAAAACAATTTAACAAAACTACTTTGTTGTCCCACGTTACTAGCTTCATTCTACAGCCTACTATAATTTGTGCGCGGTCAACAAGTTTCATTCTTATAGTCCTTAACAAATATTGTTTTAAAATTTCGTCGTTTCCTTGGCCATATGTATCAAAAAGGAAATCTCAAGCTGATAGAAAACTATTTAAAGTGTTGGGATCACCATTATATGGCAGAATGCTATTTATAAACATTTTTAACAAAGTGTAGTTTACACCTCAATTTGATGATTGATTAGAATTCATTTTTAAATTGATTTGACTGTTCTCTACTTTCTTTTCCACTAAATTTAACGAAGTAAAGAACGCACTTAAATTGTCGACGTCTTTATCTTCATTCATAAATTTAATTTATTTTGAAATTTCTTAAAATTGAACTTAAAACTAAGAATGCTAAAATTATTTCCACCGTTATACCCAGGCAAGATGAAAGGAGAACAATAAGAATTTTGGGCACTACCCTTGATTTATCTTAGTCGTCAGCCTATTCTTCCTATTCGAATCTTCTTTGCGTAGCACTGCTTGCGAGGGTGATTTCTTGCGTTCTTTGCCCTCAGTCGCACTCAGCCACGTTGGGTTTGTCAGACAATCTATCACTGGTTCGTTTCGGAGTTTAAGGGTTGAAACCCACGTTTCGCGATTAAATCGTCCCGATGTCGTGGCTTTGACCGAAAACTACCCCAAATCCTACCTTCTGCGCCAGTTAAGGTTTTCAAACGACGGGTCTCGTTTTTAAAAATACTTTTTATTGTTTTACAAACAGAGCCACAAGCTTTAGATTAAGCCGTTACAAGGAGAATTCTCTACAAAATACATTGTTCACATATTTATAACGTTTTTATGCGAGCGGTGCGTCGCAGATACTGGGAATACTGAAGCTAGCATTTCCTATTAGTCACCAGTATATTCTGTCACATAATTAACACGTTCGGTAAAATTTTTAACTCACTTGTTTATTAAACACTCGGTCCGCTCGTGTCAAATAAACTCGTGAGTCAAATGCCATTTACCCCACTTGTTGCATAAGATACTATTAACCAACTACCGGTCAGTATTAGGAAATTACAGTGAGTTATATGTTGATAAAGTGTAGACGTAGACTAAACAAAATGCAATGCAGTTGCTTCTTAACTTCAGGGCGCTCACGTTGTAAATTCGCATGAATTGTCGGTTCCAAAGTTGTACTTTAAGAAATAAAGTCAAAATTTTTAAAAACTGTTTTCACCGATTCCACCACGAAACTAGTGCATACTAATTTTATAACGGTGGCAACCAATCAGAACGCACCGGCCAGTTGCGATCATGGCTCCAAATTTCAACTTAATTGTATTTACTTTCTTGACATATTATTATCGATAAACATGTGATGGTTTAGTTTGCTTATTTTTGATGAATAAACATTAATTTATTATAAATTGTATATATAGAATTTGAAATAAATGTGTGCCTTTATACTAGTTTTATTCGCGTTTTTTTTATGAATACCGATATAAATAACTTATATTATACATCATCTGTTTTAAAATTTAGCGTTTGTTGCTATTGTGCCCCACAAGTGTCAAAAATTAATGTATTAAACATAAGTAATGGAAGTACACAGGTATTTTGAAGCTAATCAAATGTTATGCATATATATAAACATAAGACACCTAAATATCATTTTAACGAAAACCAACTAACCAAAATTAAACTCATACGTATTTGTAACACTTGATGTATTACAACCTCTAGCTTTGATTTATACTGATGGCCCGCCACAGTTAAAAAATTACCTTATCCTGGAAATTACCATCTACATCTTTACTTAAGAGATGCGTTACATTGTACTAAACTGTATATTATTATAATTATGTATAAGTAAATGAAAGTGAAACATCCACGAAGTGGTTATGTGCTATGTATGTTATGCTCAACATCGCCACTTCATAATATTTATTACATATTGTTTTAGTCTATTTAGTATCTTAATAATACCATGTATTTATTTAACTAGGCTCCGGTTCCGGTGGACCCTTTCGATGGCGTTTACGATGCCACCCAACAAACGGGAATCATGTGCCACCAGTTGAACTCTGATTCGCCCCTGCAGGACGAGGACTGCCTACTCCTCAACGTTTTTACTCCGGTAACCCCAAATCCAAGCATTTTTTTTTCAATAACCTCCCGTGACGTGACACTTCCAGAACACGAGTCCCGACGAACCGTTACCCGTCATGTTTTACATTTACGGAGGCGGCTTCAACTCCGGTTCGATATGGGATTACACTCCGGATTTCTTCATGGACACTGGAAACATGATCATCGTTGTCGTTAATTACAGGATATCTTCTTTCGGTATAGTATTCGCGAATGACAAGAGTACGGTTTGTCTCAAAGTATATCGTATTGACTGTTGACCGCAATAAAATATTTAGCCAGTCGGTATTGTATGACAGAATATGAGGGACGAATTTATAAGGTGTTAGGTACCTAAGCACGTTTCCATTGACAATCTACTTCTGTTTCCATCTCTGAGTCGTTATTAAGTTTAAGTATATTTTTAAATTTCTTTAAGATAATTCTCCGAGTGCGCAAATTTGGTGGTTTGGTGAATTATATTGGTTTCATCTTCTTGTAGTTTCCTCTTCTGTTTATCTAAAGTAGAAACAATCTGGTTTTGTTCTGTTCGCTATTGTCCAACCGGCGAGATTGAAAATCACAACTTTTTTTCTTTCATTCGATAAACCACTGTTAACTTTTTGTGTTGTTTTGTTTAATGGAGAAATCGAGTTAAAAATGCGCTTTTGCAGACGTAATTGATGATATTTTAGGAGCTTCTTATAACAAAGTTACTGCCTCTGTACAACAAAACTGGATTTCGGACGGATGTCCACAATTTAAATCTCCATAGATGGGGTCTCTGTGCCGCATTTAGAGAGCCTTTAAAAAGGTTCTTTTCGTAAGAAGATTTTTCAAAATGGACCATGAAACGAGTTATTCAACACAGTCACTGATATCAGCCGACAGGTGGTAGATCGTAATCTGACTCGCCCCTGTCTTTTCCGTTGCCTATACATATACTTTGAGACACACTTTACCATATTATTATTTTTATTTTATAGTGTAGGCCAGTGTTTCTTTTATCGCCCCCTTTAAAAATCTATTATTTTTCAGCGCCCCTCCCCCATTATTTATACACTCCTAAAACATAAAAACAACAATTTCATTACTTCAATGAATTTAGTATAGTGTGTATGTAGTCGGTTCTGGTTTTTAAACTTACATTCTAAAGTAGACATTTTTACCACTGAGACTAATTAAAACGCAACTTTATAATATTTTAATCAAATTGAAAGACACAATATATATTTTAGTTTTTAAACTAATCCAATAAGATGGATGAATTTGATGATTTTTAACAAGTTTGTATGTATCAGGTTCGCTATTACTCAAAAACAGTCGAAGTCGCCGCGTTGGGCAACTTGAAAATGATTTCTCTATAGTAATCAGCATTGCCACAGCGCTAAATCCACGTTCAAAAAAATGTGATGATGGGAATGTTATGAAAAATCGTTGAACGATCGTCCACAATCTAGGGTGCAACAACTCAACTGCTTGTAGTCAAAATTGTTCTTCTTCTTCTGGTATTTAGAATTTGAAAATGTACTGGAATCTTTCCATGAAATCAGTGTGAAGATTTTCCAAATATTTGCATTAGAGGAGTAAGTCATCGTTGATACAGAATATTGGGAAAATTATGGAAGTCACGTGTGCGTGCGGGAACGCAATTGGTAGAAAAAAAAATTGTACAAACGCGAACAAATTATGCGTCTTAATTCGGGAGGTTTTTAAAATAACTTCTAGACGTTATGCTAGCAAGACGGCGACTGGGAGGCTGGCGCGCGGGTGCGACGTTAATGCGCAGCGAGTTTGCCGCATGAAGGCGTTGGCAACCTAGTCTAGAGGCAAGGGTGCGAGCTTTGTAATAGGTCGCACGAAGACTTCATCTTTGGTTTTCATTTCCGCTACTCTGACCTTATTATCAGAACCAGTCATTACTTTTAGTATTCTTGCTAAGATCCAGTAAAGCTAGGAAGTGGTGTCCTTTTTTACCAAGACTAACATATTAGGTCTAATCTTGCAACATTATTGCCAAAAAGAAATTCTGTTGAAATTTAAAAAACGAGAAATGATGTCTGTAAATTACGCTGACCCATGTCTTTGTTCCGGTAAAACATCTAGCTGTAAGATTCGCGGGACAGTTTTTATTTCGAAATCTGGATCTACTAAATAAGTAGGACCGTGCAATCACTGCGCATCTGACAATAATGAGAATGCATCAGCTGCTCTGGACACTAAGTCTGCTTTTGGAATCTATGTACTGCCAATTCGAGGAGGGGAATAAATCCTGAATTTCGGAGATTCTGTTTGCAACAAATGTTGTACACCGAGATGGCGAATCATTGAGCCAGAAGAGTACGACCTGCGAGACCATCCAAAGAAACAAATTCAAACTTTTCTAAGGTAGTATCGACTTGACTCTATTGGAAAGTTTTTCTAATAATAACGCACCACAGAGTTCTAAATGGGACAAACAGATAGTTTTTAAAGGTGGTACTCGGGACTTGAAACAAATAATGTTCGAAGAGACAGTTTGGTTGTGGTAGATCGTACTTAAATACAGTACTGCACCGTAGTCAACAAGAGAGGCGTCTGAAAATACATGAATTTCTACCTTCTTCTATTCCAGTGAATTATGAAACCATCTAGGAATTTTCAATTCTGGAATTTGGTTAAGGTTTTGTGAGAATGATTCCCAAGCAATTTTTAAATCAGGGGTTAGCTCATCGTCCCAATTTAGCCTTTTCAACCAAATTTTCTGCATAAGTATTTTTGTGGTGATAACTATTCAGCTAAAAAACCGAGAGGATCAAATATTTGAGCCAACTGGGATAACAGCTGCCTTTTTGTTACTGGTAATAAATTTAAAAACAAGGACCAGTGATATTGAAGTTATTTTCAAGAGGGTTCCATGACAAGCCAAGAATGTTACTTGTCGCATCCTTGATGATAATGTTTTGCAATTCATTTGAAGTTTGATTATGAAGATCGCGATAGTGGTAATACCATTTATGCAAACTAAACCCTGCTGATTGCAGTAATTGTACAAGCTCAGAGCGGAACTGAAGGAGTTCAGTTTTGGAATTACAGCCAGACAAAATATCATCTAGGTAGCAGTGATACAGAATGGTCTCAGATGCAAGTGGGAAAATATGTGAGTTGTCTTCAGCTAGCTTGACTAAGCATTTGGTTGCTAAGTAAGATGCGGGTTTGGTGCCGTAAGTAATAGTTTGCAGTTCGATACATTTTCAATCATCACTGGAATTATCTCGCCATAAAATATTTTGGAAATGTACTTGAGCGGGGCTGATTTTGAATATTCGATGCATTTTTTAATATCTGATGTGAATACGTATCGAAACATTCGAAATCTGCAGAGAATATCGAACAAATCAGGCTGGACAGTATGGCCTTTCAACATGATATCATTTAGAATATATTTTCATCGAGGCATCAAATTCGACTCTGAGATTAGTTTTCTCATTTCCTTCTTTTGTGAGTCAAAAAATATTTTTGTGGTGAATTATCATCGGACATATTTACCATGATTTAAATGGACATATTTATCAATAACAGAAACAGTTCTTGATCTCTTATAAATCGTTTTTCCAAAGAGAGAAAACGCTGCTTAGCGAATTTGAATAAATCACCTAGACGAGGGGGCATTTTCGCTTTGAAAAGTTAAATTTACTTGAAATGTGAAGGCAGACAATTGTTGTGTTGTTTGACTAAATATGGACTCACATTCTGAGGGTGAAAATGTTTTCTGAGGGTATTCCTCTATTTCTATTTCCCAAATAATTCCAGGAACCATTAAATCGTAGTATAGATCTGCGCATATAAGAATGTCAATTTGAGAAGGGCAGTGAAATTCATCGTCTGCTAGAGATAAATTTGGTGGTATGTTGAGGAAGAACCGATGTGATTTTGTCTAAAATAGCACAAGTTGCTAAAATAGAAAAATCTTCCTTTGAAGAGCAAATTTTTAAGTTTACTGCTTTGGCAGTTTGACTTGTTTTGTTTCCTATTCCAGTGACAGACATGTCAAATATAAAAGATGGTGTACATAATTTTTTGAATGTTTCATTCGTTATGAATGTGGTTTGAGAAACTGAATCTAAAAGAGTACGAGCTTGAATTTTGCATCCAGTTTTAGACAGAAGAATGAATTTAGAAGTTGCTAGAAGTATTTGTCGAAACGAGAGTTTTATCAGTTTCAGTTTCTTGACTTACTTGAGCATTTGGGCAGAGATAGCGGGAGAAGATGACAGCATCTTGCCTTGAGGGTCATGTAGTGTGTGTGTTTGTGATATTTTTCTGTCCAAACTGAACAACATCTAATGGAAGTACAATTCGAAGCAACGTGTCTGTTGCCTAGGCAATTTAAACACAGCTTGTTTTGCCTCACCAATTGTTTTCTTTGAGCTGGAGTTTGTTTAATGAACTTCATACATTTGTAAATAGTATGATTTTTCATTTTGCAATAAAAACATTCAAAATTGAAATTGTAATTTTGAAGATTTTCACTTGAAACATGTTTTCGGTTTTGATTTGTTGTCTATATTTGTATAACCTGTCAAAGTTTCTAATGATGAACACCGTTTTTCTAAAAATTTTAAAAATTCATTTAATGCGGGAAGGTGTTCCGAATCTCTTTCGAGTTCAAATAGCTGTCTCGTGCTAAAATCTAAATGTTTGGAGTACATGAAAATTAAAAGTAAATCCCAATTTAACGTCGCTACACTTAAAGCTTGTAATGCTTTTAAATGCTTATTGATTTGTGTGATAAATTTTCTTAAAGTCAAACCGTCATTTTTAAAAATTTGTGAAACTTGTAAATGGGCGTTAATAATTACCAATTTTCTATTGAACCGTTTTGATAGCATGTCCCATGCTACTTGGTAATTTTCGTTTGTAACCGAGAGATTGCTTATTAAATCTAAAGCTTCATATTTTAATGACAATTTTAAATACATGAATTTTTGACGTTGATGCGCAGCGAGGTTACCGCATGAAGGCGTTAGCGTCAATCGCGTGGTTTTTTAAACTTAAACATCACGTCTGTCGATATTTTTCTTGTGTAGCAGCTTGGCTACGAAACCAGCTACGACATTTTTTGTTTTTATTAAGTTCAAGTCTCCTTGAAGTTGGAGATTAAGCAATGGATAAAGGTCTGTCAGGTATGCGATATTATTCTTTGATGTGATGAGGTTTCCGAGCAATTCTGTGTCTTTGTTTTTTAGGAACTCTATTACAGAGTCAAACAGATTGTAAAAACAAGTCAGACAATTTCCTTTTGATAGCCAATGTACTTCTGTGTGAAAGATCAATCTGTTGAAATCTTCATTATTGGCAACACAAAGCTGATTAACTAAACTGTCATTTAAAAAGTTGTTTCGGATTTTATTGATTACTCTGATGACATGTTGCAATTGTTGTAGAACGCAATGTACAGCAAGAACAGGAATTTTGTTTTTTAAGTAGGACTGGAGCATCAACTGTAGCAGCTGATTGTACAATGACTCTTCAATGTTTTCAGCCATTTCAGCAATTCGTCTTTGCACAGAACTATTGCTCAAAGGAATTTTTCGAATTATATCTGCTGCCGGTTTATGGAGTCCACTAGTTATCTTTTTTTTTATCGCCGCCAAAATTAACGTTTTTCCGGTGTGTAGCTTAACCGTTTGACCAATTAATAGAGAAATATTGTATGAAGCTGGAAGTCCGTCATCGTTTTGCGAAAAAACATTCCATACACTTGAAAATAGATCTTGAAAATACTTTACATTTTTGTCCTTATCTGGATGCAGTTTATTCAAATGATCTTGAAGTCTTGAAGGTTTCATCGCTTCATTTAAAAACGCTTTTCAATTAAGAAAGCACAAAGGCAAAGATGGGTTCGTCGAATGTTCTATGAATCCATTTTTAATATATTGTGCACTGTATTGCCATTTCTTCTTTTTTGCTTTCGACATACCTTTGGTTTCACAATAAATGTAAATAAAGCGTTGAAATGAAATACTTGTTTAAAGATAGCGCGCGAAACCACTAATGAAGACATAAGAAAAATTACGAACGTTTATATAGGATTTAAATACAGCAATAAATAATAAGACAAACTGACACAAATTCGTTTATCTCTTTTGACGATTAATGGACGAGTAAGTTAGATGAACCAGAAGATTTTTATCAAATTGCACCAACAGTGTTATTTAACGAAAAATTGTTGCAACTTGATTACGGACGGCGTGCGGGCCGAATCTATTTTAAGTATTTTAAGTTCTTATACCATCATACAGGGTAGCAATATAAACTAATTATTCGTTTTTGGGTAGTAGGTAGATTTTAATTTTAGTGAAATTTATAATATAAAGTAAATTAAATTACAAATCTACCATCGCCCCTTTAAGCCATGTCAAACCCCCATTTTTTGCTGGGCCCCTTAACGTGCGCCGTAGATCTGAAACGCCCACTTTAAGAAACACTACTCTAGGCTTTCTCTCTACCGGGGACGACGTCATACCCGGAAACGCTGGCTTGAAAGACCAACTGTTGGGTCTCAAGTGGGTCAACAAATACATCTCGGCGTTCGGTGGTGATCCCAGCAAAGTGACGCTCGTGGGTCAAAGTGCGGGAGCTGCTTCCGTCGCTTTTCATATCCTCAGCCCCCAGTCTGCCGGTTTATTTAGAGGAGCTCTTGCCGGTAGCGGCACGTCCCTGAATCCGTGGGCCTACAACAAAGACCAGGTAGAGATGTCTTTCGGCACGGTGGCGACATTGAACTCTCAGTTCCGAGACTCGAGAAACTCGACGGAAATACTGGCGTACTTACAAACTGCTGACGCCAAAGACATCGACGCAGCTACGCTCGAATACAGCTACGCGGTAGGGCTCCACAGCACCGCCACTGAATACGAGATGGCGAATTATTTTGGTAGTGGTTTTCCCTAATATTTTTAAAATCAATCTCAATGATAGACGATACATTGACTTAAAATCTATATCCAAAAGTTGCATCGCCCAGTAAATGTAAACTCTTAAAAATGTAATAAGTTTTGTTTAGCTTATCATGCCTTCTGAAATCTTTTCTCAGGAAAATCTTAATCGTTTTATTGGTCCTCTCTGTGATCTTTTTCTGACTGGATTTAACGTGTCTACTCCCTTGCTTCTTTCTTTATATGTTTGTTCCAAAATGTTCATGTCTGTCAGTGGTCATTTAGACTGTTTTCATCATTTGTAGAGTTTTGCTTGTATCTGGTCTTATTTCCGCTGCATATGTAATGATCAGTATCGTCGGCATAGCAGATAGTATTGAAAAAATATTTTCTATATTATTATTTACAAATCTTCTGGATTCCTCCTGCATTGGTTGTTTATAAATTAAACTTGCCGACGTTTCCTGTTGGCATCTTCAGAACATAGCTGAAACTCACTTGCAGAGTTGATGTTACTTTTGTTATTTGGCCTCATGGTCAAGAACCCTTCCGAGTTCTTCTTAGCAATTTAAACTCTATACACCTTAACATACGTTTTCCATATTATATATGAAAGGGCTGAGTAAATCGCCTTGTTTAAATGTGTGATATGTACTACTTTAATTTCTGTTCTGCAGTGGTTGTTAATATGTTGTATATTATGCTAATTAGCATGTGTGTGTAGTATCTCTTTTGTTGTCATTATTTCTAAGACGTCCGTTAAGCGCACTCCGACAAAATGTCCTATTGAATTCTAAAGAGTTTTTAGATATTTGTTTGACAATTCTTTTTAAAAAATTGATCCAAAAGAATTTTAAATATATGCGTAATTTTACTTAAAACCATTATTCTAAACAACTTTAGGATCTATTGAAAAAAATATAATTCCGCAGGAAAACAAAAAATATATTTTACTATCTATGCAAATAATCGAAAATTAGACACTATGTAATAGGAGTTAGTGATGTAAAAATAAAAAAAACACTTTTATTTATCGCAGACTCAAACATTGGTGAATAATTTAACCAACCAACTGTTTGATGTAAATGAACTGGGAAAATAGGTACCAAAATATTTCATCTCCTAGCTATTGAAGGTCGTGACGTTGATTTCAACGCGTCCATTGCAGATCGGTAATATAAACAATCAGCAGCTACAGCAGGCGTTTTTCTACGCGCCAGTAGTGGAACATCACGACAACGAACCGTTCCTTACCGACTTGCCTTACGAGAGTCTGGAAAAAGGTAACTTCAACAAAGTGCCTCTGTTAATCGGAACATCATCTGAGGAAGGGCTAAGCAGCTTGGGTAAATATAATCCAGTGCCCCTCTAACAAGCCTGGAGGTTATGTTATATTTCTTAGCCGGCATGGAATGGTTCCTTTCGGAATATGCAAAGAATTATTCGACCTTGGTTCCTGAAGACATGCACATAGGTGACCTCGTCACGCTGAAGGAAGTCGGCGAACTCATCAAAGAAGAGTATTCACTGGACGCGACGAATTTTTTGGCAGGCGTGAAGGTATTTATTCTCATTATTCGTTCGTAGGTTAGACTTTTACGGAGACTAAAAAAAAGATTGTTTTTTCAAAATTTCGACCCAGAATACTTTAGTCGATGCAACATTGCCGATTCTAACAATAATCTATGTCAACAGTTATCTCATCCCAAATCCCTATTATCCCATTCGCAAATTTAATTACTTTTGTAGTTTGAGTATTTTCTTCTGATTATTTTTTCCGAATACTTTCCTATCCAGTACAATTCACATTTTAACTTTAACCGAGTGCTGAAATATTGATTGCAGTTGGATTAATCCAATTAAATTTATTCTGTGGTATACAAGGTCGTTTCGTAAATTCGACATACTGTGCTATTTAACATTCTAAAAGATAATTCATAGTATATTATGCAATAAACGCGTGACTGAAGCAGTTTAGCAACGCGTTACAGCATATACTTTTTCTAAGTCCATTATTTTGGCCACATTATTGAAAAAAAGCAAGAATATATTCCCTAAGTGACTTTGATATTAAAATGATATTAAATCAATTTTGTGTTCCTTCGAATTTGAATAAAAAGGCTATTTTTTACAACCCATCCGAAGTAATTTTATTACTTATTCATTATAAATATTGCCTAAACACGTCGTACAAATAACACAATAAACAACAAAATAACAAACAACAACAAAATAACAACCATAAACAATCCTACAAATTAACAACTACAGTTAATTTAATAATCACAAACCTATCAAATATGTGCACAAAAGCTAATTTAAATTAGTAAAAGTTTGTGAGAAAACTTGTTTGTGAAACCACATTTCATATAATGTAAAATAAGAAAGGCAGCTTTACTTACAAAAATTAGAGGCAAATGTTAAATTGATGATATTATTAAACACGAGGGTGGAGGTATAATAATGAGTCAATAATGAAACTGACTTATTGGACGATGTGCACAGTATACACAGTGTACACATTTTAATGAAACCTTTTTTAAATCAGCGAATTTTTGGGTGAGACAGTGATTTTGTGAAGAGCAAAAAGCTTTACCATTGCTGCGAAAAAAACTAAGTCTTTCTCTTTCGCCATTTTTTAATACTTATATAATATAACATTATGATTAAACTAAATTCAGTCTGATGTCTGGTCTGATAGTCTGGTAAATTTTGTAGTTATACTAAACACATGCTGAAATAGAAGATTTGGTAAGTCCATGGCAGAGCAAGAAGTTTTTCGGTTTTGTTCTGTTTTTATAGTTAAAGAAGTACTACATTTTTGTCAATATATTTAGCTACGGTTAGTGCCTTCTATGCGCAACATTAAAATTATTTACATATTTCGACTTCTCACCTAAAGAAACACCCGGATATCAATTTTTATATTGCTACTACCGTAATTTTTAAGTATGTCGCGTCCATTAGTAACATTTTTAAGGCAAGTTTTGGCTTAATGGTCATATAATTTATAATTAAACTGCTATTAAAGTTGCGTTACAAATTTTGACGACTTTCTTGATATAACTTCTTCATACTGGAACTTTCATAAACATTTCGCCTTTTTTTACATTAATTAGACAGTATTTTTAAAATTATTTATGAAACGGTTTTTGGATGCTTAGATGAAATTTAGGCTGCAATAAATACCTTTATTAAGGTCATAAAAGGTACTGCTGCTAAAATATAACTTCGAGCATCAAAATTACTTAAAATTAATAATAATTAATAGTAAACAATAATAATAAAAACACAAAATATATTAAAATTTTGTCGCCAGCAACTTTTAATAAACCTTTTATAAAACTTTTTAAATCGTCTTAGACACAAATAAAAAAAATTTTTTTGGTGCCTTCTTTTACAGAAAAAAAAATTTTGACGCGAGTTTATTAACGAAACTGATGTTATTTTTTAATGTTTTATTTAACACTAATAGGGATATTTTGATTTTTTCCATTTGCTACTGAATAGAGATATTAATTGATTGTCTTTGATGATTGTAATTTCGTTTTAGTTCCGCACCGACCAGGACTTTCAGAAATCTCTCATTAAGCATGCCTACCTACAGGCGCCTCATTCCGATGTGTTCTTCTACGTGTTCTCGTATGTAGGAGAAATGGGCGGAAACAGCGAAACACTTCCCGGTAGGTTGTGCTCGCTGCTTAATAGATCACAATAATTATCTGTGCCACATTTCGCAGGATCTGGAAACGTGACTCACAGCGAAGATTTGAGCTACATCTGGGCATGGAGGAACCCAGCCGATTACCCGCTAGCCGACCAGATAGTCAATAAAAGAATGGTCAACATTTATTCCAACTTTGTGATTTATCAGTAGGTCGAATTTGAATATCAGGTGCAAAAGTGTCACATCTCGCCTAGTTGGCTGTAAGAACTGCGCAGATTCGATTCAGACGAATAGGACAGTGGTACAAATTAATATAAAATAACTACTAGACCCTTATACAATATGTATTATAGGTAGTGGACAACATAAATTAAGTACTTTGTATTCCTAAAAGAACGCACTATGTTATAGATAGTAATAATTTTGCCACAGATAAAAAACCTTGCTTATCCCGTGTGAAAAAACGTAGGGCTTCTATACATTTTTCGAAACAATTGCGGAATTTTGGCACACTTTTAGTGAAGTTTTTTTTTTACTTTTCCACTAATTTAAAACGACGCTGTGAAATTATTACAGGAAACCAGTTTTAGATAATCTTCGTTGGAAAGCTATATAAGACAAGATTATAGGAGTAAATATTTTCGCCAGTTTTTTAAGTTTAATCCACTAATTTTTAGATCTGTACGTAATAACAGTTATAGAAATTATAAGAAATGTTGTTTAAAATTTCAAGAAAGTATTAGTAGTATATTTTCAAAACAAAGGAATTTATTAGTAAACCGACGGAGCAAATAATTTTCAAATGGAATTATTTTTAAAAATTGCATGATTAGGATATATCAGGGTCACTTGAAAAGTTTCCGAGCTAACAATGATCCGAGATATTTTTTCTCCATTTTTAAATTTTTTTTCTACATAGTCTCCTTGTAACTCTATACTTCTCCCAGCGATGCTCCCATCTCTCTAATCCGTCCAAATAGTACCCAGCGTTGTTCTCCGCAAAATAATTGTTCACGAAGGTAATTTGCCTCCTCATTGAAAATATTTGTTCTCCGAGGGCAGTTTTCAGATGAGGGAATAAAAAGAACTGGCTTGTGGCCATATCTGCGGAGTAAAGGTCAACCAGTTCAAATCGTAATTGGTGGATGTTCGCCATCGCAACCACTCATGTTTTTCATCGTCTCCTAAGCTCTTACGGTCACGTTTAAAGTCAGTTGCCCAAAATTTCATGACAGTGCATAGTTGAAACACAGGGTCCAACTCAACCTTAATTTGCGTAGCTGTATTGCTTTACAGAAACAAATATTTTATAAAAGCTCTATACTCAGTTTTTTCCATTCTCACGGAAACACTCACATCGAGCCATTCAAACGACTCTCACCAAAAACTACGCCACCAAAATGGCTGAAACTTTGGTAAATAACTATCAAGTGGTGCACAACTACGATCACTAGCTTTTAGGAACTAGTGCCGCTATCTTCAGAATGAGGTCGGAAAATTTTCAAGTGACACTTGTATACTGCGTTTTCACTCAGGATTTAATTTCGGTTGATGTGTTATTGAAAAAAATCTGCAAGTCTAAATCGATTTTGCATAGTTCTTGCTCAATTGAGGTAGTACAGGGTTCGCCGTTGATTAATAAATCCGTTTAGGAATCCGATACCTCAGCAGGATTCACTGTTTAAAGTAACGTGGCCGACTGTCCAGCCTGATAATTTCCAGTACGTGGACATCGATGCCGAGTTGACGGTGAAAAACGATTACAAAAAGGAACGATACGACTTTTGGGACAACTTGTACAAAACGTACGCCGTCAGACCATTTGACGCCTTTTAAGTCGTCAGTAAAAATTGCTATAATTTTACAAATTATTTGAATAAAGAAATAAATATCCAAATTTGTCCGTATTTTCTGCGATACATTATTTGCAACGTGGGAAACGTGAGTTTTAAGAAAAAACAAATAAAATGAACATCTATCTATCTATCTATCGCAACCAACAGATGAAAAGAAAATATCTTGATTACTTGGACTTCAGTAAAGCTTGCGACGAGGTCACTCACAAATTACTTATTTCAGCTTTGCATTACGAGGTGTGTTCAAAAAAAAGATCACTTTTAAATTTTATCAAAAAGTATTTATTTATTCATCAAAATTAATGTTGCCCCCTTCATAGTAACCCCTCCCCCCACTTGTGCCAACATTTTTTCCAATCCTTGAAGCATTTCTGGTAAGCACTTTCAGGTACAGCCTTGAGTTCTTCAAGCGATTTTTTCTTGAGTTTTGGGAACCGGAAAACGTCGCAGGGGGGCATATCCGACGAATATGATGACTGAGGCATGGTTGTGGTTTTGTTTTTGTCCAAAAAGTTAGCAACGATGAGTGAGCAGGGGCATTATCGTGATGCAAAATTCATGAATTGTTTTCCCCCAATTCCGGATGTTTTCTTCGTATTGCTTCTCGCAAACGGCACATACCTTCGAGGTACCACCTTGTGGTAAGAACTCTTGATGTATTACGCCACGATAATCAAAGAAAACAGTAAGCAAAACCTTGACATTTGATCGAACTTGATGTCGTTTAACAGCTCTTGAGCGATGCTCTTTCGACGCTCCTTTTCTTTAACATTAAGCAGTTTCGGAAAAAATTTTGCTGCTACACCGTTCCTGCCCAAAACTTCGGAAAAAATTGTATGGTACTTGTCAATAAGGATGCCGATGTCTTCAGTCACTTCCCTAACAATGATTCGACGATGTTTCAACACCCTTTGTTTCACTTCTTCAACGCTTCCATCAGTTATTGACGTGCTGGGGCGCCCAAAGCGAGATTCGTCATCGGCGTCTTCTCGGCCATCTTGGAACAACTTTTACCACATGTAACATTTTTTTTTGCTCAAAGTAGATTCACCCAATATGTTGTCAACATATTACATATTTTGCAGCACTGCATTACATTTTTTACACGAAATTTTACGCAACTTCTTTGTTCCATTTTTTTTTTGACAGCAGAAAATGGCCGAGCACACTTCTAACGCTTATGTCTCACAAAAAAAAGTAAATGTGCAAAATGGCTGAAACACACATACGACATATCGAAGATCGAATATACGTAGTCTGTCCAATTGTAAGTCTCCTTACTTTTTGAACAGGCCTTGTACATTGGGTTTAGAAGGTGTGCATGCTTATTTTTAAATTCCTTTTTATCCACTTTAGTTCAACAGGTATTGCGTGACAATATGTTTTTCGTACGACTCTCCGGTGAATTATGTGCGCCACAGTCTAGTATTTTGGGCACTCTGTTGTATAAAACATGTCACTTCATTAACTCTTTAAAATTATATTCAAATTAACACAGATTCAAATAACTTTTATAAAACGGCATCCGATAATAAATTGCAACTATATCCAACTAGTCTAGGTTTGCTCTTGGGTTAGAAGATGAGGTTCAAAGATCACGTTACAAACAAAGTCAGAGTAGCCTATAGTCACTTACAGTTAATTTACAGCAGTAATTTTCTATCGATTACTCCATAAAAATTACTTTGTCAATTTATTGTTTCGCAAAGTTGTCTATGCCACTTGTCTGGACACTTGCCGACCAATATCGCATATTATAGTATAGTATATATGTTTATTTACGGAGTTAATCACATTTGTAGTGCGCCCGAGTAGTTTGGTGAACTCCAGCAGTAACGACCTGGCATCTATGGCTGGAAAAGCGGGGGACTTTGGGGAAAGACAATACGCGGCGAACTGTAAGTCATTTTTCGAGTTCAGTTTTTATTAAGCGGCGTGTGTATGTAAGTACATACTTACACTGCGAATTTGAGTTAAATGGAATAAACCAGAATCCCACTGATTCTTATTTTCGCTCCCATAAAGGTAATTTTTACACAACACGGTATAAGTCAAAAATTATACTCTGCGTTTCACTCCCATCCTTCCTTTCTCCTATAACTCCCTTCTTTTTGATAGTAATCTTTTTTAGTCTTGCTACATGTTTGTTTTTTTATTAGGCGTTTGTTGGATTAGAAAATTAGTGATATCTAAGAATGTAAAATGAAATTTGCAATTGCTTGACATAACAATAAATGTATTTTATTATTATTACTATTATTAATAACATACATGTAGCATACCGCTAATGTGTCTACGGGTTCTGCAAATTAAAGCGCCCGAAAAAATAATCAGTATTTTATTTTTATTCGTTACAAAGTCCAGTTTTGTAGAAATTAAGATTTCATCAGATATTCTGATTTACATAAGAAAAAACTCCAAAAAATATCGTATTTAAGTTTTCAGAATAAAGCCATACAAAGTGAAAAGTTGCGAAAATATCCCTATGATAGCAGTTCCATTACATATAATATATAATTACATACACATATATAATTCTGATTTTCGTCAAAAGGTAAAGTCTGTTCATAGATAGAAGAAAGTGACTAACTGATACGAATTAAGGAAAAACCCGGAAAGCTGTAAGAATGAAATATGGCCGAACAGGTCCGTACTTTGCTTAGAATTTAATTATTTGGGGTTTTGTTAGGAATAGTATTTTCTATATTTGGGCGGAAGCATCTCCTGAGATACACTAGACTCGCACATATTTTGCATAATTCGCACACGAATCAATATACGCTGTATTACACACAAAATAAGAATGATTACTAATAAACTTAAACTAACCAAACCAAAGAATATTAAACACAGGTAGGTATAAAATTATTTTCTATTACAGACCACAAATTTACCTGAATTTAAATTCCGAAACTTTAGGGAATAATCTTGTTGCATTGTATGCTAATGACCACCCTTGTATAATCCCATTCAAAAGCAATTGGTCACTTTCTTATATCTATGAACAGACCATACTATCTATTATTTATCTATTTATCTAGGCACATCATTAAGCTCGTCTGAAGAAGCACTCCCCTTACTTGTATCAATATACTTAAGCCAACCCAAGAAGCTTTTGTATTAACCTTAAAGATAAGTCGTGGATTGCGAGGATGAGTTACGATCTCGTTTCTCAGAAACTGGTTAAAAATGCGATCTGTCGTCATCACATAAAAAAAAAACAAAACAATTTGTATTTATAAGTGTTTTATTTTCACTATTCAAGTGGGCGCATTACTTTTATCAATTGCTCTGGTTAAATAAAACGAGGGATTCGAGTTGTTTATTGTTACGATTTGCTGGAACGATGTATCTGAAAATATTTTTCCTGGCGTTGTTGTACACCCATTCGTTGGTAAGTATGCGGAATTCCAAAATCAGAACTGCGAACTTTCGCGTTGGTTTTTTAAGGTGGCGCAAGAAGTTTACGTGAATGCACCTGTCGGTCAGTTTAAAGGTTCCACGAAGTACACCTACAAGACGAGTAAATATTACGGATTTTATTCTATCCGTTATGGACAAGCGCCAGTAGGAGCCTTGAGGTTTCAGGTCAGTACTTCGTCACATATAACAATTCTCTTCGACGACAATTATAGTCCGTAACTCCTCCACCATAGAGAAGCAGGTCATAATTTTAATCACAATATGATTTTAAAAACAGAACGAGAAAAGGTATGGACAAACAAAAAATCTGCGAATGTAAAAAAAACATTTCACAAAGGGTCATATTTTCATGGCAAAGTCTTCTAGTGATTCGCGCCAATTGATAAAAAGCTTCCCACCTTTTCTAAATTCTTCACCAAAAACGGAGATATTGATAGTGAAGGTGAATAAGAGAAAAAAATCTGACCACTGACGCAAGAATGGCAAAAAAAATTTCGAAGTTATAGCTAGTGAAAATAAAACAACTTCTTGGGTGTCGTCCGATATATTCGATCTTTAATTACTCGGAATTGTTTTTTCGATTAAAAACAAATTATCCAAGGCACAACTTAATGAAATAAACTTTGACTCTTGACTCCTGCTGCGTTGCTTGTTGATAAATCGAATTTGCTGGTGTTTCGCTAATCATCCTGTAGGCTTCTTCGGAGCTTAATTAAAAGTGGTATGCATTCTACTCTCGACCTGCTTTATATACTGTTTAAGGAACAGAGCTAAAGCGGAGATATTGCTTCACCCACCTCAGTTTCAGTTAAGCTCTGGAGAAGCCAACAGGAAAATTGGCGAAATGTCAGCAAGCTCGATTTAGCAACAACCGACGCGTAATGAATCCAGAACATTTGCAAATAATATTACCGTCACCTGTCGATGTTTCTCGGAAAAATTAAGTCTAGGTATTATTTGGGCGCCAGATGTACATGGCCCCATGTGCTGTCTAAGTATCATAGCATCAGAAAAGTGACAGCGAAAACGATGACAAAATTAAAGAGGCTGTCAGTTGACTTTTCAAGTATATAACTTGGAGACGTTAGAGTAATCAACAAACTTTATCAGTAAGATTCGCGCTATAACTATGACTGTTATTAATGGAAAAAATATTAGTTGTATTACTAAAAGAAAATGAATGGCACTTTGACAGATCGGTAAAAGTCCTTGATCAAAAGCAATTCGAAAAAAGTTCACTCATCATATTTTAAAAAAGAAATACTAGGCCTAGATGAAAACCTGTTCGTAACTGGAAAACTTTGTTTTTGAAGACCATTTTGGTGTAATGATAATTTTCTGGCTGATTCAGTAGTAGTTATGAATAATATTTCAACTAATACATTTAGCAAATTCACACACGTTTTATGAAATACGGCGCGACCAATAAAACAGAAAAACAAGTGCACCGCACCATATCATTTCAAGCTACATACTATAGAATAAGTGAAAGGATTTGAAGCAAGATATAGTCGGTAAGATTTGCGATGGCATAGTCGGTCAGAAAACCAAGTGCCTCAGTATTTTACCTGCCACCATTCGCATATTCAGAATGGCAAAACCTCTCGGTATTCTACCTTTTTCTGTTACGCCCTGGTATCGTACACTCGACAAAGATAGCGCCAATTACCGGATAATTACAGTTTGCACTACAAAAGAGGGTCGCGTTTTTGAAAAGATTTTTACCGAATCTCGAAAGGCCGTCTTTAATTATAACGGATAATGCACGATATCATTCTATGATTATTGAGAGGAAGATCTTATCAATTGGGTGCGCAATAAACGGATTAATTACCCAGAAAATCTAAAATGAGAATTGTCAAAAAGTGTCAAAACCAACTTGCAGTATGCTACAGACGAAATAATTGCTGAAATGGGTCATCAAGTCTTAAGATTGCCTCCTTACCATTGCATATTTGATGCCATAGAATTGGCGTGGGCTAAGTGCACAACATTTTTTAATAAAAATATTGTAAGTAAGGCAAGGCACGATGATACTGCAGTGGAATCTGTTTGGAAGGCAGTTCTCCAGACAGTTACCAAATAAACTTTAGTAATTTTAAATACATGTTCGCTATCGTGAACAGGTTAGCAAAAAACGTGTAAAGTTTGGAGCGCAAAAAAGCGGTTTCATAAAAAGTGTTTACAGTCGTTTCGAATTGCGACCGTCTTTTTATTTGATTCGTTCTAAGCATATTTTCTGCGTGCTCAAATTCTTCTTCCTTTTAATTTACGTGGGTACTTTGTTTCGAGACTTAGGTGTGCATTTGTTTACAAAGCGATTTACAATGTCGGAAATGGATAAATTTATTGCTAAGCGGGATTTAACACTTAGACGCTTTAACGACATATTGTTAGCGGGTCAGAAAGCTCGCGTTGAACCCGATGATGATGAAATTTTATGCAAATTCCATTGCATGGTGGAGGATTTGCCGAGTTTAGTTAGCACTTTTGAGTCCTTGCAATTGGAAGTAATCTCCTTAGCGAATTATTCGGAAAGAGATCGACAGTTTGCGGTTCAAGATCACTTTGATCAGTTGCATTATTCAATTCGATCTATTGCCAAGCGATTATTTGAGAAAGTGGAACCTAAAGCAGGCTCTCCGGTATCATCTGTAGTTGGTCGAGAGTCGCAAAGAAATAGTAATCTCCGACTCCCCCGTATTATCATTCCGAAATTTAATGGCGATTTGAAAAATTGGCCTACATTTTTTGATATGTTTAACTCGTTGATCCATAATAATTCTTCCCTTTCAAAAATTGAAAAATTTCAATTTTTAGTGTCTTATTTGGAAAAGGATGCTCTCAGTGTCGTGAAGAATTTGCCAATTAAGGATGTCAATTATAGTATAGCTTACAATGCCCTCGTGAAGCGTTATCAAAACGATCGATTGTTGTTAACCGATTATTGGCTGTCGATCTTTCGGGCTCCGACTATGAAGAGTGACTCGGTTGTTGAACTGAGGAGATTGCTTTCAACATTTTCAGAGAATCTTGCAGCTATCGATAAATTCGATATCGACTTGTGGGATTTTACAAAATTCAATTTGCTTTTAGAGAAACTCGACTCGACTCTCAAGACGAGGTTCGAACTCAAATTTTGTGATAAAGATATCCCAACTTTTCAAGATTTATGTGATTTTTTGGAACAGAATTGTAAAGCTTTAGAAAACTCTTTAGTTACCTCAAAAGGTATTACCCCTACCAAGAGGCTTGAGGTTTCGAAGCGAGTTTCAACCAATACACGTAGACCCACATCTATGATAGCGACGTCTACCGCTCCGAGTGCTGATGTGAGTTGCACCAGTAAGTGTTTATACTGCCCTATGGACTACTATCCTCTGACAAAGTGTGATTCCTTCCTATCTCTTGAGCCCCCTCAAAGGCATGTGTTCATCAAGCAACATCGTTTGTGCTTTAATTGCTTCGCGCGATCCCATGGTGATGGAAGATGTCCCTCCAAGATTAATTGTCGTGTATGTGGCAAGCGCCACAATACTTTAGTGCATTTTGGAAATGCTACTACCCCCTCCCCGTCGAATGAAGCTCCCCCTGCTCCCGGCAACCAGGAAGGTACTATCCCTAGTCCGGTGACCATGATGACCAATCTCTCCTCTCAAAAGGTCGTGCTTTTTGCCACTTGCTTGGTGTCCGTTTCGGATAAATCTGGCAGACTTGTTACTTGTCGTGCACTGTTGGATTCAGCTAGTGAAGCCAGTTATATGACAGATTCCTTTGCGAAGAAATTGGAGCTTCCAAGGTCTCTCCGACACCAATTCAAGCCCTCAACCAAATGTCGACGTCTGCGTTAGGGAAGGTTACCCTGAGCGTGACCCCCCCCCAAAGAAAATCCCCTGCTCTCCATATAGAGGCTTTAGTTATTCCATCTATTTGTGATAAGGTACCCTACCAGGTGATTGATAAGCAGAATCTAAAACATCTCAGGTCCATATCCTTGGCTGATCCCCACTTCTGCGAACCCAACGAAATAGACGTGCTTTTAGGGGCAGAGGTTTACGGAGATATTGGTTTGCCTGGATTTAGAAAAGGACAGAACGGTGGCCCATGCGCTTTTCGGACCATCTTCGGATGGGTTGTCCTAGGAAAAGTGAATTCTTTAGAACCACCTTCTCCCTTTAGTTTTTATACCACTGTGAGTACTGCTGCTTCAGGTAGATACGTCGTATCCTTACCCTTTAAGGATAAACACCCTTCACTTGATGAATCTTACCCTCAAGCCCTGAGGCGATTCCAGTTGTTAGAGGCGCGTTTGGCCAAGAATCCAACTTTGCGATTAGCCTACAACGAGTTCTTGAGAGATTATTGGGAACAAGGTCACATGGCACTCGTTAGCGACCTGCCCCCCTCTCCCCAAGGTTACTACATTCCTCATCACGCCGTCTGGAAGCCACATAGCGAACCCCTTAAATTGCGTGTTGTGTTTGATGCTTCAGCCAAAACTTCCAACGGACGGTCCCTGAACGATCTTCTATTTACGGGTCCCAAGCTCCAACCCGACATTGGAGCCATTTTGCTCATCTTTCGACTGTACTGTGTGGTTTTCACCACCGATATTCGTCAGATGTATCGTCAAATCCTAGTGAGTGACGCCGACCACTTCTTCCAGTGGATTCTGTGGCGTTTTGATCCCCGCGAAGCAGTGCGAGAGTACGTCTTGTCAACGGTGGTGGTGGTCTAAGTTGTAGCTATTCGCGTGTTGCGTCAGCTTGCTAGGGACGAAGGAGCGCGTTACCCGTTAGCAGTCCGTCTCCTAGATTGCCAAACCTACATCGACGACATTATCGGAGAAACAGACTCGTTGGAGGAAGCCCGTGAGTTGAGGGATCAATTAGTATCGCTGCTAAAGTTGGGTGGTTTCGAGTTGCGCAAATGGGCGAGCAACTCCCCCGAGTTATTGAGTTCACTCCCCGCTTCACATCATCAACCCGTTTTCCTATGCGGAGACGACAATCCCAGTTTAAAGGTGTTGGGATTGCAGTGGTGTCCCTTACGGGATGTGTTCTCCTACCGCATCCAAGTAGCGGATAGGACGTGCACAAAAAGGAATATTTTGTCACAAGTAGCCCAAATATACGATCCCCTAGGTTTTTTATTCCCGGTCGTGT